GTCCTTGCCATTCATACAAACCACTCAGATGGAAATATTTTGTATAAATGTAAAACTATAAAAATGAACTAACCGCATCACAGTATATCCAAATCAGCTTAACTGTCTAAAAATAGTACAAAAATCGCATCGTCTCAAATCACAGTATATTTTCTCTGAAGCTTCCCAATCTGTGCAGTATTTCAAATCTGTTAGAGCCCATCCATGAGACACCATGCAATTATATGGGTAAACTAATTCACATATGACTCACTGATCAGATAGGAAAAACATGAAAGATAAAATATTTTACTTTGTGTCAGTTTTCTCTATTCTCTCAGGTTAGCTCAGTTGAGAGAGTGCCAGTCTACTGAACAGGAGGTTACAGGTCCAAACCACGGCCAGACCAACACTAATGGCCTTAAAATAACTGAGAAAAAAGAGCTGCCTTTGTAATATTGTAATGACATCTGCAAAAATGGCTAGACTTTCTAGTCTTTTCAGATAAGGACAAATCACTTTAGGTACTGGTGGAATATAAAAGAACCCACACCACTGTTCAAAAATAGTAGGGACGTAGACCCCAGTAGCGTGGCCAACCTTTCCTAGGCTGGGTAGGTTATCTGTAAGGAGAGATCTTAATATAGAGATAACCTCATAATCCTCCTTCAGTTGATGTAATGGCTACTTGTAAACAGTGTATAGGTAGATGTAAGAACCCTACTCCAGGAAAATCCTAGGTGATCAGGGATTTTACTGTTTCCCTACTGTCCCAGATTTTGCCAATTAATGAAAACATCTGAGTCAAATCTAGAGAATCAGGAGTATTTCTAATTTCTCGATGCATCCCAGATTTTTGTGATGATCAACTGATGATTATTCACAACATTAATAAAACTCAAATTTGCACTGTTGGGAATGTCCCAACTCTGACTGGACAAGGATATGTCATGTGAGAAGTTGCAACTATCTAACAGTGCATTCCAGCAGGATGATCCAGATCAGGACGGGTGATTCAAGATCACTTGGATCATTGCACATCAAAGGAGCCAACAAATCCACCCACGGAAAGGATTCATTGGTTCATTTTATGCACCAAGAACAGAGTGATCTTGGATCATTGATTCTAATCTGGATCATCTCAAAGGAACACATCTAAACTCCTTTAATAGGGTGAACAAAACTCACAAATGAACTTTAGACGCAAACATTATCTGAGACTGTGTACCCCTTTTTGATTTTTGAGTTGAGATATGTCAAAACACCGGTGCTACTGAACACCCTGTTTCCCTAGGGGACAGTCAATAAGCAATTACTAAGTACAGAGGCTCTCTATGGGGGGCAGGGGTATGTATGTCCCTAGTCTGAATTTCTAAAGCAGTCGTTTTGCATATTGAAGAGAAGGCCATGTCCCTGTCGGTACTTTACTATTGTATTTGAGATTTTCCTCAATGCTTTTGCAGTTTTGAACCAAAATTATGTCATTTCTCATCAATTCATCTGTCTTATCACAGGTGGACTATCAAAACTGTTCGTGGCATCATGGTGTCATGCGTGACATGATTCCATACATTTACTGTATTTCATAACGCCCGCCCTCGGCTTGATTCAAGTGATCCATAGAAATGCTTCATAAAACACAGGATGTTGCCTCTTTTGATCCCAAAATATTTAATGTTGATAGTAGTGTAAGAAAAATGAATAAAGATAATTACATTACATCAACATTTGGGATCAAAATTCAAAACTTGAATCAAGCCAAGTGTGGAAGTTACGAAATACAGTAAATGTATGGGATTACATGTCGTGCGTGACGTCACGATGCCTCGAACAGTTTGGATGGACTACCTGTGGTCCAATATTGCTGTTTCAAGGCCATGACGCTTGTCGGAATTGAACCCAAACAGGGCCTCAACAGATTCTAGTTCTTTGCTTGAGCTAGTCTGGTTAACCAGACCAGCCTGGCTTATATAGTCCACTACGAAATGGCGCCCTTCTAAGGTTATCCTAATTCCGGAATCCTGTATATTTTGTTTCTGGAATCCGAAACCTGCACATTTTTAATCGTGGAATCTGCAATCCTGGGCTTTGAAATCAAGGAATCCAGGATCCAGGATCCAGTACCGGGAATCTGGAATCCACAGCGTAAAATAAAGAATCCAATACTTTCTTGAATTGCCTTACATGGGGCGAATGAAAGTCGTTAAGTATGTCTTCACTCAGTAAAAATAATATCTTACACCGCTTTTATACACTTACCTGCAAATTAAACGATCTGGCAGCAATAAAATGATCAACGTCTAAGGCACAAGCAATAAAAGCACTTAGGACTCCATCCGCCAAATCCTTTCTAGTTAAAACTTCGCTGACAACACACCAGCTTACAAAAGCGATAACTCCGTGAGCCATGTTATCCACAAGTGCTCGGAGTATGCGATGTTGAATCGCAAGGAAAATAACATCCAGTATATAACAAATACTACCAAGAAAGCCATACGGAATGATTTGAACAGCAAAGTGTTTAAACGTGGGAGGAAAACAATGTGGTAACAGCTGAAAAGGATAAGTTGCGAAGGAAGAAAAAATATTGTATGTCTGATGCAAGAAATCCGCCATATTGTCTTTCGTCCGTGAGAAACTGGACACTAGTTGATCACAGGCATCCCAGACATCGTTTCAGTGCGCGACGGAATTAAAACAAGGGTAGGTGCTGGTTTTATCTATTTGTTTCGGACTGCAGCTGTACACCCTGGCTCACAACTAAATAATTTTTTCCTTTCTTTTTAAATCCCTGCGGTAAGAATACTGATCAATCTCGATTTGCCAAATCGGTGAGCTTTGGTGAAGGTAGTCATTATAGATCAAAGTCAGTCAGATCTTTCTTCATCCGTGTGTTCGGGCACGGGCGAAAAGCCCTAATTTGAGTTCATCAAATTGTTAAGAGGGTTCATCACTTCGTCTCTTTATGCAATTTAGTGTTTGTTTGATGACAAGTACATATCAGTTGTTAACGCAGCTCTATATGTATAAATACCATATATGGTTAGCCTGTTTACAGACCCTCTATTTTTCTATAAAATAATAGATATTTTTTCTCGCAATATTCGTGAAAAGTCTGTGGACAGGCCCCAACATGATTAGTATGTGTATTGCTTTACACGTTTCATGATTTGTCTGTTCGAAGGAAGTCAATTCAATTGCAACAGAGACTAGCAAGAGCCCGATAGTTAATTTTGTATTCTTCTTGTGCCTAATTTCAACATTTCCAGTTGCACAGCAGGCGCTCCTCTTGGTTTTACCATAGATAAAAATTATTTCATAGTCTGAAAATCCGCCCAATAGAGAGTAGTGTTATACCAACAAAAATGATAAAAGCCTCATTCTTAGCCATTCTGTATTCTGGGAAAAAGGTTTATTCTCAATAAAACAAACTGGCATGCAGACAATATTTTACAACAAGTAAGAAAAAACTATGAAACAAACTATGGTATGAGGGAGGTGCCAGTCGGAAATACTAAACTAAAAATAACTCGAAGGAGACAAATAATCTCTGTGCTTTCTTAAGAGACCCCAACACTTTATGAGTCGAATTGTTTTTTACATTCATCTATTTCCAAATTGGTGTAATAGGTGCTGTTGATTTTCAACACTAGCATTAGTTATTCATTCTTTATAGGTGTTCAAATAATATGTTCCTTTGGGCCTATTGTCTACGCACGAAAGAGCACTCAGATTTAAGGTGTGTAGTTGTTAACTTTGATTTTATGAAAGCACAAAAACAGTTTGGAGATAACCAAATATACCACCAGCAATGGGGTATACATTTAGCCTGCGAAAGCAGACGTATTTCCGGTCATTGCTTCTCTCTCTACCCGGGTAGAGAGTTGTGACGACCGGAAATACGAAGCTAATGGAAGCGAGGCCTAAGAAATTGCGTTTTTAAGCTTCGCTTTGCCTTAGGAGAGCTACTCAACAAAGTTTTATAAGGTCCCGGTTAATCTCGTACCCAGATCTCCTACGGCCACTTTTCAGTGTAAAATAGAGTGAGATCTGGGTACGAGATTAGGTCCCGGTGTCCAAACCCCGAAGCTTTTAACAAACCTAGTTAAGAACACTACGTCACTTTTTTACACCCTTGGGATGAGGTTAATGAACGAAAATATGGCTGAACATAATAAACCATGAGGATAAAGCCATACGGTGCCTCAGTTCAAAATTTCTTGAAGACATTTAAATAACAGATTTCTTCACACTTGAATACTTCAGCTCGTGATATCCGTACCATATTACATACCTGAAGCCAGAAATAGGAACCAATTTTGGGCGGAACTTCCCCGTGTATAAGACTTTATATGGAGTACCTCAGGGGTTTTGTCCTGTCCGCCACTACCGGAGACCGGAGAGACCTTTTAGAGACAATGAAGGTACAAACCGAGTGACTGAGTTTGTAGTACTGCCCAACCACCCCACCACCCCACGCCAGTAAACGCCTGCAGTTAATAAAGGTTACCCAATTGCAGATTCCTGTGAAGTGGTACTGCAAGTTAAGTGCCAATTTAGTGTCTGTTGATGTATGGCTTTTTCAAAAACCTTGTCAAACTAGAGTTAACTGTTCTTGGCAAGTGTCCTGTCAATCTTATTGTGAGATCTACAGTGTCTCAATAATTACAAAACTCGTGTGCTTAGTTTCAGATAGCAAAGTACACCTTTAGCTTTTCACGGCCTACAACTGAAATTAGTTTGAGAGCCAGACATGGCGTTCTTCTTAATCATGAATTTTAAGCACTCTAAGTAAAAACATGTTTCTCAGTTCAGTACTAGCAAGGCTGTTCAAACGTCAACCAACCATGCTACCTTCACGCAAGATCAAGCGCTTTATATTCCATATCAGTGGTATAATCGGGTTGTCCTCACATCATGGAAGAATTTTCCGCGCTTAACAGGCTCATCGAGACAGCCTTTGCACTGGCCGGACTTTCCAAAATTAACTTTCTGTCTAATAAAAATTCCCTTAGTTTTGTTTACTGCATGACGGAATCTCTGTAGAATATTAAAAAAGTTGTTAACGCTGTAAGGCTCAAGAACAACCAGAAAAACATTCGATCCAAAATAAGCGCCGCAATCCGCCATTCTTCTCTCTGCCTTTCATCTTCTTGTTTTGCTCGCACATCCTCTGCTAGGGTATTGATATCCTCAAGGAGCCGCTCAGTGAAGGAACTTTGACCGCCTACGATACTCATGCTGCGAAAGCTTCGTCTGCTCGGAGTACTTCGGCCGCTTTGTGAGATAATCGACATGTCGTCGCGAAATTTTCGTGGGCTCTCGGGAAGGGTCATGTAATCGTTGTCATCGAGTCCTATGTCACCATCCACGTTGAATTCTATTCTCCTTCTTCTGATCTTAGGAGTCATTTTAATTTCTTCCTCTGTTTCCATTTTGAAACACAGCACCTTTGCCATGTAACCAAGGATGATCACACGGACCCAGCGAGGCATTGGAGAAGTCGAGGGACTTCGGTGGTAAAAGTTTAATATGGTGCAAGTGCTGACTAATGACATTGCAGTAACAAACATGGTTGCAATAAAATATTGACCCAACAATGGGACGTCATCTGAAGTTGCTGGAAGTGTTTCAGCAACTAACAACAGAAAAACAGTCATGGCCAACAGAACAGTAATCCCCAAACCAACTTTTTCTCCAGATTCCGGCGGAAGAAAAAATAGTATAAGCGTCAGTGTGGAAATCAGTGCGCACGGAAGGATCAAATTAAATACATAATATAATGGCTTGCGCTGGATAATCAAGTCCAACGTAACGTCGAAATATGGATGAGGGCAGCAGTTATAATACACCTTGTTTAATTTGGACGGCATTGCAAGAAGATTCCACTCGCCATTTTGCATGTACATGTTGAGATCTGCTGATGTCTCCGACGATGTCATTGTTAAGCGGTCACCTTGGAAAGTCCATGAGCCGAACTTTAACGAGCAGTTTTGCTTATCGAATGGAAAATTTGCTACATTGATCTTACAGGTGCTTGTAAAGGAGGCTGGTGCATTCCATTCGTTGTACCCGTTAAAGTGCAAAACGACCGATGTCTTGTATTTCTCGAGTCCACCGCCATAACTATCATCCGCACTGTAGTAAATAAACAAAAAAACATAATCAGTAAAATAGATAAAAAGATTTTTAAAATGTTGTTCCAAGTATTATTGTCAGAAAGGAGAACGGACGACCTCTCGCGACGAAGGGGCGGGGGGATGTGATTCGTGCTGACTTTCCCTATCAATACGAGAGGAGACAGGGTCAAATTTTTAAAAAATCTCTTCAACTTAAAGGCACAGTACAGAAATAAGAGAGGTGTAATCAGCGCGTAATTGGTTTGGTTCATCATTTTTGCAGCCGCTTCCAATCGGTAAAGCCCTCGCCATACAGGCAAAAATGAGCAAATTAAAGTGAGAACACATTAACGATAAACACTCACTTGTTGTAGAGTATGACATCAGGAATCCAAACTTTAGTAGGTTCCACATTCACTGATTTAATTTCTCCGTAACGCGTTTTGTTCCACCCCAAAATTGGATTCTTCCATTTCTGTGGAGTGCATAAATAAAATTCACTGATTATCTTGACATCAATTTCTCTTAAAGTAGATCATTCTCTCTTGTTATATTACGTTCATAAATGGCAAACAAAGAGGCGAAGTTCAAACAAAAGAATCTATCAGGGTCGGCCAGGGTTTTTGGGTATACAGTATACAAGGGCTTTTTAACTCGGGTATAAGGTATATTGCAGCTTAAATACGGGTATTCGGTATATCACTTTCTTTGAATTTCAGGTATAAAGTATACCTGGGTAAAATTTTGGGTATATTTGGATGAATTTTGGGTATTTTGGGGTATTTTGGCGAATTTTTTTCGGGTATACTGGTATACCACTACCCCCCCTGGCCGACCCTGATCTGTCGCTATTTGGAAATGTATGCAAAGACCCACATATTAAAGCGAAGGCACTAAGTTAATCAGGCCCGATTTTATAGACCGCTCGTGTTACGTCTAACTAAACTTTTAGTTCTAGTTAGGAAATCTCTATCATCACAATACTGATATTATCATTGAGAATAACGCCTCAAACCGACTGGGAAACCTTGTCAGTCCGTAAATTTAAACTTAAAATAGTACTGGTAATGGCTGGCTAGGTAGAAGCGAACGGTGAGTGCTTATTGTCCACCCAAGTAGTATATTCAAGGTGGGCCTACTTTCCCCAGTCGGGGTTAACCGATTTGGTCCCCCGAGAAATAATCTTTTGGTCATATGATAATTTTAAGTCCTTCACGGACCAGGCCGGACTCGACCGTACTTGGTCCATATACAGCTATTTCGAGAGAGGTTGTCGGAAAAATGTGCACGCGACAATCCCGAAATTAAGGTACTATGGGATATGATCAATACACTGTTTCTGACGAATGTACCTGTCGAACCTACTTTTGTTACTTTCCTTTAACACTCGCAAACACATTTCAAGGGCCTTTCGTACCAATTCTTTCAAATTTCTTTAAAGAACAGTCAACTTAAAACCACCCACAATGCCTTTCGGGATTGTCGCGTGCACTTTTTCTGACAACCTTTCTCGAAATAGCTGTAAACGCAAAGCTGAAAAGAACTTGTCCTATATCAGGGGCAGTAGCCCTTGACAGTGGAGAGCATCAGCCTTACCTGACGAATCCAGACGTTAAGAGTCAAAAGCTGTGACTTACTGTTCTGGGAACAAAAAATACAGGAAAACGGAGTTAGAGTCTATAAAACTAGCCACTAGTATTAATTTCTGCTTCCCTGCCTCTCAAGTTAACGTGAGCACAAAGCTCTTGTTGACATTTAATTTAGGACACCTTGCAAATTGAATATGCTGGTTTCTAAGTCATCACCTCCTTTTGCATATCTTTTAAATCACCTTGAAAGCGACGATCCGAATGTCTTTCACCGACAGCCGCTTACTTTAATTCTTGCCTCATCTGTTATCACTGACATGGCCGCTCTTTTGACCATTAATTTGGTCATGTTTTTTTAAGTATAGTCGCCAGGTTCCCTTAATATTCCATAACTATTACTATTTTTGGCTCATGGCTTTTAATATGATCTTGAATCTGAGAAGTTTTGCAAGTGGAGAAGTAACTTCTTTCCCCTCCTCCAATAAACCTTTAGCTCTAATTAACCATGCTTCAATTCAAGACAACGTTAGGGTCTGAATGGTTGGAAAGGCTTTTTTAAGGAACAACTTACCACTGAGATTATTTGTATTAAGCTCAAACTAAATTCAACATTCACAACATCGGAAACGTTGTAAACTGGCCTGGCTTCTTTATCGTAGTGATTAAACAGGTCTCTCAGAAGACGAAACTCATCTGTCTCGCGGTTATCCGTAGAAATATCTACGATGTAATAACAAAGTCATTTCAAATTCAAGCAGCACTAAAAGGAAAATTTCTCATAAGCCTTAAAATCAATTCAGACAAGTTAAAAGGACAAGGTCACTCTGTAAAGGAAATTTTTTTCTAATCGCAAATAAAAAGATGGCAATGTGTTCATACCAGCCAACTGATTGTTCCTTAAGCATTAAAAATCCGTTAGATCATAACTAAATTCATTTCCATAAAGACTTAAGGTTCCTTTTGGTTGCTCATTTGAAAATCTAAACAACTAACTACAACTAAAATGGCAGCAATACCAAACTATCTCAAGGCTTTTTAAATGTAGATGGGAGGCAACGAGGTCAAGCGGTTATAAGAGCGCTGGAATATTGCACTGATTCGAAGGTCCCGACTTCAAGTTCAAGTTCCTCCCTGACCGCTAGCTGGATTTGTTGTCGGTAAACCCAAATTCAAATCCCCGACCACACCTGCAAATAGCGTACTGGTTTGCGTTCGGCCAGTTAAGATTCTTAACCCTGTAAATCATTTTAATTATTTGTTTCGCGCATTTGCTCGGCCCCACTAAAATGTTCTTCAGTTTGGTATAGGATTTAATGGAGCCGAAACTAATTGTGGAATTGCACACATTTTAGGCATCCTACTGATGAACACTTGCGACTTTTAGCCATTTCGAGCAACAGCAATTTCCGGTCTGTCCTCTTTGAATTAGTGCTATTTTAAATACTGCTGAGGGCAAAAAATGGCATTTAAAAAAAAAAACTTTCTCAAGAATTTTTAAGGCCAGTGTCAAACGTGTGTTCGCAAAATATTACTGATTGGAGATATCTGTCGCTGGAATACCTAGAACAAGATGAAATTTTCCCCAAATGTTAATCGTGAGACCTTCTTGTTTCTTCACTTATAACTGCAGTATGTTCACTTGACATGCTGCGTGGTCAAAAATTTAAATTTTCAAAAGAAATCAGTGAATTGGTGGCGAATTAATGTTTAATTTGCATGGTTTAATAAATGTTGTTTGAGGAGAGAGGATATATGAAAGTACTCAAAGTTTACAATTGAAGTTTTGAACAATTTAAGACTGAATTTGAATTTAGCCTTTGAAATGACGTTTGCTCTCATAACTTTTTATTGAAGTGCTAGGACAGCTTATGATCAAGACATGACTGAGTATTTCAATTTTCATCAAAATGTTATTACTTGATTTCCTGTGAGTTTCTTTAAGGCGTTGACAGTTTTACTGAGGATTTTCAGAAAAAATTTCACGAGACCACGTGACATATCACGAGACTTACTGCCCCAGTTGGATATAGCTATACTTCTGTGTATAAAATTTAGATTCATTTCTATCCTCTGTGCCGAAGTTATACCCAATATACATCGGTTTTTCTAGGTGAACACAGTAGACTCAAAAATTATTAAACTACTTAATAGTGAAAACCTACACATTTGCTGTTGAAATGATGCAAATGTCTTAAAACTAATTTGATTTTTTTCGCTGAAAATATCGAAATTTACATAAGCAAGAAGGGTAAAAATTTACACTTTTTCTTTCCGAAAGAGTGCAAACCATGTCAAATTACAATCAGGGTAAGCTTTTTTGAAATTTAATCCCCCACATTTATTTTCTAAGAGAGCTGTTTACATGGAGCAGTGGCGGATCTATAGTTGACAAAATAGTTGACAAAAACAAACACGCAATTTGGATTCTTCTGCTCTCTTTACTAGCGTTAACAACTTTCAGCAGCTGCTAGCAGTTTATCAGCTCGTGGTAACGCCAAACGATTTTGTCCACCTTAATTGCCGTGATTACCCACTGACACGCCTCCATTTTTGTCGGATCACCCTAGCACCACATATTTTCTGTACTCAGTTTACATCCTGGAGCAGATCTTGCCCTCGAATCTAAAGTTATCTATTATATCGAGCACTGTGCAACAACTTATGAGTCACTCTAGTAGAAGACAAGATAGTGCTTACTGTCGGTTTATGATGAGGTGCAGTTATTGCGTTCCTGTGACGCAAATGTTTTTAAATTTTGATGCCAAACTGAAACAACAGAAGCGAAAAATAAAAATAATGAAAAAAAAAATTACCTGCTAAAACAGGATGTTGATAGCAGGTCACAAAGAAAGCTACCAAGCAGAGAAAATGAATGCGTAGTCTTGGGTACATTCTCCTACATGTCTCATTCTTCATCGGCCGCTATTTAAAAATCCTGACCCTGATAAGAGCAAAGAATAAATATAAGAAAATAATCCATTATCTGTAAAGTTTGCCCCTTTAACACCAACCAAACGTTTTTTAAATAAAACGAGCTTTTGAAAACAAAATGAAAACCGCGGAAAACCGAAAGACGGGCTTTTACATCGATTTAAATTAAATGAGCTCTGACTTGTGCTCCCATTTTGCAACAAAATTTGTAGTCGACAAAAACAAGTTACTGGTTTGAAACGTCAGTATTTATGTGAATAGGTCAAAAAGGACATTTAATTGTCTGGGATATGATTCGAAAAGCATTCTTCAAAAATTAAAGAGCAAAAGGAAACAAGATAACGCGGTTTAAACTCTTTAAAGACAATTGAATGTTATTTGTTTTTAGCAGTGATTCTTAACAATATGACACATCGGCAGTTTGCTTACTCCTAGAGCACTCATATTAAAAGGGGAAAAAGAAACGGTTTAATTCTCAACTAAAAAACCATTTAAAAAGCGTTGGCCTAGCCGATCAAGGTGCAAATTTGACTTGGATGCTAAGTATCCTATATTTTAAGTTTAGTCGCAGATGCATAGATCGTCTCAAGTTAAATATCTGACTTTATATACGATTATTTTGCAGAAGGTTAACCACAACGGACCGCAGTGAGGCAAGACAATCTTTTTATTTCACCAAAACATGGATTAACCTTGACTTTACTTTGAGGTAACAACGTTTGTTTTAGGCTGTCGTCTCAAGAATTGCTGTTTTTCTTCATATGGTGCTTTTTGCATTTAGAACCACAAAACCTATTAAAGGTAGATGGTAAAACTTCTAGAATCTTCAATCAATAAAACAGATCTGATCTGGAAAATACCATTTAAAATTAGCTCTGTCTCATTAATCCAACGACGATTTTTATTTTGTCCTTTCAATAACGGCTTTGACACATATTTCTCTATGACAAACGAGTTAGGGTTGTCAGTTCGAATCACTTAGAAACGCTATTTTAAAGAGTGTTACATATTTGTGACCCAAGTAGCAAATTGATTAATTGTGACAAGTACACGTGTTAATTAAAGTGTTCATTAAAGAGGATTAAATCGATTTATTGTTTGAGATTATCAAGCGAACTCACTAGTTTACGTAGATATCTTTACTTAGCGATATACTAGCTAATATAGGATGAACGCAAATTAATATTACGCAATTGAAAAAAATTAATTCAGTTTTAGCCTAATTTATTAGCGAGTTAACTTTGTGAAAGACAATGTTGGTGCGATTAATGTGTTTCTAACTAGGATTCACAAAAATAAACTGATCAATTCTTTACTTTGTTTATTTGCCAGGTTTCACTGACTATATAACTGGGCGCAGGCTTCCATGAATAATCATTTAAACTTTAAAATTGAACTTCTTGTCCGTCTGGTAGGACAGTCCTTATTTGGACTTCACGTACATCTATCCTAACAAATACTGAGCGAAAATGCTTTTTTTTGCTTTCGATTCGCATTGCATTCTGGTGGATTTTTTACACAAAGAAATAAATTGGCTAGGCTTCAGTTTGAAACTGACAAATAAACCGTCTATTGTGTTAATTAACCATAGATTGTTTTTAAACTTAAATTAAAACAGAAAAAAATCAAAAAAGAAGATAAGTGAAAGCGAAGCTTATTGTTTTTATCTTATCTCTTATAATTTTTCTTCAAAGCGTCAAGCAAGTGTAAGTGTCAAACATTTTACCGCCTAACTGAAACAAAATAACACGTTTTTAAGACGAATTAAACCTTTGGTAACTGTGCATATGTATCTTTTATCACTATGAATATACGTAATAAGGTAGTCTACGTTTCAAAAGCAAAAACTCACTGCTCTATTTCGAGAAAAGAGGCTTTTAATATTGTTTTCGTCTTCGAATTCAAGTGAATGAGAGGAAATATTAGATTTGAAATATTAAATCTCACCTTGCGAAGGCGTGCATGGGTTCAACAATCCTAAAATGGTTACTTCCAGTTTGGTGATGAACTTAATTCTAGAGGTTGCTTGTGCCCTCGAAGCAACAAAAGACTTGTTTTATGTTGTCACAGCCTCAAAAAGCGTTAAATACCATGATAAATAACAAGGCAGTGTTAATGTGCGATGTAAGAAAGGCCTGATATGAATACCAACAGGAATTCACTTTGAATTTTGCCGAGATGGCTTGGGTATAACAACAGGTAGTCTCCACAGGCAGAGAGAAGACAATTCGCGAGCCCACCAAATAAACAGGTGCCAACAAAACCACTCTCAAATTATTCGAAAACAAGCGCCAAATAGATGTAAACAAAGCCTGTGACATTGATTAGAATTTGCCAAGTGCCAAGATGAACGTTTGTTTCAATAGAATGAGTTTTCTGGATCATTTTGACACGAAATACGTTTCGAGTTACTCATGGAAAAATATAGACAATTTTCTAAAATAAATTATTTCATTGTCTCAAACTTTCATAGCCAATTTAAAAAAATCAATGCACACAGACTGTCAGCGGGTGAGGAGGCTAATGAAAAGCTTCTCTACTGTTTAAAACATTATTATTCGCATTCCAAATATTTCTCATTCAATTTTTAATCGGTTTAAATTCTACGGCTTATTCTTCATAACGTTGACCAATATCCGGTAAAATGACGTCAAAAGTACAGGATATCACATGTATCTGGCTGAATAGTTTTGATTAATAGTGAAATTCTCATTATGACGGGAATGGTCTGGTCGGTCAGTTCTGACGAATGGAAAGCTCTGGGAAAATGTCTTCGGTAACTTATTTCATCTTATGTAAATTGTCAAGTTCACGAGCCCCATAAACAAAGGAAAAGCGGGCAAGCTTCTAGGAAGTTGCTAGTAAAACTGGTTTGGTGTTGTTTCTAATTGCATCATGGGACTGTTCTTGCGCTCGAGTTTTGACCACGAGCCAATCATTATCATGATAATAATAATAATAATAATATTTATTATTTGGTATTACGCAAATAAACATATATCAAATGATCAAATGCGCATGTAGTCATCCAGTCATGATGGTAAGTATCGCGCATTAATTTGAAAAAATTAGCATAACCTCAAACCAGTGGCTTCTGCTTGGAATTTGAGGGCAGGATGTTGCAGTGAATCCATGTTAATGAAAGTTTAATTGACACATTATTATGCACGCCATGAAGATTGCGTTTTGATATTTTAAAGAATTCTATCGAGCCATCCGTGAGATATATGAAAAAGAGCGTTTGCACAACCGAGTTGCTTTTGGAATGGAAGTTAGTTTCTAAGATCGCAAACAAGGAAATACCCCAGAATTTACTAGCATAAAAATATGATCTTTTTATCTCGACTATTAAAAATATAAGTTTTGAAATTTATTTGCGTTTTATTGAAATTCAAACATACAGATTTTTTTATTCTCATGGAGATTATTTGCCAAACACCACACTTTAAGTTCCTGATGTCGGATTTTCGAAGCAGGCCTAGATGTCGCCAAATTCGTCTTTGACTGATTTCAGAGAGTTTTGTTTATCATTGTTATCAGATGGTAGTATAGATTTTAATTAAAACTAAATTTTGACAAAGTTCAAGTAGTGAAAATTTTATGGCCATCGGACAAGGATAAAATCACTTTAAGGCAATTGAGAAATATCGCCATGGTCTCCGAAAAGCTGTATCGAAACACCTTAAAGAGCTGTGTCAAGGAATTAATCAAAATTCAGACCGAGTGACAGAACTACTGAAAAAACTGAGTGAAACGTAAAAATAACAGCTCAAAAGATTTATTAGAAGGTATCGCCAAATGGACCTTTTGCGTTCAACATTTTTTTTTTGGCCAAAGTAGCTATTATAAAAACTAAGAGTGCAACCATTGCTTTTTACTCTTCTCCTCCTTTCCTCCTCCTCGCTCTTGTTCCTTTCTTTTTCCTTCGTTCCTATGATTTTGGAGCCGTTCCTATGATTTTGGAGCTTGTAGGGCTTAAAAAATCTGCCTTTTGACGTCTTTTCACTCAAATGAGTGCAAATTTCGTTAGGTAGGGTTTCAAAAAAACGGCTAGATGTTTCCAAATAATTCTGCCAATCTTTCAAACTGTGCCATTTCGAAGTGGCTGCTCATTTTGAAGGATGTTCTAGCCGGATTTTTGAAAACGTTATTACCAAAATGGACCTTTTGCGTCCAACAGTTTTTTTTCTGGCCAAAAGTAGCTATTATAAAAACTAAGTGGGCAACCATTGTTTTTTTCTCTTCTGCTGCAAATTTCGTTAGGTTGGTTTTTAAAAAATCGGCTAGATATATAGGAGGCACGGATGGACAAAGTTGAAGATGAAACTTGTAAACCTAACACACAGTGTTTCAAAGTTCATTTTCGTTGTTTGTAACGTTTGATATAATGCTTGGGAGATAGATTGTTTGGGGGAAGCTGTGCTTTTGTCATTTACACGTATAAGGACGCCTAATTGGCATTATAAACAAGTGAACTAGCCAGCCACGACATAGGCAAGACACAGGCCCTTTAAAAAATTTCATCCTCGAAGTTGAGGGTCAGCAGAATCTGGCAAGAAAGTGACAACTGATTTATATGAAAATATCACCGCCTGTTACAGTTATAATGTCAAATTTAAGCATATTGCAATGAAAATTAAGCCCCAAAAAACGCCATGGTTTTTACGGGGAACGAACCCATGGCCTCCATGTTATGAAGACCCATATATTGGGAGCAGGGCAATCTGTTGAATTCATCACTATTATAAAGCCGTGAAAGGACTGAAGCAGAATGGAAAAAAAATGCACTACTGGGGAGCGGACCGCCATTTTATGTGGTCATCCGTGCAACGCGAAGGTCAAGCCGCTTGCAGTGCAGAGGGAGTGAGCCTTGGCCGGCCCCTGGAATCGAACTTGCGACCTCCTACTCTGAACTCAAGCGCTCTACCGACTAAGCTAATACCGCGCGGATGATTTCAACTGTAGACGTAAATGCAAATTGAAATGAGGATAAAATATCTGTGCTGAAAAATAGAGCAAAAATATGAGGGAAAATGTTCGGTGGGAAAATAGTTCTAAACCTAGGCTGACATACTGAGGCCTTATTTGCCGAGTGTTCAGCGCGTCGGAGTCACAAACCGGCCACTTGTTTGTTTTGTTCTCGGTTTTCCTGAGTTCAAAACCTCGCCCGCGCTTGCAAATAGTCAACTTGCTGCCTCCTGTCAGCTGGGATTTTTTATCATGTAATGTTCTATTTGGATTATTCGTTTCTAATAATTTGAGTGGGGTGCCTGTAAACTGTCTAGTTAGGTGAGCATGAGCACTTTCCACCGTAAACATACCTTTAATCTTCCTTTTTTAAAAGGCTTTTTTTTAAGAGCCAGCGCTAGGGGACAACTGGACCAAATCTTGATAACACGGGATGGAGCCAAGTTAAAAGTGATCTTTGCGGCGAAAATCGCTCAAACTGATTAATTTTGGTTTGCTTGCTGATGCCTTGGACAATACTGAGTTACGTTTTTTTCTTGTTGTTTAAAGGCAATTTTGCACTTCCGTGAGCCAGTGTGCCTTCATGATTCTAGCGTAGGTAGCTTACACGAAACCGTAGAAATTCTCGACTGACTTGTGTTTTTTTAATTGATAAGCAAGGAAGAAACCAGCCACCTGATGACATTAACTTTAATATGCAACAATACAACTAAATTCTACGTTTTTTATATTTTACATTTTAAGTGTTGCATTCTAATATACTACTTGAAATGAGACTTCCGTAAGACTTTCTTATGGGCTTAACCGACCAATCCTTGAGACTTCATTTATGTATCACCCTTGTGTGACCCAGGGGAATCCCCTTTTGTGAACGCCTTCGTAAGCGCCAGTCCAAGGAAATCCCCGTTTATTGACCGTGATTCCTGTAAATCCCCTCTTGACTGCTTCGCTTATGCGCACAAGTCTTGCTGGAATAGAGGGACGACCATTTATGCACTCCTCGGGTATTTTCATCTTTTTGGGGTCCACCGAAGGTTGCAAATCAAAATAACTAGATATAAAATGAAGTAATCATTATTTAAGATGGATATCTTAGGAAGGAGTTACAGAATTCCAGGGGGTGTGGGAATGAAGCACTCAATATGTTGTGTAGCAGGAATTTTCCCCTGGGGGCCAACCAAAAAAGGACAGATCTTTTGGCAAAGGATAAAACTAGTTTTATCGTTAAAACTCCTGTGCAAGCTGTTGTCTGTTTCCTTGGAGCGGGTTTCATGTTACAAGTACCCTTTCACAAGATACTGTAGCCTTTTGAGTTTTTCCCCACTTAGGGAATACACGTGATTACTTTTGACCCTTGCTTATACTGACGGACTAACACTTCTTCGTGGGAGTTCTAATAACAACCTACTGCTACAATCGGTAACAGCTTTGGTTGTTAGAAACTTTCATGAAATGTACTATATTTTGGCGGAAAAATAAAACTGGATTCAACCCCTACCCCGACCACGCCCTTCATTGTTAATTTTATTCTATTTCATTTTTTTTTTTTCAAACTATTTGCATAAGACTGAGACCATAATTAAGAAGTGAACTGATGGCATTTTAAAATCCAGGTAATTGAGCAGTTTGTCGACGGAAGATGTTTTAGATTTTCTGCTATTTCAGCTTTGTACATGCGCTAATTGATTTTTCAAGTCAAGTGTTCTTGTCAATAAATACCTAAGAAATATTTGCTAAGTTGGCTTGTTTGCTGTTTTTTACAGTCAAATTTGAGCAGCGAAACAACAACTCTAAAAGGTAATAGGGAAGGGAAGGCTCTATTTGTCTGTGTTGAATTAGACGGTAGTGTCGGAAGAACGTGGGAACACCCTGATTGTGGTTGCCCTTTGTTTAAGTTGCGATTTCACAATTCGTGCCCATGCTATGGGTAGGCAAAATACAGTTTGATGCCTATTAAACCAGATGATCGGACTAAGAAAACTCGAAAATAGTGATGAGCAACGTTACGTACCTTGCATAGTCCGAACTGGAATCGTCATGATAGGCAAAGGTCACTGGAATGCAAGCATCACCACCCTCCAAAGTCACCATACCGGAACCTGAAAAACAGAATTCATCGCGGTTTGAAATATGATGAGAAGCATAATGTGTGACCATTCTAATGCATTTTCTCCTCAGGAATTATAACTTTTTCTAGTTGCGAAAGTAGGTTAGGGGTTGATTAAGGTAAGTGTTTCCAGGTAATTGTGCAGAGAAACGACCCCAGGCGTTAGGGACAATTTGTATCAAAAACACAAATAAAGTCAAAACTGCAGCAAAACACCAAACAACTGGATCCTGTGTAGACCTGGATCAGTAACAGTTTTGAATACCAAGTAGAAAAACAGTAAACTGAGCATGATTTTTCCAGTGTTAGGGACAATGCTGGTTATAGTCTCCTAAGTGGTTATCTGGCTGAGTTGCTGTAATGAAATATGAAATAATGGGTTTATGAATTTTCATATAGCTGAACCGCAAAGAAGAAATAAATACAAAGAAAACTGATCATCTCAGTTTAAGAGGCAACTTTCCCCCGCAAGTATGAAATTTTTCTGGCTTCACTTCTTTTCGCAGTTGTATAAGTAGCGTCTTTTACTGCGATGATATTCTTTGCATTTATTTAACGACATAGTTACCTTCTTTAGGATTAATAAAACCCTGAATCTGTTACCAGCTTAATTGATGGCACTAGCAAAAATTCAATGCATCTCTGAATTCTTACCTTCATCTGTTTTGACTGAATACAGGTTAACGGAAGCTCCATTTAATCCGAGTTTACCAGAGGCAACTGGTGTTAGATATTGGCTGAATTCTCCGGGGTTGAGCGGGAACATCTGTGCCGTGCTAGGGTCGCCAGCGATGCACCCACCTGGGTGGACCAAGTAATACTTGTTCTACAAAACATCCAAAATTTTAGAACCGTAAACATTTTGAAAGCTCATACACAGTAGCAAATGGTGAGTTTTTGAAGTCTAATCATAGATGGGAGAGGGGACTGATTATAAAGGCGGCAAATAACAGCAAAGATGAAAACAAAGATGCTGTAATTTATGTTAACTTGAAACTCCCTGACCAGGTATAATCCTTTGGTTATAATGTTCACAAAATGTGACTGTATGGATCAATCTGTTTTGAAACTACTAATATCTGTATAGAGATAATGAGCAGTTAATGACATGTGGACGGAAAAACTCACGTAGAGGTACAAGTTAACGTTTGTCGTTTGCCGTCATGATCTAGATCTGTTAACTAATGCCTGGTCCACACTAATTCATTTTTGTTTGAAAACGAATACATTTCGATGCGCTTAGGCCCTCTTCCGTCCACACTTATACGCTAAGCGTTTTCATCGAAAACGCATCAATTTGAAAATGCCGTTGAAAGTGGATCAAAACGATCGTATTAGTGTGGACGGTCGAAAACAGTGGAAAACGGATCAAATATGCATGAAAACGATGAACGAAAATATCGCTGGCGCGTGTGTTTATAGCATTCTCCTAGAGTTCAACTTACGTCACAAAGTGCACATCTCTATCGTTTTCGGACGTTTTTTTGTGAACAGTCACAAAAAGAGTCAAAACGGTAGTGGTGACTCGAATCGATCGATCCGTTTTCGATGACAACGAAAACGCATACTTTTGAAACCGCATTAGTGTGGACAGGGCCTAAATCTTATTCTGACGACATACAAGACGCAAAACATTTCAAATCTCCTAAAAGAAATGCTTAAAAATACTTACATTTTTTTGGTCCAAATACATTGAAAATTTCTCCCCATGTTCCGTAAACTCTGCTTGGAAAAACTGTCTCTCAATGTCCAAATTGAATCTCACGTCGTACGTACCCTGTTCTTCGGTCTACAAGTTAAACATCGGAAGTTTTCTTACTTTTGATTTTCTGCTGCGAAAAGTCCTAATAGAGTTTTTGCTGTTCTCCAAGATAAGAAGCTTATCTTTGATGTTTGGACCGACTTCATGATTTTCAATATAATTCCGATAAAAAGCATGTCTCCTCTCTGAATCATGCATGGATATGGAGGGTATATTAACAAAAAAGAAGAAGACATTTTAAGTCCAACCTTTCTTGGGCATTGGTACTGAAAGTAGTATCCATGCAGACAAATTTTTGCACGAGTTTAAAATATTTTTGTCATGGTGAATAGCATAGAAAGTTTTATTAGCAAAATTCTGGATGTTTTTCTACTTCTGTTTCAATAGCAATGGCAAAATAACGTTGAACAAACTTGAACACTATCTCTCTATATAGATTCATATATTAAGCACTCCCGTTCAAGACTTTGCTGCTAACGATCATCATTATTCTAATACCGGTAACCCCTTTCTCCACCAATAGAAAAGGAAAAGAAAGACAAGAGAGAAGATCATGCTCCTTATTCTCGTGTTTTTCATGTTTTGCTTAAGCAGTGACATAAAAGGAAAAATAGGTGACGACAACTTCAAAAGTAGTTCGGTAAAAAAATCTGACTTGTTTTCGGTTGAAGTGACACGAGGACTGGGATGCTCAGTTTTTGCTAGTTTTTCGTCAATGTGCTCTCGCACTGAACAGTTATATTCGCTTGCATATTTGGTTATTACTCACTAGTTTGTTCGAATGGGGAGTTTAGTATAAAAAAGTTTCTCTCACCAAATAGAGTCTTCCTGATAGCTGACGCGGAAATTCTAAATAAATAAAATAAATAAATAAGTAAGATCGTATAAAAAACAGTCATTTAGAAAGTAAAAAGGGTTTATTATTAATAATAAAAAAACAATGTTATTGAAAAACGATGAAGAAAGTTTATCCTAGTCTTAAGATAAGTGACCAGTTCCGATGCTATTGTACCGAAACCACAGTTTGGCTTGCGTGCATGTGGCCGAGATAAGGACCTAGCGTTAGAGCAGAGTAGGACTCGCCGCTGTTCATATATGCATCCCAAATTTTGTGAAACAAAAAAGAGTCGCGTAACATATCACGGGCCTTACTGCAAATAAGGACAACGAGTTACTTCTGTATGCTAAATTTACTTCTAAATGCTAACGTTCCATTTCCTCAGGCCCTGTTCCACCGTAACCACCAATAAACTATTTTCATTTTCTAACCTGGCGGGTAAAGCTATTGACCCAAGCCTAAAACTACTGGTCAAATAACCAGTGCTGTTCTTGTATCCTTTTATCAGAAAGAATTTCTTTTTAACTCAGTTGGGCAAGATCACAGTTCAGTTATAGGCCTGTGTCATTTAATATTAATATTTTTTTAACCACAAATAAAATTATGAAAGATTTTAGTCAAGTTAAAGGAGTTCGAAAAACAAAAAAATTCTAAAAGGGATTATTATTCTCTTACTTGAACAAGTTAGAGTTCTTTTTGATGCCTGTGGATTTGCGCTAGAGGTACCTAACAACAAAGCAGCAACGAGGAAAAATGCCTTCATCTTCAAGTCGTCCAAACAACCTCAACACAATTGCCTTTAATTGTGAAGTTTGATCTTTCTTTGCTTCTTTTTGTATGTTCAATGCATTTACTTAATTAATAAAATTGCCAGCGCACTTAAGAAATTAAATACAATTAAAAAGTCGATGTTTAAACAGATAAAATAATTATTGGCTCTAAGTAAAAAGGTTTTTAAGAGGAAGAAAAATAAGGTTTAGAATTCCCTTGGAGCCTGGTGAGACGGAAAAATCCTAATTGCTGTACTTGTATTCTTTGTATTCCTGTGCACTGCTTGGAAACCCGGCTAGGAAAAGGATAGTAAAGGAACGTTTAGTAAACAAAACAACAGGAAAAAAAAGTATTTTGTTGGATGAATGTGGTTTAAGTTAGGATTCTGTTCAGCTTCAGGAACTTCATTTATAAGGCTTATATTAGAAACATTCAGTACGACAACAACATTCACTTAGAACATTGCCTGGGGGTCCGAAATCAAAATAAACGAGTCTCAAATTTTGGAGCTTATTAATTTCATTTTCGTAGACAACAAACATAAAAAATGGTCTTAAAACTTTTAGGTAAAATAAGCAACAAAGTAAAGGTTTGTTATGTAAAGTAATACATTAATGAAGGAGGGCGGTAAAATAATCAAAGACAAACATGACGCAATTATCCCAGTCTTAAGAGCGCTCACAAGTCAGACTGCGTTAATTTTGTCTTAATATGTGTATGTTCACCTGTACTCGACATCCATTAAATGAAACTATAACTTTAAATAAATTGAGAGACTTAAGACGCTGATGAATTTTTTCGTTCAAATTTGTTGCTATACGGAAGTTCTAATTATGATTTGTAAGTGTGTTATCGTTGAATCAGAGTAGGCTTGTAACGCACTTTCTTCAGTGGGACTTGATCCTCAAAAGACAGAAATCAGACACTGCTGAGCAGATCATTGTCGCCTGCACATGACAACTTGTTGTTACTATAATACCCTGTTCACACGAGTCCAGACAATTTTATTTTTTGACTAAAAATTAATTTTCTCAAAATAACCCATTACAAGCAGATAAAGTAGTCAAATAACTGTGTCATTTATATAAAATACGGTCTGAGTTAGTCTTCGTTTAAATAAACGACTCATAATGTCTGCTTTTGTTTTTATGTACATGTGTGAGTGTTTTGAATGCGCCAATTTACTGACCGGCTTAAACTTCAGCGTTTTCACGAGAATAACTTAACTTTCATTTTGGGTAGCCATATGCATGCTCCCTTTGGTTTAATTTTGGCTCTAAATTCTATCTGTCATATCTTTCATTTTTAACCTGACTAGCAGTTCCATTCACGTTAAAACTCCAGCCTAAATTGTGAGAATTGTACCATGTGTCTTTACTATGACTAAATGCAGTTGGATTAAAGTCTTTTGAGTTTTCAGAGCCATTCTGATTTAGTTTTCGAATGGCTCTTAAGCGTTACCTTCATCATGAAGGATTAAAATTTAAATGTCTAAAGTCTTGAGAGACGCACTGATTATTTAAATGATGCAATATTCACACGAAAACTAAGTAGATAGAAACAAGAATATCGGAAATCCTTGCAAGTGAAATTTCTAGCGACCGGATCCGAACAAGTCCCTGCAGTGTTTTACTTTTGAAACAAATCGCAAGAAAACATCAAACTTACTCTTTATATGGATCAGAGTCAATAATTACTAAATAATATGTAACATCAGTGGTAGACAGAAGAGTAACCGATTTTCGGATGTCAATTAAGACCCTTTGTCGCGTTGGATGTCTAATAAGTGATTAGACATGGATGTCTAATCACTTATTAGACATCCATTTCTCTGTAGCAATGCATGATTGCCAAGAGCAATGTCAAGTGCACGGACAGCAATGTCAAGTTCGCAGACAGCGAAGTAAGAATGGCTTCTATAATAAAAAAATAAGAATGGCTTGTATAATAAAACAATTATTAGATTCGATTTTTGTGATATCCGGAATAATCAAGGTCTCGGTTAGTGTTATCAGCCTCAGCCTTCGGCTTCGGCTGATAACACTTACCTCGACCTTGATCATTCCAGATATCACAAAAACCTCATCCAATAATTGTTTAAAATCGGTAGATGAATTAAAAAAACCTTAACTTTTCTAAAGGCTGCTCTTAGTGGGTGTGTCTCTCAGTTTCCGAAATAATTGCTATGAAGTGAAACAATTAATCAATTCATTTTCGAAATACCTTTGAAGCAATGAATTAAAATAACTCGGGAATCTTTGTTGACTCAGATAGTGCTAATAAATTAAGCAACTGAATTTCGTTTATTAGTAAAATCCAACTGAGTGGTCTATTATCAATGCTGCGTTCTGATTGGTTGAGCTACTACTAGGCTATATGTTATAGTCCACTTGTATCAAAAAGCGCCGGCTTTTAAAACCAAACCAATGGCGGCTGAATCGCGTTTTGCTAGCTAAAATTGTTTTGGGCTCGAGGAATAATTGTTAATTGGCCAGACGAATCTCCAGCTGTGGCGTTTCAGTTTGTTTAGCGAAAGGTCGTTGCCATTTTCATCATTTAAATTCTCAATCAATTGATGGTAAGCCTTTTTTAAACGAATCCTCCTTTTATGGACTTTTTTCAAAGTCTTTTTCCGATATGCAACACCATTGTGATCAGTAATGTAAAATTCTAATAGTAATTTGAAAGAAAATGAAAACCCTCGAGTTGTTGCCCAACCCTCTTTCAGCTCTGTCTTTTGCAACCTGTGTTTGAATGGGTCAGGAGTATTTATGAAACAAACTTCAGGTGAACGGTTATGTTTGAGGCTACACTGTAAATCAAAGTTTTAGCTCTAAAGATGGGCCAATTCGGTGGGTAAAGTTTTAAGGGTCTAATGTGGCTACCTTAATCAGGGCCAATACAGTCCAATTACCTACTTGTAGGTTTGATTTGGACACACGAGCTAAAAAATGATTCCCGGCGAGGCCTGGAACAGGCTATTGATAGGACTGTTTTGGCTTGAATTTTGCGCAAAAGGCTTCAGGAGATTATAGAGATTAAATCAGACTTTGACCTACGGGGCTAAGGGACTTGTCAGAAATTAGCAGGGGGAGAGGGGTTGGAAATTTTAAAATTGGGTTCGGAAATGAGGTGACCCATCCTTGCAATGGGAGTGAAATTTGCTAACCCTCCCCTTGAACTTGGCCTAAAATATCATGACCCTCCCCCTCTTGTATAAATGATAAAATCTTTCCATGACCCTACCCCTTTTAACGGCCCATTTTTCATGACCCATCCCTTTTCTGCAGCCTCAAAAAGTTGTGACCCTCCCTCTGTTTCCACCCCCCCTCCCCCCTGCTAAATTCTGACAAGTCCCTAAATTGACACTTTCGATCTTTCAGATCTTTTAAATTTGCATTGTGCACATATATAACTGTAGCGGTTCTCTTTTGAACAGTGATTATTTTCTCTGATCACTAAACACTTGAAAATATTGTCATTCATGGACAACTGAAAGATCTGGAAATCAGGAGCACCCCACGACTCTTTTCTGTAAAATATCTGTTCGGAGAAGTAAATACTGCCTAGAATTTTTCTATTACTTGAGGACGGCTAAAAATTTCTTGATGACCTTTCCATTGATGTATAACTTTTGAAGCTTATCTCATAAATTCCCTACGTTTTCTGAAGCTTAATTTGTCACATTTCACTCCCCAGGTTAGGCTATTCTTCGCAGAAAAAAAAGGAAGCTTAAATTTTCGGATCAAAAATGTGATGTAGAGAGGAGTCAGAAAAATTCTCTTTTTCGTAACACGACTGAATTTGCATCTAAAATTTTAAGGAAAATACTACTTAAGCCCTTGTAATCTCGATGGACTCGAGTTTCCCTAGGATGACCGAACAGATTCAAATTTGATAGCGCCACTTAGAATGCATTTCTAGAGATTTAAGATTACCCCGGATAGCCTAAAAAGTGTTCTCGACGTATTTAGGAGGTAATCGTCGTTGGGTGCCCTTGGGAAATGTTCACTGCTAGCCAAAGTTAAGAAAAATCGAAAAAAAAAAAAATACCACTTTTTACTAGTAACATTGTAGATTATTATAATAAACGAACTGTCTGAGTAAATAAGTAAACAAAAATCTTTGTAACGATTTTCAATTAAACTTCAAAATACGGGAAATAAAAAATCTGGCTCTTAAAAGGGAAACACTATTATATAGAAAAATATTTTTTCAGCTTCATGAGTGAGATATATCAAGTAACAACTTTTTCTAATTGTCCGTGACCTTTCCAGCTTAATTTGCTAATAAATCTATTTTTATTTTTTCTAAATTTTATTTCATTTCTTTCTTAGTTCATACATTGTTTATTTTCTTTCCTAAAAGTTGCAATAATGCATGACGAATAACTCGACTCCTCCAGCAATAAATAACTGGATTCAGAATTGAATTTAACATGACACAGGAAAATGCCAGTGGCTCTACACTATTCAGTAGTGGAATTGAAAATTGCCGCTGGGCTGTAGCGCGCAAAGCTTGTGGCAAAAAAGATAAAAGAAGACCACCTAAAATAATAGCGGTCGTTTTCCAAGCTTTTCGATCCTCTAAAAACTTTGTTGTGGCTTCACTAGAGTTTTGCTCAGATTTCATCTGATGCAAATGGCGACGGCAAACAAAATAAACTGAAACATGACAGTAAAAAATCACTGGAGTAATAATTATCACGAAAAATACTGTAAGGCGCGCTGCAGTAAGCCTGATAGTTACATTAATTGTAGCCAAAAGCCAGCACAATGCGATAGCCGCAGTTAAACGTCCTTTTGTGGCGATGTCGTTATATCTCAAGGTATATTTCATTGCTATTAAGCGTTCTACGGAAATTAGTGTCAAATGAAAAAGAGAAGTTATGCAAAAGAGAGTTGTTGTTATCAGCGTTATTGTACTCAGCTTGCAATACATCGAAATCGATCCACCCGTTTGGCGGGAAATTTCTCTTGCGATGAACACTGGCTGGGCAACCATTCCAACCGCCAAATCTGTACCTGCCATAGAGGCCAGTATTAAATTATGCATATTCTGAAGCCTTGGTCTTGTCTTGACAGCGATTATGACCAGCGTGTTCAGAAGGATAGTCAGAGGGCAAGTCAACAAGTTCAGGATGATGGAAAGAACTGAAAAAAGTTTATCCACAAACTGATCATCAAATGTCCAGTCACAGCTGATAGCGTTTGAGACTGCTAATGAATGGTTAGTAGTGGCGTTCATAATAAGGGAGTCTGCACAGTGTAGGTAGGTGTTGCAACTATCGTAAATATGGTCACTTGGCAATATTGCTATGAACGTTTGTGAAACGACCTGGAGTCACTGTCAACATTTTCAAGATTTTCTCACGAGGTCATTCCCTGTGGAAATCAGTAAGTCGTCCTTCATACAATGAGAGTTAAGTCGTTAGTTTGTGACGTTTTATGCACCTGTTTCGGTGAGAAGTAACATATGACTCACTAAGACTAAATTGAGGTGCTTTGATTGGCTTTGAATTTTAGATTAAAATGTAGCTTTGTGAAGGCTTAATCGCTGCGAAAGCACAGTGCTTTTCCAGTAAGCGATTAGCGAGATTAAGGATTCAAAATTTTGTCGTAAGGACGAAAGCCAGTTGTTGTTTTCAGTAAGCTATGGCGAATTTTAAAGTTTGATTAAAAACATTAATAAAATAACAATAAATAAAGATTCGATCAAGCCCCCCCCAATTTTTTTCCCATACAGTTCAAACGAAAAACGTTAAAGGTGTTAAAGGCGGTATAGTGGCAAATCGTGAAATCTTAATATCAACATTTCAATACTGTCTAAATTAGACAGTCTTGAAATGTTGTATATAGATGTACGTTGTTTTTTTCCCTTTTCCTTTTTTTAATGAAGTCTCCGAAGAACGACGGTTTGACTGTTTGAAATAAAGGGAAAATGCAAGTTGCTTTTGTCTTATTTTCTGTTTAGTTATGATAGTTCATAGCTAGTGGTGGTGGTGGTGGTAGGGGACGGGTTGTTTGGGGTTGGTGGGAAAAATCCTGCCCCCCACCTTAGAAACGTTTGATCTCCCAAGAATGACGGTTTCGCTGTTTGAAATAACGGGAAAACGCAAGTTGCTTTTGTCTTATTTTCTGTTTAGTTATCATGGTAGTTCATTTACGGAGTTTAGAGTTTTAAAGCCTCCAGGTTACAATTTGTTTATTCGCGTATTCAGGGCTTTCAAAATGAAATTCATTGCAATTAATCGACCTTCCCGCGGTTTTTCTCAACTTTTGACGTTGAGAAGTTAGGGAAAATCCGTCGACTCCGCTGAAAAGAGCGCCCTTAAATTCATTATTGTAAGTTGCAAAGTTTGAAAGTGATTTGTTGAACAAAGATATTAGTAGCTCCTCAAAGTCGTGAATTTTTGCAGACGTTTGTGAATTTTCGCATTTTTGCGGAGCGATGTCTTCGCTGTCAAACTTGGCAAGTTTACTGATTTAAAGACACTCTTTCCTGTAGTGTCGACGAAGTTTCCCTAACTTGTTCATGTTAAAAGGGTCTCTGAGGTACATAAAAAAAGAGGCGAGAAACTAGAGTAGGACGTAGATGTTGTTATTGCAAATAGGATCACTCGGTAATATTGAGAACTCGTATGAGACGAGACGCGTCTTTGTTAGTCAGTATTTTCAAGATTTCTTTACAAGTTATGTCTGTAGAAAGCATCGTACTCTCAGGTGACATTAACTTTTATTCCCTGAAGTTAAGTTGTTGGTTTGTGATGCTATATTCATTAGTTTCGGTGAGAAGTAACATATGATTTACTACGACTAAATTGAGGTGGTTAATTTACTGGCTTTGAATTTTGTAGGGAAATGCTTTATTGTTAGAAAGCGTTCACAGCGATTTAAGCGATTAGCGAGATTAAGGATTTAAAATTTTGTTATGAAGACGACAGCCATTTCTTGTTTTCAGAGAACTAGGGTAAACCTTGAGGTATATATAAGCATGTGTTTTAAATTACATATATTTTAAATGAAGAACGGAAACTAAAGCCGTTAAAAGCAGTTACTGAGTTTCAAATTGCCAAGAATACGCTATAAAGCGCTTTTTCTAGCTGGATCTTTTCTTCGAGAAATCCCCGAAAAGCGACGGTTCGACCGACGACCGTTCAAAATATCAGGAAGACTCAATTCGCTTTTGTCTTTATTTGCTGGCTTATCATGATAGTACATTTGCGGATTTAAGCCTTGGTTCCTCATGTCACATCTAGTCAAAGCGAAGCCTCACTCAGCCATACAGGCAACTAAGACTGATGGGTTTCCTTGACATGTACAAAGCAGTTAATATAGTAACTTTTTGCTGAAGTCCAGCTAGTTTGAAAAATTTTACGTTTTTTTTTTGGGTGAGAAATAAACATATCTGATCTCACTTCAGCTAGATTAAGATGGATTAAAAGACTTTGACTAAAGTCAACATGACAAGCAAAATGGAGCTTGGTTACCGGCCCTTCACTGAACTTGCGGCAAATACATTTTTAATACCAAATTACAAACTTTAAACAGTAACTGATCCTTAAGGCAGAAAGAGTGATAGAAATAAAAAATAAAGTGGTGAATTATATTTGCCCGATATTTTGGTTTGCAGCACAAACCTCTAACGGGGGCTATGAAAGAAAAATGAATACAGATAAAAGATGAACGTTACATATGCGAGATTTGAATACATAGCAAACAGAAAATGATAGGCTACTAAAAAGATAAATGTCACTAATTGAGTTCATCACGTCTATTTATATCACGGGGTTCTAAAGTCATAGCTTTGTCAATGAGGTGTGTCTCGCGTGCCTTTCTGACAGAGTCCCGGTTGCTACGGATTAGTTCTAAGGGAATAAGAAGGACTTCGTCGATAGAGCGATTGGCGCTTGATTGGAATGTTCGTAAACAGGAGAAGGATTTTTTAGGAAAGTGGCTACGGTTGAGAATGGAGCGGCGATGATCCCCAAAGCTTTGGTGGAGATGGCGCTTGGTCTCCCCAATGTACTGTTTGCCGCATTTTTTGCATTCAATGAGATAGATAAGGCTTTTGGATTTACAGTTTAAGGGGTCATGTATAAGTCGTTCCTCTTTGGTGGAGGTGAAGGTGTAGTTGGGGGCATGGCTTGGCCTTGTTTTAAAAATGGACAGATAAGTCAGCGTGGATGATTGCATTTTGAAACGCCTGGAGATGGTTTTTCTTGTTGTATGCTACGGAAATATTTGTTTGTAGCGATTGGATGATTGAAGAATGTTTGTATTTTTCCGGACAGTGGTGGAAACGTTCGGAAGAGCTGGATTATATGTGATGACAAAGGGAGTTCGTTTTGATTCTGTGGTTGCGGTTTCAGAGTTTCATGACGTGGAAATGATACGTGTCCGGTTAATTTCTTTTTTAACAAAGTGGCGGCTGTATCCTCGTAGTTCCAGAAAGTTTATAAGTTCAGTGCAGCGTTTATTGAAGAAATCGTCAGTGCAGGAGCAGATGCGACGCAGACGTAAGGCGAGGCTGAAAGTGATGGTGCGCTTTGTGTGGGCAGGATGGCAGGAGGTTTTTAGAAGATATTGGTGCTTGTCTGTGGGATTTGTGTGGAGATCAGTTTCTACTGGGCTATTGTCGAGATAGACATGTACGTCTAGGAATTGAAGACTTTGGTGTGAAGAATTTGAATATTCATGTGTAAATTTGATTGTTGGATGGATAGAGTTTAAATGATGTAGGAAAGTTTGAAGATGCTCTTCTCCTTCTGTCCACACCATGAAGATGTCATCAATAAACCTCCACCAGACGTAAGGTTTGAAAGGGTCGTTTTCGATTGCAGATTGTTCCAATTTTCCCATGATGAATAGGTTAGCGTATGAAGGTGCCATTCGTGTTCCCATAGCTGTCCTGTGGATTTGAAGAAAGTGTTGGTTGTTGAAATTGAAGTGGTAAATCGCTAACGGGGGAAGGGTGCTGCAAAAGTGTGATGTTGTCAATGAGTCATTTGAGAGAATATTCAGTGACCTTCGTGTTGTTCACGTTTTGCATGCCAGCTTCTTTACAATCATGTTTCTAGGGTAAGTATAATTCACCATTTTATTTCTGTTTTCTTCATTTATTTTTCCTATCACTCTTCCTGCCGTAGGGATCAGTTTACTGCAGCTCTAATTTTGAAATTTGGTATCGAAGATCTTACTAATCCAGGTCTACTAAAGATCCCGCGGACCCTCACTGGTTGTCTTTGTAGTTTTGCCTTCAAGAGTGTTTTATTTACCTGGAGACCTGTGCAGACCGACCAAGACGGCAAGCCCCCTATGAAAATTTCCACCGCAACAACAAAAAACCTTTAGTTAGCCAGGTCTCCGCTGTGCGAATATTCTTCGGGCTTTTTCATGTAGTTTCAAAAATTCGGTAGGATAGATTTTGTGGTTTATCCTACGTTGTTTACTTTCTTTCCTATAAGCTGCATGATTGTTTGACGAATAATCTGGCTCCTCCAGCAGTAAATAACAGGATTAAAAAATGAAGTTATAAGAACACAAGAAAATCCTATTGGCTCTATACTATTCAATAATGGAAATGAAAATAGTTGCATGGCTGCGTTGCGCAAAAGCTCTAGCAGAAACGATAAAATAAGACCACCTAAAATAATAGCGGTCGTTTTCCAAGCTCTTTGATCCTCTAAAAACTTTGTTGTGGCCTGCCTGGAGGTTTGCTCAGATTTGATCTGATTCAAATGGCGACGACAAACAAAATAAACTGAAAAATGACAGTAAAAATCATTGGAGTAATGATCATCACAAAAACGTCTGTAATACGCGTTACAGTTAACCTGATAGTCAAATTAATTGCAGCAAAAAGCCAGCACAATGCGACAGCAGCAGTTAAACGTCGTTTTGTCACGATGTCGTTGTATCTTAAGGAATATTTCATTGCTATCAAACGCTCTACGGAAATTAGCGCCAAATGAAAAAGAGACGTCAGGGAAAGAAGAGTTGTTGTTATCATGGTCAATGTGCTTAGGTTGCAGTACATCAAAAGCGTTCCACCTGTTTGGTGTGAAATTTCTCTGGCGATGGACGCTGGCTGGGCAACTATACCCACTGCCAAATCTGTACCTGCCATAGAGGCCAGTATTAAGTGATGCATATTCTGAAGCCTTGGTCTTGTCTTGACAGCGATTATGACCAGCGTGTTTAGAAGGACAGTCAGAGGGCATGTTAACAAGTTCAGGATGATGGAAAGCACAGAAAAAAGGTTATCCACAAACTGATCATCAAATGTCCAGTCACAGCTGACAGTGTTTGAGACTGCTACTGAATGGTTTGAAGTGCCGTTCATATCAAAGGGAGTCTCTGCCCGAAGTATTTAAATGTTGCAATTACACTAGTTCTGGGATCGCTCTGTAATATTGCGATTAATTTGAACGAAACCAGCTGCAGTTCTTTACAGGTTATCTCTGTGAAAAGGATCGTACTCGCAAATGGATGTTCACTGCACTGACGACATTAACATAATTCGTTGGTTAAGCGCTAATAGAACATTTTTGATGCTAAAGTTGCTAAGACTAAATTAAGTTGGATTAAGAGGCTTTGATGTTTTAAGAATATTTATGAAATGTAGCTTTCTTTTCGTTGCGAACGCACAGCTGAACTCATAGTTCTGTCCCAATTACGCAACCTATCATGGCAGATTTCAAATTTTGTTATAATACCACAAACAATGAATTATTATAACAAAATAGCACGGAGAGCTGTTAAAATGTACAAAATTGCAAAATCGGTAATAGGAAAAAGCCGAATTAGTTTGCGGAATGGCATAGAGATCGAATGGTAAAGTTATGCTGAATCAGTATTCTAAACAACTGAAAAGCTCACACGCCTTTTTCTGCGTCAATTTTAAGGAGCAGCCGTGTTCATTCTTTACAGAAAATGATGGGAAAAAAAAAAGGAAAAAAAATTATGGAATCTCGGGCTAACGTAAAAGGAGTTGTTTGATATAAATTGTGAATGCATCGTTCACTGTAAAATTACATTCCGCAATTATTCATATTCTTGATAAAAAATGCAACAGACGATGGAAGATCATTTTTCGGCCGCTGTTTCAAGCTGACATCTTGCCTTGTTTAATTTCGTAAGAGACTAGCACGTAGATTAGAAGTTCACAGTCCCCTCTTTTTTCGTAAGATCGGAGATGAGCTCTTTGTAGACTACGAGTATTCCCCCATTTTTCCTCAGGGATAGTAGAGCGAGCGAAACGCGAGCGCACGTGAAAATCATTGACCCCACGCGAGAAAAGGCGACATTTTTCTCTCTCCCCACCGCGTGTCGTCTTTTCTCGCGTGGGGTAATTTTCACGCGCGCTCGCGTTTCTCTCGCTCTACTATCCCTCATGAAAAATGGGGGACTACTCGTAGTCTAAGCTCTTTGCGTTACGGGTGGCCAATCTTGGATGAGCTATTTGGAGGCGGGTACCGCTATAAACCGCGACTCCCACCCCTTCGGTACATACAATTGACCCCGGATAACTCGAACCCTGGCAAGCTCGAACCTTGCGTAAACTCGAACCAAGATCGATTTCCTCTGGATTTAGTTCATATATTTACTGTAATTTTGCCCTCCGTAACTCGAACCCTCGATTGAATCGAACCTCCCGCGAACTCGAAGTAATTTTTGTTTCCCTTCAGATCATTTCTATATGATCTTACTAAACTCCTAACAACTTTTTGTAGCAATGTTAAAACACGAATTGTTTGTTACCCAGTTTAATGTAGCTTTAAGAGAGGTCACCGCCTTTCAAACTTCCTTCTTATCTAGTCAGGCAAAAATTAAGGCTGTAACGACTCTTAGCCGCACTGCGGATGAAAAAAAAATGTTGTTAAATCAAGTCTAGAAAAAAATCTGTCCTCCGGGAGGCCTTTTGTTCACCGAATCTACCCTGGGTACCAAAGGTTTTTTCTCGTGTGCGGGTGAATGCTTCGGTGTCAGCCGCAGGTATACCCTGGCATCCAGGGTACACCGAATCAAGTGTTCCTTAAAAATGCGTTTGCTTACCTAAGTTCCCCTACCGGAAATAACCCCGCCAGGATTAGCTCAGTCGGTAGAGCGCTTGACGGCAGAGCGGGAGGTCGCGTGTTCAATCGAATCCCGGGGCCGGACCAATACTCGGGGTCTTGAAGCAATAGGCCATTTGCACTAAGAGATCATGTGACATTGTTACTATGAAAATGAAAGTTATATGCATTTGCCTTTGAAAAACGATTATTGGGTCATATCTTAAACAAAACAATTATAGTGATTTGGTATTTCAAACCTGCACCATTTTCTTAAAATAGGTAAGTTCGTAGCTGGTCACGTGACCAAAAGTGATTTTTAAAATAATGAATTACCTCTTTCTGAACACAAATCTTGCACTTAAACTTCAATGAAAATGTTGAAAAGAGACGTTTACAGTACATCTGAGCGTAACTATCAAACGTGTAACAAGATATAAGCAAAAAGTAGTTTTGGCCAACATGGCGGCCAACACATTAATCATACTACTCTGTTGAAAAAACAAAGTGCCATAAAATCATCTCCCACAAATGCGTTTCCTCTCAAATCTCGGATGTAAGATAATTTTATGTGCTCTATCAATTTTTTGCAAGATTCCAACTCATTTTTTAAAGGAAGCATTGGACACTTGACCTCTTAGGTCACGTGGCCTATTGAGAAATGAAGGTACTGCCTTTGCCCTGCAAACGGCTAGACCTTCCCGGATGACCAAAATACATTGGCGCTCAAATACGAGTGAATTTATTTATTTTTTTGTAAAACTGACCTGTATTAAACAGTCACCTGCATTAGGCGGTCGCGGCGTTTTTTTCCGAGGTGCTAACAAATTCTTCACCCTTACTAAACAGTCAATTTGAGAAGACGTACCGCACTAGTGCAACAGATACACTGTGTATGACACTTAATGGTCTTTTGCTTTCTTTCTTTTGGCATAAGAAGAGGTAGAAAAAGGTTGAGGTCAATCAAGAGACTTGGTTCTTGGGTCAATTTTACAGTTGTGGGATAGATATTTTGCCACTTCACGATCATTATTTTCTTGAACAACTCATAGGCATGCCAAACCTGTATTAAACCATAGTTAATAAAGTGGAATGGTCATGAAACCCGTTGGACTCCTTTGTTATTTGTCAGATTGTTAGCTTTTTTTAACCTCACCGTGCACAACTGTCAATAGCATTCCTATCATCTTGAACTTACTGACCAATAGAAGATCGCTTTAGTTCACCCTGATACCACTAAGTATAGACTGAAGGGTTAGTTATACGGGGGTAATGAAGTTTCATACTCTAACTGGGATTAAGAATCTTCGCATTACTGGGTATATACGGGAACCCATAACCCACTTATTATGGAGGGTGTTCGTTATACTGGGGTAACGTTTCACACTTTCCTGGGTAAAGAGTCATCCACTTTTCTGGAAAACAAAAGAACCAATACTGAAAGTAAGAAATGTATGTCGAACCTGAGTAACGCATGTTGAATAGAATAAAACGAATGTGGAACTTGCAAAATAAATGTTGGTCTTAAATAAAACGAAGGTAAAACCTGAAAAACGAGCGACAGAAATTATATTATAGCACAAGTAAAAAAAAAACTGAAGAAACATCACTTTACCAACCTAAATGAACTGACTTTACTAAATTATCAAACCAGTTAATGAAATTCCATGTAAGGATTTTCTAGACCTAGGAAAAACTGAGAAAAAAAACGGAGCGAGTAAGATTAAAGATATGAAGGGGGAAAGCGTTCTTAAAATTGTTTTTTGTTTTTCTCTACAAGAGAATTGAATAGTACTATTTATTACAAGTAAACTTCAAAAGCAGGACTTTAAAATTCTAAAATATAAAATTGACATACTTTTATTGCAATATTTATTAGCTGGTCATTTTATTTATTTCTCATCTTCTAAACATTGTTTAGTTTATTTCTCACAAGTTGCGCTAATGCTTGACGAATAATCTGGCTTCTCCAGCAATAAATAACAGGATTAAAAAATGAATTCAAAATTACACAAGAAAATCCTATTGGCTCTATACTACTCATCATTGGAAATGGAAATAGTTGCATGCAACTAGGGGCTGCAGTGCGCAAAACCTCTGGCAAAAAAGATAAAATAAGACAGCCTAAAATAATAGTGGTTGTTTTACACGCTTTTTGATCTTCTCAAATTTTTGCAGTGGCTTCCCCGGATGTTTGCCCAGATTTAATCTGATTCAAGTGACGGCGGCAAACAAAATAAACGGAAAAGTGACAGTAAAAAATCCATGGAATAGTGATAACTAAAATAATTCGTGTAATAAGCGCTACAGTTATAAGTCTGATAGTCAAACAAATTGCTGCAAAAATCCAGCACAATGCGATAGCAGCAGCTAAACGCCGTTTTGTCAGAATGCTGTTGTAGTTTAAGGAATATTTTATTGCTATCAAGCGTTCTAAGGCAATCGTAACCAAATGAAAAAATGACGTTAGGCAAAGGAGAGATGTTGTCACCATTAATATTTTGCTCAGGTTGCAATACATCAAAAGCAATCCATCAGTAAGTCGGGCAATTTCTCTTGCGATGAACACTGGCTGAATGACTATTCCCACCGCCAAATCTGTTGCTGCCATAGAGGCCAGTATTAAGTGATGCATAGTCTGAAGTCTTGGTTTTGTCTTAACAGCGATTATGACAACCACGTTTAGAATGACAGTTGGAGGACAAGTTAACAAGTTCTGGATGATGGAAAGCACAGAAAAAAGTTTATCTGCAAACTAATCATCAAAGGTCCAGGCGCAGCTGACAGCGTTTGATGCAGGTAATGAATGGTTAGAATTGATGTTCATAATTATCAAAGGAAGTCCCTGCAGTGCAGTAAGTTTTCAAATGTTGCAATTGCTTTAATTTTAGGATCTCTCGGTAATATTGCGATAAATTTGCACGAAACGAGCTAGATTTCCTTACAAGTTATCTCTGTCAAAAGTATCGTAGTCTGAAGTGGCTATTCCATGCCCGGGGGGGGGGGTACTTTAGGAATTTCTGGGTGGGGATGTACCGCTGGAACCCTGGAACCCTTAACCTATACCAGGGCTAGCTCAGCTGAATTTTGCTACCCTATACTAGAGTTAACTCCCCAAATCCCCACTATCCTAGAGTAGCCGTTTCCCTAGTCTAGGTAAAATTTTCAATCAACTGATCAATTTCCTGAAAAATGATACCCTATTCTAGACCCAAACGCTCTGATTTATATACCCTATCATAGAGTAAACTGCTTGAAAAACATACCCTTCACAGCGGCACATACCTATATAGCCCATATATGGCAGTGACCCTCCCCCCCCCCCCCGGGTGCCCTCACGGCACTGCAACAAATTCATGGATTACACACCAATCGCTCAACTTTGACGAACAAGGCCCATATCACAATTAAAAATTTTTCAAACACTGTGAAATTTCCTAGAAAAATAAACCCATATTATAAACCAAACCGTCCGAATTTATACCCCCTTCCCAAGAGAAAACTCCTGAAAACCCATCCCCTTCCCCGCGCCCAATCCCAATAAGCCCAAATATTGCAGGGACCCCCCCCCCCCCCCCCCGGGTTCCATGCATGCACTGACATTAATTCGTGGGTTAAGCACTAATAGTGCATTTTTGATGAGAACGTCACTAAGTCTAAATTAAGATGGATTAATAGGCTTTGATGTTTTAAGAATGTTTATGAAATGTAGCTTTCTTTTCGTTGCGAACGCACAGCTGAACTCATGGTTCTTTCCTAATTACATCCTGATGACAGATTTCAAATTTAGTCATAATGCCTCAAACAATCCTTGCTGCTTTAACTCCGACAAATGAGTTATAATAACAAAATAGCGATTATTAGAGTGACTTAAGTTTTTTGTCAGATTTTTAAAATAATGCACAAAATTGCAAAACCGGTACTGGTAAAATACGGAATTAGTTTGGGGAATGGTCTAGAATGGAATTGTAAAGTTATGCTGATTAAGTATTAACAGACGATGGGAAATGTTTGGAGGCAAATACGTTTGAATTAGCTGCATGATTTGTTACTCAGGGGCACCCAACGTCAATTTTCGGAAAATATCTGTTCGTAAGACGATTTGAGATCTAGAATTTTCGGAACATTCGAGGTAAAATTTCTTGCTTGCCGCCTCTCCTAGGATTTTCAAACAACTAAAAAATAGTATAATTGCCCATTTTTAACGGATTTTTACACTGAAAAGGTCACCTAGAATTTTCGGAAGCCTTTTTTTGTGACTGAAATTTTCGAAAAGGTAAGTTTTGATCCCTATAATTTTCGGATCATTAGACTTTCATCTAGGAAATCCGAACAGAAAAAAATTTTTAGAGGATAAAAATATGCCTATAGCTACCGTTTAAACACTAAAATGCGTTTAACAATGCCATGTTTAAGTGGTGTTGAACTATATTCTCATTGGGTGCCCCTTCTTACTAGTACATAGGTAAATACAGTACTAAGAAAATCCTAGATGAAGCTTCGAGATGTTTCACATTATTTTTTAAATTGCCTTCTTTGTAGAACATTCAATTACCCAAGACCTACCGCAGTCTTTATAGTTTCTTTACGAACTTGCCTTGCTACCTGCGGAAGGTCGCCGCCTTCCGTTTCATTCTTCAGGACGACAGTTTCAAATTTACCTCGTATCAGGGGGGACAAGAGTTTTAATGGCTCTTGTCCGTATTGCGGATGAAAAAATTTTATTGAATCAAATTTAGAAAAAATGTTGCTTCCCGGAGGACTTTCGTTTACTTACCGAATAAAGTGTTCCCTAAAAATTAGACTGTATCATTGCAATTAAGAGTCTATAACATGCTCCTATAATCCGTTGATTAATTTAAACGAGTGCAGGAGTTCGATCGTTTATTGAGCAGAGATTGTTTTATTTGTTTGAAGTTGCTCATATGTATTGCGTTGTTTGCTATGGATAAATGCCTCCAACGATCAATGTCATTGATTGATACTCTTCTTCAAATAAGTCAGAAAACAGGATTGAACAGGGTAAACGATCCGTGCTTTATTGATAGCTCCCGAGTAGCTATCAATAAAATACAGTAAATTGATTAAAGGAGTGAAGTGCGTTTCTTGAGCAGAGATTATTTTTAATTATTAGTATGAGACTGTTCAATTTTTTTGTCAGCAGTTTTGTTGTTCATTTCAAAGTAAGATGTTTTCCAACGACAGATTCAGATTTAGCTGACGGCTGTTAACAGCAGTGGAATCCTGATATTTCTAAAACTCCTAGGGATAAATAAGTTGGTTTGAAATGTCACTATGAAGTTAGAAACACCGGGATCAAAATTAGCAGTCGTTTGCCTGGGAAACTTGGAAAGAAAAATAATTTGGTCTCAGTTAGCGGGAGGTGAGAAAGCGAGCGAGCAATTGCAAGTCGTCCACAAATCAGTCTACAGCAGGAGCATTAAGTTTTAAAACTGTTGCTTGACTGATTACTCCTGACCGGGAGACGCTTTTCATTGGCTTTGTGAATCTGGTAGCCTTAAGAAACGAAACTGAATAGCGGAAATGTTTCTTCTCCATTATATTGTCGATTAAATGAGTTTTGATGATGTTGTGTTAATAGACCTTGGACTGAATGCATGAGCGAGTAAATTAAATTCTGTGGACGGATTTTCAAGATACTAAGAAACACCGAAAAAGAAAATTAAGGATGCAAATGAATTCAAAAAAATTGAAAAAAACGACAACATTTTTTTAAACCTTCTAGAAGAAAACTCAAACATTCGTAGTAGAACACGTTATTTTAGTTACCTTTTCAAACTTCAATCTCTATTTTCCACTACAAAATTTATCAAGAAAACTAGAAATTCAATTTCAAATCATCAGGGCAAGGGATAAATTTCATAGAAGCAAAAACAGAAGGCGAAACAATTTGGTAATAATGTTTGCATTACTTAGCATAGGTCAACATCATGTGTCAACAAAATATAAAATTGCGATTATTTTCGATTCAGTCGATAAATTGTTTACTCAGATGATATTGCATCGTCAAACAAATATTTTCTTTCCTTTTGCGCGCTATTTTTTTTTACATGAGATCAAACAAACGAATAGAGATTACGTAGCTTGAAAGTCCAGTGCATTACTGTCACACTTTGGTGTTGGTCCGGTGAAAATGATGAACATATTTCCTACTTTCTTAATCTTTTCCGGCTTCCTATGTACAGCAGAGGGAAACATGCCTGAAGGTATTAATAATGCATTCCTGTTGAAACAGTAAATGTAACACGAGGAACTCTATTTGACGAAGTTCCTGGGGGTGGGAATATGTGGCTGTTAATGTAGTTCGCGTCGTTTCGTAATTTCACTGCTGTTAGGAATATCATTCGCTTTACCAGGAATAGATATTCAACTACGTATAGGCGGGTTTGTTATGGAAGTAATACGTCATAATTTCAGTTACTGGCGGTTAAGTTTATTCGCTTTACCAGGTAAACACTACTGAGAAGGGTACCTTCGTTATACCGGTCCTGTTTCATACTTTCTGGACGTAGGAATAGACGCTATCATTCGCTGTACCGGGTATACTACTTTTAATTAGAAGGGCCCATTACTCAGGGTCCTGTTTCATACTCGCGCTGAAATAGGGAGTATCTATTGGGTAGTGAGTGCGGGAAGTGGGGAATACACATTATATAGTTTTTGTGAATCAGCTCTGTTGTTGTAATTACACCTGAAATTACTGACTAAAGCATTTAAGAGATTAAGAGACAGAACTTCATTATATTTGTGTCGTCAGTGAAAATAAGGAGGATTTTCCTGATCGATTGTATAAGGCCCAAGATGCAATCTCGTTCCTTGCCACGACTGCTATATAAAGGAGATATAAAATACGGTTTCGCGTGAGATGTTTCCATACTTATTACTACAATTATTATTTTTCATGTTTTGCATGGAAGAAAATGAGGGAGTGGAAGGTCTATACCAGGGTGACATACTTCTTAATGAAGCTCAGCAAACGGCCGTGAGATCAGGAACAACAAAAGGATTTGGTGATATCCTTTGGCCTGGAGGCGTGGTACCATATGTCTTTTCAAAGGAAATTGGTAAGATGAAGAAACAATATTGAAACAATGGACTGCCAGCAATATGATATACGGATTAAGTAAAAGGTCAAAAACAAAGCTCTGGTGGGATCTTTTAATAAATTATATGTCTTTCTCAAGTTATTCAACTTTTGCTGTAAGCAATAAACAAACTGAATTCGTCATTAAAAAGATGGACCTGAGCCTGCGATTAATTGAAAACCAATAACTGGTCAGAGGATAATTAAAAAACACGTCACCTCACTGAGTTATACACCTGAGCCCGAGATACAGTCATGTTACCCTGGTCAGCGGATTGGCTTTTCCTGACAGCTGTCAATTGACCGTAACATGGATGTCCAATGCATATGTTCGACACAGATAGCATATGCTTTGGACTACCAGCTAGTAAGTGTAACATTTCACTTCTGTTGACATGATAGGGTGGCCGGACGGAAGTAAGGACGACTTTGTTTATACCGAAAGTTCTTTGATGCATGGTTAACCAACTTTTTTTTGCCCGTAGTGCTCCGCTATAATCAATACTAACTAAACTATCCAATTGGGCTTCTGGTATGAGACATTCTTCATAAACAGCATATCAAGAACCTCACATAATGCGCACTGTTCCGTGTCATCACAATTAACAAAGAGAAATTAAAAGTTAATACTCCTTTGTGTTGAAAAAGTAAAGTAAATGCAATGAATTTGTTCTGTTCTTTTTTTGCACTTACAATGTAGTATATTTTACTAATTTTGATTTTCTCAGTATCCTACTAGAATAAACCGTCACATTTAGGTTAGGATTCGGCATTTGATTGGTGTCCTGATAATGGTTTGAATAGCCAAAATTATTTTGTGATAAGTTTGATCTCTTGCTACAGCTCGACATGAACAGGCTCCCTCCCTCTCTCTCGTCGGATTATCCTTTGTCTTCAATTAACGTAACTTTTTTACAAGTTGAGTTTTTCTGAACTCCCCCAAATTCACTGATAGAAGTTAAATAAATGGCCCTTTCTGATTCCCTTTTTAAGTAAAAAGGGTCACTCTGGTACATAGAGTTGGTCCATTTAACCAGGAATATTAAATAGTTTCCTGTTGACAACAATAGTATAAGCCCTTTATACTCTCTTGGGTCTATATATTTTCTTTCCGTGTTTAATAATTGAACGGACACCTGTAGTATACCCTGTAGTATACCCTGCGAACAAACACCGGGATTCCAATTCCTTCATGGCGGTTAACATTTACGAAGTCGCCCGAGTGGCTTGTCGACTTCGAAAATACTAAAAACCATGCCGGAAAGAAAACTCGGCTGGTTGCTAGGGTAGTGTAGTAACGACCTGCAGATGATTTAGTCCCTCGCAATAATCTTTGGGACCCTACACGGCTCCACCCCACCGGTAGGCAAATTACTCAGTTTTACTTAATAATTTTACTGCCTGTTTTAAGCGTCATAATTTTATCAATCTTTTTTTTTGTTTGTGAACAGCGTCAACCTCTCTTTCAATGTTTATCAAACATGCTTTTATGGAGTGGGAACACTATAGTTGCATAAAGTTTAAACCAAGGACCACCGAGACAGCCTACCTGATGTTTCTATATGGAAAGGGGTGAATATCCTTAAAGTTTTAAAGGTTATATAGTGATGAAATGGCTTTTTAGTATAGTGCATCAAAGAGCAGAGGACACAAAAATATTTTAACAGGAAGGCTTGAAATTTAACTTTGTTCGACCTTTTAAGTTAAAGGAAGCCTCAAAGCAACTGGCGATAGGTCTTGGTGTACGGGAAGTATTGTTGGTTAAAATTTAAAAGGTATTATTTAATATTCTCTTTGGAACCAGGTCCGTTTTGTTAAGACATTTGAAAGTGCACCATCTGCGACACCAAACAACTCCCAAAATGCTTAAGGGATTCAGTCAAGGAGTCACGAGATGTATTTAATATGTATGACAGCCCGGAGACCCAGGGGGCAGGCAACCAGTTGGGTCGGGAGAAAGGACGCTACGAAAGTTTTCAAGAAATTTTTCGTCGCGCCGACCCAACTGTCTGCCCTTGGGTTTCCGAAGATGTTCCCGCCTATGACGTGATACGTTCCGATGCGACGTTTTATTGAGGACCTAAACACACCACCCTTTTTTCGACCACTTTACGTGACCCATCCGAGATGGATTGACCCGCACGGCAAACATTTTGAGGATTAGGAGTTAAAAACAGTCTCGTAACCAGTGTCTGTGATCCTATTGGTCAGCACTGCCTTTTCAGCCAGACAAGGGTAATGAAGGCTCTGGTGAGGAGATTGAATAACTAAACGTTTGCATCTTTATGCACAGAGAGATGAATGGTATTGTTCACTGGCCAAGATGTATAACTTTCTTTTTTCCTTAGGTGCTATTCTTACGTCGGTTACCAAGGAAACAAGCAGATTCTTAGCCTTGGTCTAGACTGCTTTCATAAAGGAATAATACTACACGAGATAGGTAAATATTGTTGGAGGTGGGGGTGGGGGGGGGGGGGGGTTTTTTTACCGTTGTTTTTCGGGCCTTTTTTTTTTTTTGGGAACAACCAGTGTTGAGTGTACACCTACCCCATTTAATGGCCCCTTTGTTGGTGAGGTTTGCAAAAGGACAATATATTTCGCACTCATGCGTATTTGAAAATACCGCAACACTTTTTAAATATTATCTGAAATTTGTTTGTGTATTATTTGTTTTTTTGCTTTTCATCTCTAGTGGGGCGTGTTACTGTAGAGTGACAGGTGTAGTTGGTTTACATATTTGGAATAGAGGTGAGTAAGGGTGGGAAGGGGGGGGGGGGGGGGTGGGGGGGGGGGGGGGGGGGGGGGGGGGGGGGGGGTGGGGTATTATTCACCGTAGTTTTCGCTGCCATCTTTTATTTTTAGGACACACCGAGTTCTGAGGTACCCTCAGCCTCATATAGCGCGCCTTTTGCGAGGAGGATTTCTATAGATTAATTGTTTTGCCCCTGTGATCGATCCTAAAAGACACCATCCCTTTTTGAATATGATACTAAACCAACACCTTGAGACGTGAAAAGATACTCAAAAATCTCCACAAACGTTTGTAAGAATTAGCCATTCTATACACTGTACCAGCTGTAGTGTTGTATAAACAGAAAAGCCAAATTTGTCTTGTTACCACTATTGATGTAGAGAGAGGTATTTAAGCAAAAGGAATACTGTGGTTCCTTTCATCAACTTGAACTTTTGGACGGTTATGATGGTGTTTTTCAACATATATCTACGGGTTTTTTTCGGGTAATATATATGGCAAGTGAAGGGAAAGTTCATGTTTCCTTAAATCGTCTATATAAGATCTGCTCAAGGCTAGAATTTTTTGCCAAGCAAACTTAAGCCAGAATTATTAATATTTTGAGGTTTTAGGTAGGTTCTATTCAAAAGAGTGATCTGGTGTATTTACACATCATTTTTCAGGACATGCTTTAGGTTTCTTCCATGAACAAGCCAGGCCGGATCGAGACATGTATATCACAATTCACGACGAAAACATTCGCCCTGGTAAGACAGGATCACATGTATATGACTGTGTACATGTACTCTTCTGTTCTGTACTGCTCTACCTCCTCTGCCCATAGAAATAAATCCTGGCTGGGAAAATGGTCTGATGATACCTGACTCTACCTATTTCTCCAACAGCGAGCGATCAGAAAAATTCGCATTACCCGTTAATACATATATTCATGTGCGTATTACTGTTTTTAAACCTAAAAACAATACCACATAGTTTTGAAATAAATTGAAAATCAATTAATTCACTCTTAGCGAAAATAAAAAAAATTAGAAGGAATTGTGGAGGGTTTCATCTATTAACAAATACTGTTATCAACATTTTATGGTTAGGGAAGTCTTCCAATTTTAACAAGATGACGCATGCGCAGATGCAGTCTTGGATGCCGTTTGGTACCCCGTATGATTACTACTCCATCATGCACTTCTCATCGTACGCATTTACAAAGAACAAGAAGCCCACTATCACAGATAAATACAACAGGGTGAGACAGAACAGTAAATTGTACATTGAAATCCTGATCCAGTTTTCGAACCTCCATGGGAAAAGGAAAATGGCCAACACCATATTTGAAAAAGAGACGAGCCACTATTTTTTTTTTGAATGGTTGTTAATGATTAAGTATGAAACTTATTTGAATATTTTTGACGCTAAATTTGGCTTAAAAGGCGCATATAATGTAAATTAAACATTAAATTCGAAAACTGATGCCACAGTACCTTAATTGTTATCAGTTTTGCTTTCGTACATGTTGAAAGCATTTCAATTGGCCCTCCTTTTCTCAAGTCTTGGGTTACTCCTCCCACTCGAAAGTTTTTTCGCTCTGTTCTACATGTTGCACCTCCCTTAGTATCTGAAAGATCCTCAAAGCCTAGACTAAAGTGAACAGACGGGTGTAATGTAGGCTTTACCTCCAGGCGAAACTGACTGCTTTCGTGAGCTTTGTTATTCGATCACTCAACTTGGTTACTCAAATTTATACCTAAACATGCTGCAGATCCCTGTCAGGTATATTGGCCAACGAGATTACCTCAGCACTTTGGACGTGAAGCAGATAAACCTCATGTACAACTGCCCGGGAAGTAAGTCATGATAAATATCACGCCCACTGGGTTGTTCTAACTATATGCATCTCGGCATGCGCATTATCTTCGAAACAGCATTTTTTTTTCACCCTGAGGAGTACATTATGTTTAAAAGGCCAGCTTCAAAATTTGTAGTTGTTGTATATCTTATTTTATGTTCATAATCGATATATTAATCAGCAAGTGAGATTGCTGTTGTTTATAGTAAATGGGGTGCGGGACGATGTTACTTGAGTACTTCTTATATATAGATACATATCATCACTTTTTACATTCCCTGATATATTCATTGTTTTATACATTTGATTGTTTTTTCTTTTTTCATTATTTAGTTATTTTTTTAAAATTACTAAATAAATATTGTCATGCGTTTTTTACATGCGCCTCCGGTTGTGATACTCGGGCAACCCTATCCTATTCTACTGACACTAATACTGATTGATTGATTGATTGAAATGAATTACCTGCTCAACTGATTAAATATACTCTGTCTATAATTAATGCTGGCGAAATTAAACAAACAACTACTTATCATGGATAAATTTTGGTCATAGTTAAAGGGAATTAATTAAAAAAAGTAATGAGTAGGTACGAATGAGTGAATACAGTAATAGGATCTTGGTAAGTAAGGGTAATGCAAATGTTTGGATCTAAATTATTAAATAAAATGAATTGTTAGATGTAGACAGTAGATCTTTCCTGCTTTCCTGTAAACAAAGGCACCAACTCGAGGCTTGGGTGGGCAAAATACAGTGATTTGTGTGAAATTATTCACCCAAGCCTCTACCTTATTTTTTTGTGTTTGCTCACTGGAGCGAAATGCGAGAAAGGTCTATTTCATAGAGAATTTATTTCGTCAAAAACAAGGCGTTAAGATTTGGATTTGGATTTCCGATCACGTGGCGGCGAAAACCTATAAAAAATTAATGGATTCAGATTCGGTGATTGGAAATCTAATTATTCGAATATGTTTTTAAAATAGCTAGTCTCCTACTTATTCACCGTTCCACACCCAGCTGGTCTGTAAACCATTTTTACACCCTTGCCACAATCGTGGGTGAAGCAAGGGGGTGGAGCCAGGGCCCAAGGTTGCATCTGAGCGCACTTCTCTACTCTTAAATCCTTTCCAGTTCATTATTATGAAAATATTTTATAACGCAAAACGTTGATCTTTGATAGATCAAAGCATTTTGTAGACGTAAAATTTTAAAAACCGTTCAGCTTCCCTCCATTTCCAGTTACTAGCCATTTAGTTTTAGGGAAATTACAGGGGTATTATTGGAAGGGGGTGTGTTTATTTGCAGGAGATTGCTCGGGAGTTCGATGAATACGTATATTTTGGACCCCCGATCACGGACACTTTCGTCTGTCTTGGTTATTTTCAAACGTACAGGCTCGATTGAATGAATCAACTTGCGAGAGAATGGTGGACATATCACCGAGTTCAACATTTTCAAGAGCTTAGGGTGGGTGGGAAGGTTGTAAACTTGTTCCTTTATCCAGGACGCGGGCATAGCACTCTTCCCCACTGTCCTCTAGTACCAATCGTTTTAAGCAAACATTTTTTCCTTCTGTGACAAGTTTTTAATGAATGAAATATGCAGTTATATGATATGCTAATGTATTTAGATTTAGATTTTTTGGAATATATGTTTCTTGTGTCCTATTTTAATATTGTATTAATCACGCAATGTAGCTTTTGGCTTGCATGTAATTACTCATTAAAGAACTATGTATCTAACTATCTATCTATCCACAAGTCTAGCGTAGCCACGTGCACTGTACAATACTTTATTACTTTTACTTTTGTTATGCTGTAGTTCTTTGATAACTCAATTATTATCAATTTTTAAAATTGCAGATGCAACAACTTTTTTTGCTGAAATCTGCGAAGGTAAAAGTGGACGGATTATCTGCTTTGGTGGAAGGAAAATTAAAGTTATTTACGCAAATTACGGAAGGAAAAGATATCAAAACCATTGCGGGTTTGGATTAAATACAAAATGCGAAAGCACTTCTTCTTTTGAAAAGGTCAGACTCGTTTTTCGAATCCTTATACCTTATTTTTACTTAATTTCGCGATTTTTAAATGGTCGCCCCATGAAGGGGAATCCAAGACAGTCGACTTGGATTCTGGATTCCACACCGTGGATTCGGGATTCTAGGTACTGGATTCCAGTCTTTGTCCGTGGAGTGGATAATCTTTTGTAGGATTCCGGATTTCTTTTGCTATATTCCGGATTCCAAAGCCCTGTAATCCGGATTCCACAACCAAAAATTTCCCAGATTGATGAGTGAGTTGTCCATGAGACAGGGATCTTCCCTGCTCTCCTAATGCATTATTCCTCTTCTGTAGGTTAAAGAGGTCTGTAATGGTCGATCATCATGCGAGCTTCACGCCACGGATGATGAGTTTGAAGACCCTTGCCCTTGGACCAAAAAGTATTTGGCCGTTCGATATCAATGTCGTCATTGAGATTCAGGTAAGTGGAGAAGCTATTGTGGAGGAAGGTAAAATACAAATTTTAGAGGCAACACACCGATCGACCCTCGAAACAAATCAAGCTTTATTTTTCTTTAATAAGCTAAAAATCACGTCAATAAATAAATGTAACAATATAATCCTCACAAATTAAAGTTGACAGCAACAGTGATTTCTAGTTACTCTGTTATTAAGCACCAATTATCAATTATCTTTGTAGGTCGCTCGTGTTAGTTATTCTGGTTGACAACAAGTTACTGTATTTTTTACAATCTCCTGTATTTTGCTCTCTTCAAGGTGGCACTGAATTTCGCAAGAACATGAAGCAAAGATAAACATGGTGGTTCAAATCAGTTTTCAATGCAGGCTTACAACGCCTTCAACTTATCTGCAATAAAAACCACAAAAAATGTTTACGTCTACTTTGCTACCTTGTGCCTGAGTTTCTAGCGTGGGTACTTGAAAAAATGGTGTGTTCACATTAGAGCCCAGAGAGTACCGTACTCGGACACCGCGCTCTGGCATCAAGTGTGAACGCTGCCTTAGTCCAGTTGACAAAAAATTCTCCCTGAATTCTCTTAGGCAGCGTACACACTGTTGCCCACGCATAGTGCTTGAGTACGCTTCTCGCTGTGCACTAATGTGAACACACGTACCCACGCCGAAATTTTGTTAAGATGCCGGTGCCCAGGCACTAGTTTGCTTGAGCACTAAGGGGCTGTCCACACTTGGTACTCGGGAAACGGTGCCTGGGTACCGGCACAAAATGGTGTTGTGTTCACCCTTTGACTGTGTACATAGTTACTCCATTCCTCCCCGTCAGACGCCATTTTGAAACATGAGCTTAGCATCGAGAACAAAGCAAGCTAAAGCAGTGGACTGCCCGGAACTGACAAAAATTGTCTGGACACAGGGACCCGAGTACAAGGTCGAGACCTTGTACTAGGATACCGTGCTTGAATTCTAGCGTGGGTACTTGAAAAAGGGTGTGTTCACATTAGTGCCCAGCGAGTACCGTACTCGGGCACCATGTGCGGGAACCGAATGTGAACGCTGCCTAAGTCTGAAGAGCCCCTAACAGTGTAAAATTACCAATGGGTGAGAAAATCGCTGGTAAAAACTCGTCGTGCCCAATGATGTTTATAGCGAAATTGTATTTAAATCACCGATCTCGCAGTTCAAAAATCTATTAACAAGAGGCTAAAAAAATACTTTGTCACCATCAAAATTTGTATTTTTATTTCTCAAACTCATTAATAATTCATAAAGAAAATTTAAAGGAAATTAATGTTTAATGAGTGTTTGGATATCGGATGAAAAACGGCTCATTTTTGCATCCTTAATTTCTCCTTCAAAAATGATTTTGTTTGAGAAGAAATATCAAACATTCGACAGTCACAAAGTAGTGGTCTACTTTGTGGAGCGTCAAGCAGTTTTTATGAGGCGATGCGCAGCATAAAAGTTGAGAGAAGAGCCACAAAGTAGACCACTTGAAACACTGCGTCTCATGTTTGATATATTACTTGCAACATCTAAGACTATATTACAAACTCTTTCCTGTTACCTGAAGATTCGGCGAAATAATTTTAAAACAGCATCAAAAGAAGGTACGCACAAGAGGAATCCAAATAATCTTTTTCGGCTGCAGTAAAGCGCTTTTGGTATATATACAAAACAAATTAAATATACATCTAAAAGATACTATGTGTAAAGCTCACCGTTCAAAATAACTTTGTGAGTCAAACAAAAACAAATTAATACTTATACATATTTTTAAAACATAGTAAATCTATAAATGAACTACCATTTTTTTTTCTTTTTTCCCATTATAATTTTTATTCTTCGTCCTTTTGCTAAAGGACGTGGTCACATAAATTAGATGTAAGTACTTCACCTTTATTACGTATGAATTCTTAAAACGAACATGTCGCTGTGAATTGTTCCTTCATTGTTTCAAGGTAAAATACATTCTGATATGAGCATATCTGTCTTGTAACTCTTTTGAACTATAAAATTCCTTTAGCTTGTTGTTTGATAACGCAGTTATCATCGATCAAGTAAAACTGTGTAACACAGTTTCAAAAAAGGGCAAATGAACTTCTCTTTTTTCGAATTTGGTAATAAAATGATTTTTTTAGGGTAAACGACGGATTAAGCTCAGGGATCATCAGTTCATCGACTGATGTCAAGAAATCTTCTCGAGGTCGACCACTTGAAAGCAGTCTTCAACAGATTTACGGCAGTATTTGAAAAATAACTCTTCTGCTCTCATGAGAATGATATTCAGGTCCATTTTCATTGATAAACTGCAACAGAAGGAAAAAAGCGCAAACGTTAACAAGGAAAGCAATTACAGAGGGACTAAGTACAACGAAAGGGAGCTTAAAAAGGAGCTGTGTCACGAAATTCAGCAAAATTAGGTAATTACAAAATGCTCGTTAAATTAAGAGAAACATAAAAGTAACCACTTACAACATTAAATGAAGGTTAAAATAACACAACAGATACAACAAATGCCACGGATGGACAAAACCGAAGAAGATTGAAACGGATTGAAACAGGGTTTTTGGAAACTGTTCAGCCTAACAGTTTTTCAAAGTTGATCTCTGCTGTTTGCAACTTCAAAAATAATGCTCACGAGACATATTTGTCAGTCTCGAATTTCTGATTTTGTCATTTACATGAAATTTCTTTGCTTAATTTGCTTATAGCGATTGAGGGCGAGTAATTGGCGAAATTAAACAAAATGAAGCGGACTGCCGTGACACAGCCCCAGCGACGCACGTTAACCGAAAGTGAGCCTTTTCTCTTTTAATAAGCCTTGACGCTACCATTATTGGTATTGCTAAGTGTCTTCATTCTTAAAGAGACCATTTGCCCAAAATTTGCACAAAATCAAGTTGCAAGAGTGCAAAAAGTCTACTTCCGGTCGACGTGAGTCGCTCAAAAACGTCACTACTTAAACTCCCTGAAGACCCGGGTATAAAGGACGAACAATAAACATGTACATTTGGAAACTGTTTCCAAGGGAAACAGTTAATTTCGCTCCCTGAGAATCTCCGTTTCCTGTGCCCTGCGAGCAGAAGCTACATTTTCGCGGTATGAGCTGGCGTGCGAAAACTAGCTACTTTACGCACGCCAGCTCACACAGCGAAATGTAGCCTCTGCTCGCAGGGTATGTTTCCTGAGGCTGAGCCGAGGAACATTTTGAGATTTTAAGGTGATTTTTCAGTTACAGAGGACGATTCACAACGACGATTTTTAGCGAAAAACAGCAATGCTGTAAGCATTCAAAACAATGTCGCAACAATGTTGCAACGCTGTGTTACGATTAAAATCGTCATTGCGAATCGTCCCGGGTAACATCACCTTTACGGAAACAAAATTAACTTGTCTCCCGAGGGACGCGTCATTAAATCATTTGTTATCAAGACTTTTAACGTTGTCTACGTGGACAAATTTACGAAAGTAAATCTCAGAGGCGGTATTCGGGAAGAATAATGTTGTATTATAAGTATAATTGTGCATGTAGGATACAAGTTCAGTCCCGTTGCTAAACCTATAGCATTTAGAATGATAATGATTATAATAGCACCTTCACAAACTATTCAAACTCATTTAGTTACCTGTGAATGGTGTTGTAAACCGATGAGATTTCTGAAGATTTTAGCAATTCATTCTTGTATTCCTTTAAAACAGCTAGGCATACAAACACTTCGAATGAGTAGTTTGTGTTCATATCTACAACTTGAACATGAAATTCCCCTCCTACAACAACAACAACAACAACAACAACAACAACAAAAGCACAATTAAGACTTAAACATGAACAGGCAGGTTTGTAACTATCGTGCTAACATGTATCAAGTCGATTTTGCCATTTGTACTCATACTCAGGCCATTTCCGCTTTTTCGTCACTTCCAAACTAGAAAAGCGTGATGTTCAGGCTACTAAACCCTCTATATTCTCTGTAGGGATCGTCAAGCGCGCGTATCAAAATGTAAAGCGCGTGAGATTTATTGACGTCTAGCGCGAGGAAGCAGGGGGTGGGTCGCGATCGCCACTTAAAAAAAAGGGCCCATCCTAAAGGCAGAAAAAGTTAATAAACGCCCATACACGAATTGCAAATCCTGATTGATTCCATGCTTCTCAGGCAACGAACCCATTTGCCGACGTTACGATGTCGGACATCGAGGGGACAGCACCAGAGAATTCACTTATTGACTTGAGTGACAATGAGATTGAAATTGAAATCGAAAAAGTAAGAGACTTTCTTGAAGACGGACTTTTCTTCAGAGTATTTTACAGTAACCTTGCTTTGTTACTATTTTGTTGCAGAATAAACATACTGCACTTGCTGAAAATGGTGAAAATTTAATAAGCGCCCAGGGCGGTTAATCGAATAAACACGGTAACTCTTTTTGGGAAGAGGACACTTATCACAAAAACTGGGAATAAAAGGCCACGGTAAGACTCAAGTAATAATACACCTACTTCATTGGATGAATATATGACTAATAAACTCACTAACCATCTCTTTCTAGTTCTTTAGCTCTTTGTCTCTCACGCTCTCTTTCAGCTTCCATTGAAGACAATTCAAGATGCTGGCTACTTATAATCTCAAACATGGTTAGCGCGTCCTCAAATGGAAACTCTCTTTTAAAAGTCAAAACAAGCCACCTTCCAAAAAAAAAAAAAAAAGTGATTATAATATAACGAACAAATTAGGAAAACCCAAGGCAAAGTATCCCCATTTGGCATGGCAGAGTATGCACTGGCTTCACCCTCGTTCATATCCTTTTTACATACACTAAATCGTGAAAACGAGGTTCGAGGCCCTACATGTACCTCAGATTCGATTTTCAAACTTTTCACAGGCTCGGAAGCAGCGATAGATGAAAAGGACACACTTACATGCATGGAATTTCGTTTCATGAAAACGTCTTATCAAATAAATTATTCGACCATTTCCTCTGGCTATTTTATTCTGTCACTCTGCCGAGAAGTGTTTTGTCCCTACGAGTCAACACCGTTCATCACTAGAGACCTTTAGATTCTAAGACGAGTACGAAATTTTCTCAGTACAACGTAGTACTCCCGCGTGAACCAACAACATTTTGGCGGGAAAACGTGGTAGCCGTCGTCATTCTACTACGAGTTTTAGCGCGAATGTCGTGGTGGGAAAAACAAGATATCAAAAGTTAGAAGTTTTATCTTTTTGCGATCGGGAGAGTGCGTAATCTCGGTCACTAAAGTTAACAGTGCTAACGCTTTCCGGGAAGTCTTGACTTAGAGAATACGCGAAAAAACGTTAAGTCAAATCTCGTACTCGCCCTCGTCTTCGCATCTCAAGGTCCTTATTACGATTCACGGGGCCAATATTTATAAATGCACCTGTGAACAAACAGCATGTCACCCATGTCATGAGCTTCAAAGTGATTGTAAAGATGTTCGTCCATTTTTCTTAGCAACAATCTAACATGTTCTGCAAGAGAAGCGAAAATCATAAATGCTTTTATTTAATCCTTTATAAACACTCTTCCCCTTTTTGTTAAAAGTCGAAAAAGTATCCAAAAAATATACAATATAAGTTAACTAATGATAACTAGCAGCTTCTCGCAATTACGTTTACAACGTATAGTCATATTTTGATATTGTTGATGGTGTTTTAGTATTAAAATGCACAGTGGATTTAGCAAACATTTACCTTTTGGAAAGAGCAATAAAGGAAATAACATTATGCCAGGCCGCGTCTTCACAACAGTGCAAGGTTATAATTATAGTAACCAGTTTCAAATGAATCAAAACGCAATTGCAAATTTCTGAGCAAAGATTTGCCTGTTTGTGAGAGGAATAAAATGTAAGACCATGATATCAATTTCACCCAGTTACAACAGTGCAAGGTTACAGTTACCAGTCAGTTAATAATCTAATACGTACCAATTTTATTCAGCATTCCATCATCCAGGAAGTCACCTTTAACAGAGTCCATATAATTAGTAAAACACCAGTAAGCCTCTGCTTCAGATCCCAGGACGATTAGAAATCTACTCAAGATGTCATTCATCCCTTGAACATAACCTACATCTAGCAAAGAAATTAAGTACAGTCACTTTATTGAAACAAAATGATGAGTTCATACATGGCGAAAAAAAAAACATTACATTTTTTTTTTGTTTTGCATCTTTATCAGGGCTGTCAAGCACGACTTAGATTTTTTTTAAGGTAGGGAATTGAACAGCTTGGAAGAACTTAAGGTTTCTTTTACTTTCCTATGTGAGATTAGTGAAGGGTCAATCTCACAGTAGAGAGCTTTAGATTCTAAGACGAGGACGACCACGAGAACAACATTTTCCCAATGCTAAGTAGTGTTCGAGCGAACCAACGTCATTTTGGCGGGAAAATGTGATGGCCATCGTCATTCTACCACGAGTTAGAAGTTTGATCATTTTGTGATCGGGAGAGGGCTTAACCTCATCCAATAAAGAAAACAGTGCTAACTTTTCTGGTGAAAAAAAGTACAATGAAGAATTCCGGGGTGTCTATTTTTTTAAAATACGCGAAAACTTTAAATTAAATCTCGTACTCGCAGTTGCTTTCGTCCTCGAATCTAAAGGTCTCTATTAAATACCCGGGGGAAATCCCCCAACCCCTAGTGACAACCCAGTTTATTCAGAACACAAGGCATGTTCATACATATCAAAATATGCATGATAGATATTGCTCTCAGCTTTCCGTAGCTAAGTGAGTATACTGGGCCGAAGTACTGGAGAAATAAGCGCTATAATAATATATTACTTATGTGTTTGAATTATGTACCTTGATGATATGCACTATATGTGATTAAAATATCCCTCAGAACAAGGAGATTCTGATTTCCCTTTCCCCTATAAGAAACATCATGTTTAAAGTTCGCACAACAAAGTGATTACATTGTATGACAAATTAAAGCTATTTAAAATTGCCTGATTTAAAAACGCCGGGTTCATTTTAGGCATTCGGCAACTGCGCACTCAGAACCCATTGTTAGGCGGTTGCTCCAAGGCAAATTATTGCAGCGAGTTCTGTATATCCAAATGCCCAATGCACAATTAGCAATGACCCATTGACAAAGCAGCCTTTTTTGAATTTATTAGATATATAGCCGCCTTTCCTTAGTTCAACCAAACAAGAATCTACTACACAATGTGTTTAGTAATATGCACAAATCTGTCACACAGTTCTATAATTAGTTTTATAGGTACATTACACAAGTTGTGCACCTTGGAAGAAATGGATAAAATGTTCACTTAAAAATCGTTAAATTAAAAAAGAAAAGGAAAATACAAAAGAAATCAGTGTGTCTCCTTTCATTTAACGTGCATATCTGGTAAATTTTGGCTGTAACTGCCTTTGGCTAAAAACCAAGTTTCAACCACTAACTAGAGATTAAAGTTACTACTGCAGTCTTGTTTTAACCTTGCTAAGACCAGACTCTGTCAATGGCTTCTTTTTTATCACATAATAACATAAGAAATTTGTTATTCATGACTAAAAAATAGGAGAAAGTTTACTCACTCAAAATAAACTTGACCTCTGTCTGTCCTAGGCACATCTTTATCTATAACCCTAATTGACTGACGCAACTTAACCATGTCCACTGGTTGTCGATGGGCATGAAACTGAAGCAAACATTTGAGTCAGTTCATTTTTGTGGCTGACTTACTTAATGGCTACTTGTTAAATACACTATACAAGAATGTTATGATAAATTTGTTCAATAAACCAGTTTTAAAGGAAATAATGTACATATACAGGAATGGAATAAGGAATAATGAACATAACTCCATGGACATGAAGGTACAGCCTGTTTAAGTATGCTGGACTCTGTATCAAGAGGTCTAGGTTCAAGTCTTGGCTGTGTCATTCATGTATTGCTTTCAGTGGGCAAGGCACTTTTATTACGTAACCCTCTAAGTGCAATGCTTCACCTTGATTTACAAAATTTATTGTATTTAAAAAGAAGAAAAAGGGATGTCTCAGGTGCATCTCCACCCACATAAAAGTGCTTACCCGGCACTGCATTTTGTAAGTGTTTGAAGCCTTTTAACAACTAATATAGTTGTTCCAGCACTTTAATAAGGTATAAGGAGCAAGATTTTCCGTCAGAAGAACCAACAACAAAATAACAAAAACACAAAGGCCATGATGATGGAAATGCATCATTGATTAAAATTTCAGTCACAATGACCCAATTCTTGTCTGACATGAAAAATGAGATTCAAAGGTGATTTGCTTCTTGCTGTTACATTTAGCTATTAAATAATAGCGGAGCTCCCGCGCGCGAAGCGCGCGCAGCGGAGCACCATGGGTAACAAAATTTGGTAAACTATCCATCCGAGAAAATTTGGTTATGACGTAGAGTACGCCCACCCGTACACACACTTCATGTAAGCCGATGTCAAATGTCACAATAGATCTTGCACAACTTGACTAGCCTTTCAGTTTTGTAAGCCATCCGTATGAGTACGATTAGATTGACAGCTGTCAAAAACAGACATCCGCTGACAATTATCACATGACCATCTCGCGGGCTCAGATCAAAGATCAGTCGTTTTGCCCCTACATATATCTGACTTCGCGTTTTGTTCGTCGCTGCGATTTAACCAGTTATAATCTTAGAGAGAATGAATACAAGCTCGCTGTTCCACAACCCCGTACTGAATTTTATAAAAGAAGTCTTTCTTACAGCGGAAGTGTGTTATGGAACGGCTTGCCTCTGGAGGTGCGGCAATTGACATCCCCTAGTATATTGAAGGGAAAATTAAGAGACGTAAATTTCGATTGACAAATAATTTAATTAGCGATTTTCTGTTTTTACACACGGCCTCCTTGAAAAGCAGGTGTTTTCTTTTCATCTTTATTATTTTAGTTTTTATCTTAGATTTTAGATTAGTTAGGAAGTTAGTTTTTCTATACTTCGATGTAAATGTATACCTGAAGGAAATACCGTGTTTAAATAAAGTTACCTTACCTTACCTTACCTTACATATAAGCTGATATAATATGTCACACTTACCAATTCAACATAAAAACGAAACTACCCCGGGCTGGGCTGTCAGTCGGCTGACAGTCGTTTAAAGTTATATTGGCAAGCCAAATTACGGTCAATTGACAGCTGTCAAAATGGGATATGTGCATAGATTAACTTGGGCTCAGGTTCGCTCAGGTACACGATCTGTCATTTTCCACTACAAGCCGGACGGATATGTCTTACTCACACTCGTAGTCTGTTAATTCGAATATTCGCCATTCTAATGAAGGTTAATTGACAGCTGTCAAACTAGAGTATACGCTGACCATCATCACCTGAATGTATTGCGGGCTCATTTTTCTATCCATTGAGGTCACCCATAGCTTAGAAAATCTATCTATCCTAGAAAATTCGGCAATCACGTGACCTACATCGACCACCCGACCTTCCGTCCGTCCGCACCACAGGCATACCAATGTTTAACTCACACTTTCTAGCTAGTTTGGGAGCCTGCAACCTGATATTGTACATCCATGTTTTGATTAAATGACAGCTGTCAAAATAGTGTTTCTGCTGACCAGTATCGCCTGACCGTATCGCCGGCTCAGGTATCGACCCACTGAGTTTGATTGTTTTTTGAAGTTATCCGCTGACAAGTTGCTACTTTTCAAATGATCGCAGGCTCAAGTTCAATTTTTTTAAAATGCATATAAAATAAGTCGTGTTCATGAGCCGCACTTTTAAAATTTTGATTTCGAACTGACCTCGGACGCGAAAATTCAACCGGCTTTTACATGCAGGGAAGGCAATCGTTTTTTACTTTTCTCACTGTCACGCGTTGATCACGCTCTAAGTCCAATTTTTGTGTTCTGATTGGTCAAAATTTGACAGGTGAGTTCATGCGGAAAATTTATGCAGCGTCTGGAAAATTGTTTACTTTGACAACTGAAGCTGACAGAGTTTTGTGTCAACTTGTGATGTTTTTAATTGTCTTTTTCCACTTGCTGTACAAAATGAAATACAGCTGCTATCAAGATTGTTCTGTAATTCATGGCTGGTTTGTTTATTGCGCTTTTATTGACAAATGCACCGCTTGTCAAAGTCTTTGGAAATCCGATTTCGGATGGCATCGTTTTCAAAAATGAGCCTACTCACTTGCCCTTGCTTGAGGCGTAAGAGGGTTGAAAAGTCTCAAGCGATTCTGGAACACTTGATGACCTTCAGAAGCAGCATCTCGACTGGTAAGCCTGAGCAATTATTGTCTTTGATGTGTGTTTTTTTTTTCGGTTTCCTGACGTCGAGCGTATTGTTTATGCGGCTTAAGTTTATACACGAGCAATGATCTAACCTACAATAGTATCAGGTTTAAAAATCCTTTAGACGTCTTTTGACCGCAAATTCAAAGAAAAGGTTCCGAAGAATATTTAGTTATGATTTTGGCTGTAAACAGAAAGCTCTGAGCGATTTTCTTGCCTCGAGTTCATCTTGCAAAAGAGCAGACACCGGGAAGCCGGCTTAAAACATAAATAAGCTTTATATGCTTACCTGACTCATGATTTTCAGAGACACTTTACTCTCAATAGTTGTCTTCGTGAATGAAAATTATTGTCTCTGTACATGTTTCACCGAATTATATTTATTTTATTGATTGTTAGTAGTCCCTCTCGCAATTTTTATCGCTGCACCGGTTGTTTCGAGTCGAACATAAACATCGCATGCAGGAATACTCAAAACGCAGCGCGTAAATAATCACTAGCTTTTAAAGATTACACATAACAAGACCATAAACAGTTTTACAAATACAGGGAAATAAAACCTAAACATAACAAAATCTCTATCATGTTGAAGCGTAACTCTTTTAATCGCACTGCAAATTTGGTGCCTGTCAAAAGTGAGAACCCGTCCGGCTGGCCGAAAAGGTGATTTTGGGAATTTTTTTCATCGTTTTCACTAAAAGCCCATAATTATTAAACTGCATATCACATAGGAACAGATTTTTCTAACTGAAAAGTCCCGGCATTATGGAATTCTCTTCATGAAAACGTTTTATAATGTGCTCAATGCTATAATTTGTTGTGCAAAGGAAGGGCGTGCTTTGATCACAGGTAACCCAGGCTCACTGTTAGTGCCACGTTCGGATTTCATAACATGGTTAAATATAGAGAACATATGTGGCGAAGTTTAGGTCTGGAAATTTGCTAGAAAATGGAAATAAAAATCGATGAAACTTATCATGTGGCAAGTTGTTGTTGTCCTTAATGTGTACACGAAGTTTCGGGAAAAATAGTCTGCTTCACCGTTCCTTCATAGTATTATATTTCAGGGTTGTCCAATTATTAGTCTCTCAAACGGAGCAATGTTGGAGAGACTGGTGAATGCCACATTATGATGCAACAGCTAATGCAAATACAATACACTTTCCAGGCCTAATCTACTGTGATCGAACATGATTGCTATTTTTGGGTGTACAAATAAGACTACTAACTCAATGTAAAGTTTGTTTCACTCCTGGACTGTCAAATTATTTTTCTCTAAAATCACTTAGCCTTTGCCTCAAAAGTCACATGAATGTACCCTGATCTGTGGATTGCAAGTTTATTGTTTCATTTAAATTATGAATTTATTAACGGGAGCTTCGCTTTTAGCCCTGGCTAAATCTATATATTAATAAACTACATGTTCATGTAAGTTTAGAACCAGCAGACTCACGGAAGGAACCCTGACTTTGGTGAATACGGACAAAGCTCACATATGAAGTGCAACACATGGAACACTGTTCAAAACATACCTAATAACCAGATATCAAACAAACCTTTGCTGTCAAAGTCAGAAACACAACTCGATCCTCTCCTACCAGTGGAACTTCTTGTTCATGGTTTCCTTGAGCATTTAGTTCATTGAGTTCAGCGTTACAGCTCTGACATTCACGTAAGTATAAAGGTATTGATTCAGGGATGTCTGGATTAACTGGGGGCTCGAATGTCTGTACAAGTTCTTTCCATCTCATTTTCAAAGCTTGGTATCGGGCATCATTCTCAGCAGAAAGGGCTTCTCTTTCTCTAGAATTAAATCAAATATTTGTGTATTAGTACCGTAATAATCATGGCTAGTTGAATTTACATGACTTGTATTACAAAGTACTATTGAATGGACAGAGAAAATGAAGAAAACACTAATTTTATCTCATTGACAGCGCTCTTTTTGTCACGGCAGCCTTTAAAATTTTCTTAGTCTTAGGTCCTTAGTAATTTACATGTACATGTCGGTAAAAAAGCTGAAATTTAGAAATGAAATGATATTGCACAGTGTAGTATGATGTTTAATACAGTACCTCCTTGTGGACGAAAATGGATATAATCCAAACAAAAAACTCCACACTTCCTTTCTAATCCTGTAATCAATTCCACCTAAAATATAATTTCAAAAAACACAAAAGTAAATTTATGTTACTGCACAGGACCCCCACTTACAAGTTTACAGCCAGATGGCAACAAGACATTTCAATACAAAGTGTGTGCCACGGGGGCACTAAACAGATGCAAACTATTTGTATCACCGTGTTTATTAGTGATTGGTGTATCACAATCCTTGTTCATGGTTGGTGGGTTTTGATCCAAAGCATTGTTGGCATTGAGAGACAAAGAAAATGCCAACAATGTCTTGGATCAAAACCCACCAACCATGAGTGTCAGGTTTGTGATACACAAATCACTAACAACCACAGTGATACAAATAGTTCGACTCAGTAAACTGACACTTTCACCTGACGAAGACCTGCAATGTGCAGTCGAAATGTCGCGATCAATATCAAAGTGACAATTGTGAGACAAATGATAAAACTAAACCCTTTATATGCATTATCCACAGTGATTAATACCGTAAAATTCTGAAAATAAGCCCCTCCATGTATAAGCCCCCCAAACTAGTAATGCAAAAAACCCGCCGTTAAATCACCCCTCCAAATATAAGCCCCCAGGGGCTTGTACTTGGAAATTGCCCTCAAATACAAGGTAAAACAAAGCAAAACCGGTAAATTTCGTTCCAACTAAAAGGCGAGCCTAATCGATTTTGAAACACAAATTTCCCTCCATTGATAAGCCCCCCTGAATATAAGCCTCTACAAAAATAAGCCCCTCAAAAAGGGCCTTTGAAAAATATAAGCCCCAGGGCTTATTTTCGGAATTTTACGGTATCTTTCATGACATTATATGATACCTTTGAATACTGCTTTCCTGAGAGCTGATTCGTTCACCACTCTGCCATCAGCATCAAAGAATGTCTCCCACACGTCATTACTAAGGGCCCTAGTACGTTCACTTATTTGAACAGGGCTTTCACCAGATAATTTGGAACAGTCTACAAAGTTGGCAGCAGCTTTCTCGTCAATCGTCAAATGTTTTCCACTTTCATTTGGTTTTTTTGAGTTTTCACACATCACTATCAAGACTATAGTATGTTGAGATCAATGTGAGATCTAAAATGTAAGGTGTACAATTACCAGTCAGATAAATTCCACATCAATTAAAACTTGAATAATTTAATCACAATACTGGTTGCAGAAATATGGTTCAACCTCATTGTTCTTGAAATTCTCAGTTTCCTTTTTTAGGTTTCAAGTGCAAAGAAATATGTGATCATCAGGATGAAAAAGAATTACATTTTGTAAGAACAATATTTAAGCCTTGTCGAAAAAAACTGGTTTTGTATGTCTTAGTGGTTTTGAATAGAGCAAACTTTTAAAGTACATGCCATAAAAATAATAATATCACCACAAGACATGATACAGTCTTAATAAAGCTAAGTGAAGGTTTAAGGTGGCAGGACTTTTCAACTACCATTTAAACAGGAAATATGCATCAATTTAGCATCCCCCAGGTTTAGAACAATTCTGAATTCTTCAGGGGTAATTTAAAAGCAAGGAGGATTTTATCAGGGGAAGTGCAAACAAATTGGTAGGAATTTCTTTGGAGTGAAACCTTAATTTTCAAGGAAATCTTCATTAGAAGCCCTGTATAACAAAAGAGTCTGACCGGCTTCATAACCATTCCACTCTATTAACTATGGTGTTATCCATCTTTTGAACAACCACACCAAAGGGTAATAGAGAATTCATGCAACTCTTTATAGAAAAAAAAAACTTGAGAAATTCTTCAGGGGATGACCCACAACTTATGGAAGATTTCATGTGTGAAATGCAATACAGTAGAACCTGGAAGACTTCAGGCGTGAATGCAATAAAGAAGAACCACGGTAACTCGAACTCTGAAGGGAAACAAAAAGCGCTTTGAGTTAGCGAGGGTTCGAGTTATCGGGGTGGATTCCAAAATTCAATTTGCCATGTTAAAGATAGTGATTACTGACTTTTCAGTCCTTCAGTATGGTACAGTGCAATCTAACTTATTTCCTCGGAAACGGCAAAATGATTAGCCATCGAGTTGTCGGTGTTCGACTGTATATTCTTCAGGGTAAGTCCTCAACGACAGCTACTAGGCAAAATGGTGTCAGTTCAGAACCCCTGTTTTACAACAGCTGTACTCACTGTGGTACTACAACATTGGCAAGCAAGTTAACTATAACTAAGTTCAGCTGAGTGGTAAAGTGATATCCAGTTCAAAGTTGAGAGCTCAAAATCACACTCAGTCGTGCAGAATATGATTTCGCGTAAGTTGTTAAAGTTGGCGTGAAAATAAATGAAACTGACATAGCTTACCTCATTGTTCTGGGAATTTTCTGCTTCAAAGTACACAATCAAGTATTGTACACAGCTGACACAGAAATAGAAGGGTTATTCTTTCATGTTACGCTTACGCCAAATAGACCTAGTGTTTCATATAATAGTAATAGAATGTCCATACTCATGTCCCAAATTTTAACAAGGCCGGGATACAAAGCTAAGCAGATATGGTTACCAAGCCATAACATGGCGAGTGACTTTACAGACGGTTCTGCCAGGAACACTAATATTGTTAAAGAAAGAATAGAGAGTAAAGGAGATGAATTCAATTGCAAAGGCAGCAGTTTCCAGTAAGTTTTCGTCTGTTGGTAAGAGTTTAGGATGGGATGCCGACAAAGATGAGGTACAAGATGAAGGAATTTCAGCGAAAGAACTGCGGAAAAGTAATGAACAGCATGCTGCAGCGAGGGCTAAAAGAGAGAAACAACATGCCAAACGAAATGCCGAGAGAGAAAAGAAGCGCGAGGAGATCAGGGCTAAATACGGCCTCAAAGAAGATCACGGAAAAAGCAAACGGACTGGAAGTACAACGAGGGAGACAGGCAATGATTTAAATACAACGAACGCTGGTGATCAAGGCGAAGGAAAACAGTGTCATGTTATGTGAAATGTGTATTTGCCAGAGAAAGATAAAAGGTATTTGGGCGATGTTAAACTAACACACTGCAGAATGATTACACTGGCTTTAAAACTTTGTAAGGCATCGAGTGGGGAAGAAAATTTAGAGCACGTTCACAGGCCTGTTATCATGCATCATTGTGTTTCTTATCTTGGCTCTGCTTCACTAGTGTTGTTAGCCTGTGAACAGGCTCTCTGTTTGGGGAAAGGGTGAAAAAATCGCACCCTTTCCCCAAGCAGTTCACAGGCTAATTGTTGCGAACTAAGTGGATCTCAATGTAAATAAAAGAAGACATCAATCTTCGGTTTCGAAGGGTAGGCTTAAGGTGACTCAAGCCAGTTATTTTGTGAGGGTACCATCCTACTTTGAAACTCTCTGGTATCCCCACCTTTACTTTGATCGTAAGTCTAACATATAGCATGGATAATATATAGATCAGTCTACAATATAGGATAAAATTTTTTAGCGATCGGAGTAAATGTCACGTGGTTATAGTGGCATGCCTCTTTGGGGACTGAGTCGAATTTCTGCTGTTGCCGGCATTTTTTCGTGAAAATCTCTCGGATACATATAGTGCGTATTAGTGGCTTGCATTGAACAGAGTTTCACCAAAATCTTTACACGATTATACCTAATAAACTGTGAGATTTATCCCTTTCTTTTGGGAATCTTTATAACAGATAGGTCCTTGCAAGGCGTCAAAAAGCTTTAGGGCCTTGTAAATGCGCGCGATTTCAAGCAATGCAAACATATACAAATTACAGTTTGTTGACGTTTGTCAGCATTTAAGAGTCCTTCTCACAAAAAAAGCATTTTCTTAAAAATTCGTAGTTTTTTTTCCTTCATTCTTTTCCCTTCCTTCTGAATTTCATGATCATTGAAAAACTGTGACATTATCTTCTATAAGCCCAAACTCGAGTAAATATTGAAGATTTTTAGCATTTTGGCTGAGTTTGTGCTTTGGGAGTTTTCTATTGTTTCTAGTCTGTCATGACACAACATTCTTGTTCAGCAGGCGTGCAATGACCGCACTTGGCTGACTTCTGAATGCTCACTGAGATATGATAATTTTGTATGAGAAAATAGAAGGGATTCCTGTTATTTAACGTCTGGACGTGAACACCCTCAGCGCCTTGTATACTGCAGGAGGTACAAGGGCTTTTAGCATTATCTCTAAGCAAGACGAGCAAGAAAGATTTTAGAGCGAAACCAAGAGTCACAAAAAAACTGACAGTGCTTACAAGTGTAGTTAATTTTTTCACTACCAGATAAAAGGATAAGTAATGAGTTGGTTTAATTATTGGCTTGCATTAAACCTATGAGAAAATGAGATTTTTTTTAATAGTAAGTAGATTTAGTGTGTAGCATTTCTTGATTTTTTTGCAAAGGCATAAGAAGCACGGGAATTGATTAAAAATTGTGAGTTAAACCTCTATGTACCACGCCATCTCCTGTCTCACCGTACCAAAATTATCATATCTCCGTGAGCATTCAAAAGTCAGCCAAGCGCGGTCATTGGACAGGTGCTGAATAAGAATGCTGTATCGTGACAGACTAGAAACAATAGAAAACTCCCAAAGCACAAACTCAGCCAAAACGCTGAAAATCTTCAATGTTTACTGAACAGGGTGCAAAGAAAGTCAGTTTTTACAGCTTGCCATTTGGGCAAGCTGTAGCTAGCATGTACTAGCCTGAAAGTCACATCAACTAGTGTGAAAAAATATTGATGGGCAGGATTGATTACAGTTCTTCTGTTATTTGAATTTCTAAAAAAAATATCACTTGCCCGTCGGGCAAGTTAAAAACAGAATTCACTAGCCCCATAGCAAAATCCACTAGCCCCGGGCTATCGGACACTACTTTCTTTGCACGCTGACTCAAGTTTGGGCTTATAGAAGATAATGTGACAGTTTTTCAATGATTATGAAATTCAGAATCCAGATAGTTAGTTAATCAATTGTGGCCCTGAAAAAATTTGAAGGGAAAAAAAAACTATGAATTTTTAAGAAAATGCTTTTCTCGTGAGACGGACTCTTAAACGCTGACAAACGTCAATAAATAGCTAAAACTGTAATTTGTACGGACTCTTCACTTGCTGACTTGCAAGGACCCATCCGTTATAAAGATCCTCAAAATAAAGAAATAAATCTCATAGTTTATTAGATATAATCGTGTAAAATTTGCTTATCATTTTTGCATAAATTGTGACCTAAATTTGGAACCCGCTGAATTTCTCACATTGGGTCTCTGCGATTTTGGTGTAAATCTGTTCAACGCAAGGCACTAATACGCACTATATGTAGCTGAGAGATTTTCACAAAAAAAAGCCGGCAACAGCAGAATTTCGACTCAGACCCCAAAGAGGTGTGGCACTATAACCACGTGAGATTTACTCCGATCGCTAAAAATCTTATGCTATATTGTAGAGTGATCTATATGTTATCCATGCTTTATGTCAGACATATGATCAAAGTAAAGGTGGGGATACCAGAGAGCTCTTCAAAGGTAGGATGGTACCCTCATAAAATAACTGGGTTGAGTAACCTTAAGTGGTATTAATTAAGAACTTCACTGCTGGCCTGGGCCTGAACATGTCACCGTAAAATACTGTAAACACTTCAGTCAATATTGCCTTGTAAGAATGAGTGGAGAGGTTGCTCCAAGACTTCCATCCAATCTCTGCGTGGGTTACTATTCATATTATTTTTAATAGAATTGGAAAATCACTTTTTGTGTATATTGGGCCAATGTTAGCATTTTTTGTATCATTCTGATTTTTTTCTTAGGTTGCATTCTGCACCATGACATTTGTGTTATCAGTGCATTTTAAAATCTCACCATTTCAGTTGATCTTAGTCACGGGATTCTGGCTCCTGAAGAATCTCTAAACTGGAAAACTATTTCCCTGTTCTCGAAAACACTATTTCTAGTCCACACAACTTGCCGATCTGAAAATATTTCGAAATTTTATAAGTGAATGACCAAGACAACGTCCAAAGCTCAGCAGTTAATATTAATTGATTCAGATGTTAACCGATTTACTTCTAGCTTCCACCTCCAAAAAAAAAATAAAAGTGACTGGAATCATCTTTCAAAGAAGGGCATCAAAGCCTGCAAGACATTTTAGCGCTCCATTTAGGGATTGTGCAAAAACTCTCCCTTACATTATGGGATTTTTCAGTGGGTCTACTACCTTGCAAGTACCATTGGGATGAGTCAACTGCGAACTTCAGTACATTGTAGTAGAATGGATTTGGGGTAATGATTCCCTTTGCCAGTGGTTCTGAACTCAGGTCATTTAAGATTTTATTTAAGCTCATTTTATTGTTTTGCAGGATTTTTGGGGGGGTGCTCGTTACAGATGTTAGAAGAAAACTAAACAAATTATCAAAACGTATACATGTATATATCTTGCCAGGGAGTGCTTTTAAAATTTTATTAGCAGTTGTATTGATAATCATTAAATGATCAGTCTTTTTTTCTACTTGACTGTTAGCAAGCAAAAATGAGCGCTGTTACGTTTTAGAAAAGTTCTACAAGCTCACTGGTCTGATTTTTATCTCAGCTCGCTTGGCAGAGTAGTGATATCCTTTCCATGCACGCCAGTTGACACCATCAGCATATGATGAGTGTTTCCCATGGTGATAAAAACCGTTCAGATTGGAGCTATGACAACTGCCATACCACCAGGCTCCTTTATAGGTAACAGCACAGTTGCCTGACGAGATATCATTATCTCGGTCTTTGGTTGAGAATGCATGGCCACGATGACCAGAAAAAGAGTCTCCTGCAGTTCCTAAGAAAAAAACACGCGAATTTTAACATTGCTGTTAAAAAATATAATCCAACAGTGGACGAGGCACAATTGGAGGGTAGGGAATCAGACTTAGCGAAAATAACTACAATGGACTGGTGCTAAGAATGCACGGCCACGATGATAAGAAAAAGAGTCCCCTGCAGTTTCTAGGAAATAAAACACGAGACTTTTACAATTAATGTTAGAAAAGGAGGGCAGGGAACAAGGGCACCCAACGACTTGTTTCTTTAAAATATCTGTTCGAAGAAGCAAATATTGCCTAGAATTTTCTATTACTTGGGGAAGGCTAAAAATTTCTCAGGGGCACCCAACGAGAATGTAGTTCAAAACCACTAAAACATAGCATTTTTAAACGTATTTTGGTATTTAAACGGTAGATATAGGCATATTTTTATCCCCTAAAAATTTTTCATCTGTTCGGATTTCCTAGCTGAAAGTCTAGTTATCCGAACATTATAGGGATCAAAACTTACCTTTTCGAAAATTTCAGCCAGAAAAAGGGCTCCCGAAAATTCTAGGTGACCTTTTTAGGGTAAAAATCCGTTAAAAATAGGCAATTATACCATATTTTAGATGTTCGAAAATCCTAGGAGAAGCAGGCAAGCAAGAAATTTTACAACAAATGTTCCGAAAATTCTAGATCTCAAATCGTCTTCCGAACAGATATTTTCCCGAAAATTGTCGTTGGGTGCCCCTGATTTCTAGATGACCGTTCCATTCATGTACAATTTTGGAAAATTATCTAATAAATTCCCTACGATTTTCTGAAGGTTAATTTTTTTTTTCGTTATTTTTCCTAGAAAAAAGGAAACCTAAAATTTTCGGATTCAAAGATGTGTTGGAGAGAGGAAAATGTCTCACTTTAGTAATACGTTAAATTTCATCAAAAATTTTCGGAAAAATAATACTTAAGCCCTTGTAATTTCGAAAAACTCAAGTTCTCCTAGGATGACCGAATAGATACAGATTTTACAGCGCCACACAGAATGCTTCTCTAACGATCTAAAGGTACTCTGGATAGCCTAAAAAGTGTTTTCAATGCATTTAGGAGGAAACCGTTGTTGGGTGCCCCTGAGGGAAAGCCGACTTAGCTGGCCTTGACTATTGGACTTATCATGGTCACCCATATTCAAAACATACCATATGTTTTGAAATGAATAAAAGATTTTCAATCGAAGAAGACTGAGGAACAGCCAACAAACCAGCAAATCAAATCAGATCTTTACCTGAATAAGCTCCGAGACTAAGCTGGTATTTGGTCTTTTCGCTTGTAACTGCAAACATGTTGTATTCAGCGTAAACAGTGTTGCCTGTAGTGTCCTCTAGGTCAACTCGAAGCTTGCTCCTGGTTTTAGTCAGGCGGTGAATCTTGTCTAATCCAAGCCAAAACTCGCCATTCAGGTTACCAAAGCCATGCTTGTAATCATTCCAGCCACGGTAGAAATCAACCGAGCCGTCTAGTCTCTTTTGGAACACTGTCCACCCCCCACCGGCCGTTTTTTGGTCACAGAACACATCGAAGGCTCCTGAACCATCAGGGTCGATTGTGTAAACACCGCTGAGTTTCTCACCAGATTTGTACAGCTCAGCACAGTTCTTCTTAGCTGTTGAGAGACAAGACAGCGTAACAAAGAAAAGATTATTAAAATTCTTCTTGACGAGTTTCCCTCCTGCGGGATATCTAACAGTACATCTATTTATATATATCCAGTAGTTATTCTTGATCTGGAGTTCCTTGCGCTTTCTAAAAAAAAAAAGGATACAAGTTTTGCCTATACTGAAAGTTTTGATAAACTGGTAATTTTATCTTTTATTAATATTTTTATCGAAGTAGCAAACTGTCCGTAATCTTTATTACGGAAGTAAAAACCGGAGGACATGAATATTTGCAGTCGATTAGTGACAATTAAAAAAATCACACCAGATAATGCTTTACCTTCTGAAGAAGTGTTATTGCCTTTCAGTATATTAACGTCGTTTTGTACCTGAGTGAGTTGTTTCGTTATTTTTTGCAGCAATTTTGCAATTTCCTTGTTTGGCGCTTCGTAGAAATACACATTGTTACAGTGCTGGGTTTTTTTACGAACCGATGTCGAATTTGCAACATTCTGCGATGGTTTAGCAAGCGTTTGACAAATGATCGTAAACAACGAGAGAAACAGCAGACTGCAATGGAAAGAAGCTTCCTAATGAAAAGACATCATCGAGATTTTCGGTCTGAGGTCAAGAATAAACTTCAACGTAAGAGGCTGAAGGATATGTCCAGAAAACTGACCGAGTACTGGCATATTTATCCGCGACAGTACGTGATTCTATTATGTTTTGCGGTTTCAATCGTTACAAGACAAAAAAACTTGTTTCTAGACACAACAATCAACCGAGATTTGTTATTTGCACATGGCTTATTCTTTGACAAATGATTTGAAGTTTTATTGACATATTCCATTAGAGTATTAGAGGGTCTACTCTTGCCTAATCAGATCTAGGCAAATTTTGGGTTTTCAATGAGCTCCAGGAGCGGATACAGGATTTTTTTTAGGAGGGGGTGCACTCTTCTCTTGCTCTACTTCAACACCAATAAACCACATAGTTTTTTTTGTTTTGCAGGATACCAGTTGTATTAGAAAACCGCAGATCATCTCAGCAGGGGGGGAGGGGTGCGCACCCCCTGCACCCTCCCCCTAGATCCGCCCCTGACCTCCCTTTACTAAACGCGAACGGGCTAATTTTTGTCCTGGTCTTCCTTAATTGTAATGCTGTTGTTGTAGTTTTTCCTTACTGTAACATTGGATGTAAGTAATTTCTTGCATGAGGATAACAACAATGGACGTTTTGCCTTTGTTGCCCAGTGGAAGTTCTTCCCAGGCATGAACCAAAAATGTTCGTTTTCGGCTCTTTTCTGGAAATAACAGAAAGCAAAAAAGTATAGTTAATAAATATTTTTAGATTATTGCAAAAAGCGAATTCAAAGAAAACCGGCTTTATCTGTCCAATTGATGTACGTCTTAGTATTCAGCCTTTCTGAAGGCCTTGGGTATTTTTTACCTGAGAGCACTGCCGCTAACGGAACACTGACGGCTGCAAATGGCCGAAACAACTGACGAGATGTCTTTTCTCCTCCATTTTAAACACCTGCACTCCAAAACTACAGTAAAATGGATCGGCGGCCTCAAAGCGAGCGCCACAAGTTTATCAGTGACTTCTTAATGTCCACTCTCTTGTGTCATTACTCCTTTAAATTAAGGCCCTTTAGAATAAAGAGAGAATGAAGTGATCCGATATGTGCGGACTTGAAACGGATATGGAAAAAGGACGTCATGGGATAATCGATCGTCTCCGTGCCGTAGTGAGGTTTTCGATGAAACGATAACTTTATGCTAAAACCGAAGTCTTTATTATACATTTGGCAGCAAGTGGAAGTTAAGGAGAACAACTTTCTTATTTTTCAAAAACATCAAAATTTTGATATAAAATTATAATTTTACAATCACCCTACTTTTTTCAGTGAGTAGGTTCAGTAGAGATCACTTCCACAGCCAGGTAGCAATCGCCGGCTTATGTCGAGGCCTTATACATGATATATACATATGCATATATTTAACAAAGCGAACACAGATCAAGAAAAAAAAGTGATTTCATATTTGTTTAGTGGAAATGTTTGAAGGAATTTGAATACAGAGAGTTTTGAAATGCTTCATTTTAACAATTTTCCTGAATTTTACAAGTCTTGGCGGTGGATTTCCTAATTCAAATGCAATCATTCCGTAAATGTGCACAGTCAAAATGATACAAAAATAAGCAAATGCCAAATAAAATTAACAGGCTTTTGACAGACCACAGACAACCCAAGTACTTCGTCGTATATATTCGTGTTTTGAATAATCATAGAAAGGATTATTATGCAAAGCGACAAAATTGGGATCTCCTTTATGGAGTTTAGAACCGTCGCAGGAAAAGTTGCTAGTTGAGGAAATAAAATGCGAAGAGCTTAGCCAGTAATGGTTATGCTTTTGACAGTTTCGCGGATACCACTTTTAATCAGCGGGTTACAGCATTGGGTTATACGTGTTAACGGACTTCCGTTTAGTCCAAAAAACAAAACAAAACAAAACAATTCTTCCCCTCGTGGTAACAACCCTCAAACACGCTCCTTTAAGAAGTATATCCAATCGTAAACAAAAATTCCTTGCTAAACCATGGCTGACTGCGGGTTTAAGAAAATCAATCAGGGTAAAGAATAACCTCTTCTATACCTCAGACCGTGACAAATACAAATTATACAGAAATAAAATCATTTATCTTACGAGATTAAGTAAAGCGAACTACTACCAAAGTTTCTTTGATCTCAACATATGTAATATGCGTCAAACTTGGAAAGGAATTAACGAGCTAATTGGAAACTGTAAAAAGAAAAACAAGCGCAACTCAACTAACTCTATTCGCTCAAACCCGAATGAGGTTCCAACTAGTGACCCGAAGGAAATAAGCAATATTCTTAACAAATATTTCGCCACTGTTGGGAGCAAACTGGCTTCTAAAATTCCTCAGACCATAAATACATTCTATGATTATTTAGATCCGCCACTTAATCGCACTTTCTTCTTTGATCCTATTATTCCGGAAGATATCAATTTAGAAATTTCAGTTTTGCAAGACAACAAGGCCCATGGTCTTTACTCATCTCCAGTTAGGCTGCTGAAATTGGCAAAAAGGGTCATATCCGTACCTCTAGCCACGATTTTTAATCAGTCTATTTGCTCAGGGATTTTTCCATCTAAACTAAAGTGTGCTAAGATTATCCCGATATTTAAGGACGAAGATGACACGCTGCCCGAAAACTACCGACCTATTTCTCTGCTCTCGATTTATAACAGGATTTTTGAAAAACTTATGTACTCCAGAGTTACCAAGTTTGTCAAAGATTGCAACATTCTCTATGATCAGCAATACGGTTTTCGCAGTAAGCACAGTACTCAGCATGCTGTACTTGATATTGTTAACACAATTCTCCAAAACATGGACAACGGTAAATTTTCGTGCGGTGTTTTCATCGATCTCAAAAAGGCTTTTGATACTGTTAACCATGAAATTTTGTTAGCTAAACTTGAAAATTATGGTATTAGAGGTGTAATCAACTCCTGGTTCAGATCATACCTGACTGATCGGAAGCAAACTACGGAAGTTAATAATGTTGTGTCTGAGGCTGAAACGACCTTGTGCGGCGTGCCACAAGGCTCAGTCCTCGGACCACTCTTATTCCTACTGTACATCAATGATATTTACAAGTCCTCTTCGTTATTTGCCTTTTATCTATTTGCTGACGATACTAGTATAATACTTGCAAATAACAACCTAAAGGAACTCGAAACACTTGTTAATCGCGAGCTTGGCAACGTCAACGAATGGCTAAAGGCCAACAAACTGTCCTTGAACATAAAAAAATCAAATTTTGTAATCTTTCGTCCCCGGCAAAAGAATATGCCCTTCATACCTAGGATTAGAATTTTTGACTCCGTGACTAACACCTACGCAAACCTTGAAATGAAAGATTATGTAAAATATCTTGGCTTAATGATTGATTCAAATCTTTCATGGAAATACCACATCGAATCTATCTGTCACAAAATCAGCAAGTCGATAGGAATTATAGCTAAAATTCGACATTATGTCCCGCGTCGTGTTTTACTTTCAGTTTACAACTCATTAATTGTCCCTTACTTGACTTATGGTATTTGTGGTTGGGGAAATTGTGCCTTGACATTTCAAAGAAAGATCGTAACTCTACAAAAACGGGCCTTACGTCTCATTTACTTCAGTAAGTCTAAGGAACACGCCGTACCCTTCTTTCTCAAATCAAATTGCCTTCCCCTGTCTAGCATATTTTTCAGAGATTGTAGCTATTTATTGTATGATATCAACAGACAGATAGCACCAGTTAGTATTCTCAATCAGTTCGTTAAAACAAGTCAGATTCATAACTACAGAACAAGATCTGTCTCTAGCGACTCGTTTTATGTTAAGTTCTCTAGAACCGATAAAATGTATGCCTTTTTCACGAGAATCGGTGCCCAAATTTGGAACTCTATTCCGTATTCGATTAAAATACTTAAACGTTCGTCCTTTCGTAAAAAAATAAAGGAATTATTACTAAATTTTTTGCGGTCAGAAGATGATTATGTCGAAGTCTCCCGTCTTATTAAGTTATTTAATACTTTAGGTTAGCCTCTCTTCGTAATCGTTATGTACATGCCTTGTTTTATGTTAGTTTAAATTCTATTTACTGTATTGTAGTGTCTTCACTGTTATTTAGTCCATCTATATATAAATCTTGTTTTGTAAATTGTGTTCAGCTCCCCCCGCCTCGATTAGTTCATAAGCTATTTGCGGGTGGGAAAGTAATGTAATTAGTTATTTTCCGATTTTCAATAAAATTTGTTGTTTTGTTGTTGTTGTTGTACCCTCGGCAAGTTCAAGTGGGGGGTAACGGGAAGTGGAGGGAGGGAGGGGGGAGTTATCCGGGTAAATAGGCGGTGGGAGGATTACAAAAGGCGGGAGAGAAAAGGGCGGGAGGTGGGAGTTCTAAAAAGGTGACAGACGGAGAAAAAGAAAAAAAAATCGTTTTAAATATTTCGCAATCGAAAAAGCTAAAGAAAAAGGGGTTAGAGCCGGGAAAGCACTGAGGGTGCAGGAGGTGCACTGAGCTGTTTTTAAAACATCCTTATCGTTCACTAAAATAAAATGGAATAAGAAATGAAATAAGTGATTTATCGGCACTTTTTCTTTCAGCCGAGATTTGTGTGAGGCGTTCAGCCTCCGTCTGGGTAATAGATTGTTTTGAAGGCACCTTGAATTAACTTCTCGGTCGGCAGTTTATGACACAAATACAAATATACTTGATCAGTTGATACAGGGCGCTCTCCATCCAACCAAAACTTTCGAAAAGGTACAGAATTTTCCCGGAAAGGTTCCAGAAATTCCGCAAACTGTTGAATTTCTGAAATGCGAACCATTCCACCGAAAATTCTAGATTTTCCGGGAGCAAAGTTGAATGAAAAGAAAACTTCAGGGAAAAGATTTTCGAAAACTTGGGTATGCCTCGTGAGGTAGCCCTGTTTTTAGAAATTTTGGAAAATGTTGTTCAATTCGCTCCCTAACCTGCGATGCTATTCGCTCCTGGAGGTAGCCGAAAATTTTTATTGAATGGAAAGCGCCCACAGTATACTTGTCAGTGGTAGATCCTGGCATAGTATAAAAAACAAAATGGCGGATAGATGACAACACGCAGAAATGGCTTCTAAAGCCTCGGCGACTTTAACCAGTTTTATGACAGGATACTACGGACCAGCCTCGTGTAGCTCACGAGGGTTTCAGAGTTTAGTGAGAGCCATCGGTGAAGCTAAATCTAAGCATGTAAGTTACTACAATTTATGTCTTCTGATCTACAGTTAACACAGAACTGAGGTTTCTCTTTTAACAGCTAGCAAACTCCGATCGGAGAGAAAGGTTGACGCACCACTCATGTGCATTGTTGTAATCTAAATCTCCTTATTTTTGCTTTAAAAGCCGTAGAGTTTGGTGAAAATCTCATTTACGTAAGTTAAAAGCAAACTATGTGATATTGAAAAAGTGTCAGCTGTTTAGGAAGCACAGGTAACCCAATCTTGGTATTGGAGCGACAAAATAGTTAATGTCCTTCGCATTTACATCGACAATACACTGTACTGTACGATTTCGTTTGGTAGAGCGTGAATTATAAGGGTTCTATGATATGTTTAATTAAACTGCTGGCCCCCGGTTGTTCAAACGTTGGATAGCGCTTTCAACTGGATAAATACTTATCCAGCAGACAAGTATTTTGGGAAACAATTGCGGTGTCACTGGATAGCACTACCTACCTTTTGACCTACCTACCTGGGGCCTGGGGGTGAAAAACTAAATTTTTTTGTCTTTGGCAGATTCTAAAATCTGAAGTTGATGAATTTTAGCCTGCAAAATTCTCCCCAAATTTTCCAAGGCATTATTATGTACATAATAATATTACGGTTTCTGGTCGTAATTAAGACTACTGAATCAGATTCATTGAGTAGGAAAAGAAAACTAATAGTCCATTTCATGTTGTCTTTTTTTATTTAAGGAAGAGGACAGAATTGCCAAAAGGGAACTGAGTTTGTTAAAAGATAAGATGACCCAACGTGACACATCTCCGGTAAGAGGCATTTCTTTAAAATTACAAAAACAACACAATGCTGAACATTATCTACCTATTCATAGAAACAAACAAAAGGTGGTGGACAAAACACTGACCCCCAGTCCATGGACTACCCCCAAGGACTACCTTAAAATGGACTATGCCGCTAAAGTTTAGTGGTGAGGGTTAGGAAATGTCAAGTGGTAGAAGATCAATACGTGTATGTGTTTTAGATCACATTATGAGTGAAAGAAGATCCAAATGCACATGATCAGATTGTGTTCTACGTGTATATGTTCCACTTATTCTCCACTTAAGTCAAAACGAAATTGGAATGCTGGCTTCATACATTGCACTCATGTGTAATAACAACCTGGAGATAAAGACATGACAAGATTTAACTCCGTAATTAAATGAACTGACAGTGAAAAGTTATTTAAAAAACATGAGGTTGTTGGAAATAATAATTTATGGTTGTTAACATAAAGAAATTTCTTCATAATAATGCTAAATGTATTTTGTAATTAATACCATTGATGTTTTGTTATGTTTTTAGAAACAGATGAGGGAATATTTAGTGCGTTTAATTTATTGTGAGATGTTGGGCCATAGTGCATCAGATTGTTATGCCGAAGCTGTCAAATTTGCACAGCAACCAAATAACCTGGACAAGCGAGTTGGTGAGTTCATCAGTCTCATAAAAATCACACCAAAGATTCAAACGTATGATTTGCCAACCCCCAAGAGGCAAACCAAATAGCTTTGAGAAGCTGTGAGGACTAGGAAAAAGTCATGGGAGTTTAGGTATTAGATCTCCAGAGGTCACATATCATTTTAAAGCTGGGGCAGTAAGAATCACAATCAATTTTCTTTGTTGCTGCTGACATCCGCATCATTACTTTGTTGGTGGCTATCTCAAAATGAGAGATTTAGGTTTTTATTTTAATGGTGGGTCTGCTCATTTAGACTGTGTCAGGCATTAATTTCTTCACATGTAGATGCATGTAGATTGCATAACTTTACTATCTTACTTGAAAGTGAATTAACCTTACATATGCAAGTCTAAAAGTTTTTGGAGAATGACGTTTTGAGAAAGAGTGAGAAAAGTTGTCAGCTTGAGAAGTCATAACATGGCAAGTCTTATGTACTTAAGTTGATGCAATTCTTAAGTGATTTGAAAGTACAGTCAACTTTCTTGTATGCGACCACCCTTGGTGCACCACAAAGTGGTCGCTTATGGGAGGTGGTCATCTACAGGAAAAATCAAGAAAATACGTGCTCAAACTGAACCGATTAACATACAAACATGTAATTTCATAAATTAACCTTAAAAGCTAAAACTTAGGCAAAAAGACAACTGGCAATTAAATCTTATATACATCGAATAGTGCTTGGAACTGTTGAAACAATCCACTTTTTTACCCATAGATATTATTACAGCCATCGTTTGTGTAAGTCAGCTGCTCTAATCTGTTGGCATGCTTGGTCAGCGCTATCAAAAACAGAAATTTTGTGACATTCAAGGGCTTTGTTGCAATATTATTATACGTGATCATCCGGGTGGTCAGTGGGAAACAGAAAACAAGACAATAGAGTAGAATCCTAGTAACTGGAACCTCTGGAGGGAAATGAAAAGCAGTTTGTGTTAGTGGGGAATCTGAGTTATTGGCGGGTAAATTTCAGTGAAATTTTGATAAAGGGAAAGGAAATTTAATTTGAGTTATCGAGGTTCCACTGTATGTCAAATTTCTGGTTCAGAAAGGGGTTGTGGTCATTTACAAATTTTGTTAGTGGTCACTTATGAGAGAGTTTCTGAAAAAGTGTTCTACTGACAAAATCAACGGACTTATTTTCAGAGTGGTTGCTTATGAGGCAAGATGTGGTTGCTGTGAGAGAGTTGGCCTTATTTCAATTAATTATTTGTAGTGCTCACTGTGTGGTATGATGTACTGTCATAATCAAACTTCTGTAAGCGACCAGCTCCCGAAAGGTCACAGGCTTATGGTTGCTTACTGGACAGCCAGTTGTTTAAAAACACAGGGTTTCTACACTGAGAACAGGTTTGAAACATCAGCATGTTTACTACAGAAATGTATTCAAAGAGAATTAAGTGGAAGTCCCATATCCATCAGGATTAGTAAAAATGATGAAGATAGTGTACTGAGTTGGCAATTCACACATTTTCTAATCAAATGCTCTTGTTAGGCATTTTCTTTAGATAGAGTTTGCTTGCTATCTTAAGTTTAAATGAATTCTAGAAATGGTCCAAAAATATTTGGAGTGTGGCTTTTGAAAAAGCTTGAGAAATCAGTTGTCAACTCATGAGAGGGTGAGATACATGTAGGTTGTGAAATTGTGAGACTCATACATGTATGACAAAGTCGTGAGACTTGGCAAATCTGCTGTTGTAACTAAAGGTCCCTCAATACAGTGAGTGTACCGGTACTTTGAGTGAGTATAGCATAGTTCAGACAATGAACATACTTAGACATCAAAGCATAATTATGTCAAGTGGTTGCTTATAAGAGGTTTATTGAAAAATAGATTGTGGTTGGTTGCTAGCTATGAGAGGTTATGAGAGGTCCCAACTACAGAGCGTGGAAAAGGATATATTTCCTTAGTATTTTGTCTTGACTATTTGGTCATGGGAGTTGTTCACTTAACCCTTTCAGTCCCGATAGTGACCAACATCAATTTTCGCTTAACAAAATCCAGTAATGGTCAAGAGATAATTATGAGAATTAACAAATTATCACCAAAGAGAAAATACCTTGATCTGTTATTAAATTCTCTCAACTGACTCTTAAAGGAAATATATGGAGATCAGTTTGGAGAATTTGGATGTTGATATTGGGACTTAAGAGCCGATGTCAGTAAATATCGACCAGAGGTCTACAAAAGTGAAAAATCGAAAATTCTCAAAAAAATTCACAAAGTAGCACTAGGTAAGCTATTAACATAAATGTAATTTTTACTTCGATCCGATAATTATTTTCCACGTACGGGGGGGTTATTGGTTTCGCGGCTCTCGGACCGGGTTTTCCAGGCCCGAGACCATGTGTCGCAAAAAAATCGTTTTAAAATTCAAATCCATTGTATGCGGACAACAAATAACTTATTCAAAAGAGTACTTAATTGCACACATTCTAAGTGGTGATTTACTCAGTTTGAACGAAAGTGTAATATTTTGGAGATTTTTCATTATTTTCAATATTTTTAACGTTTTCGTTCAATGAAAAAATGGCAAATTTCAAAGCCCAAAATCGTCGACTGGTACCTCGATTTCAGTAACGAGTCTTATACCACGTTAAAGAGCGTTATCTCTTCTTTCAAAATCTGTTTTCAAAACTACGGGCAACTTAAAAGAAAATGTTTGAGGCCAAAAAATACTAGTAGTACTTTTCTGAAATTTGAGCTTTCCAGACTCATCGGGTCGATGCTAAAAACTCAGAAAAATGCAATAAGAAATCAGTTTGAGCAACAGTGATTTAATGTTATCAGCTATCAGAAACTAACACGTGTTTATACAGCGATCTGATAAAATTTAAAGCCGTTTTCCAACAAGAAAAGCAGAGTTTAGCCATCTTCTGCTACCAAACGCACGAGTGACGTAAGGTTGTCAAAGGGCAAAGCACAATAATAAACTTCAAAAAGCACAACGTTTCTGCGTCCAGGAATTAGACTTTAGCGGACAGAACATTGCTTACAAGTGTATGTTTCATACCTTAGTATGGGTTTCCTAGATACTGGAAATAAAAAACATCAAGGACAGCATCGGCAAGAGCATCTTCGGCAGCTCTCAAACGACGGAGATTGCGTTACTTTTCACAGATTGACCGCTTACCACCTGTTTTTGGGCTCGCATTTCGACGGAACGCTTGCCTCGAGAGGCGCGCGGCACGGATCTGAACTCTTCTTCACGAGACATTGAACTGAATTTATCGGAAATATGCCACCACCACCAACAACATGAGCTTTTTTCGGGTATTTGTCGTTTTTTATGCGAAAAGTTCGGGTAAGCATATTCTCGCAAAAACCATTTGGCTTAAAAAATGTGTTTAAAAGCCCACCCTGGATTTGAAGCAAAAAGTATTTCCTCGAAATAAGCTAAAAATACCCAATTCACGCGGCGAAAAAATGGATGATTATGGAAGGACTATCGAATTCTTGCCTAACCTGAGGGATTTCCCGTGATGTAGGATTAGGGCTAGGAAAAAAGCCCATAACCTACTCCTGTCGTTGTGAATTTCCTCAAGATCAAAAATTTCAGTAAGAACCGAAAACAACAACCTAAAGGAGGTGTACACACCTTGAACTAGCCAGGGAAAAGAGGCTTCTGATTGAGCTAAACTGTCATTGATGCACGGTGCAATTAGGTAGACCTGTTACTATCCCCCGCGCAACCACATGGGGAGTACTTTGAAGCGGTCCTGTCGGGGACTTTAGGGGGTAGGGGGCGGGGCAAATCGAAAATAACTTCTCTTTGTTTTTGTGAAGTACAACATTTCTCGCACGGTTGACAAGGTGACGGCGGACTCCGTACCTTTGGAAAGGCCCTTTTGAAACATGTCCTGGCAACATGCAGGGCATCACGAAATTAACGTCAACACCTTGAATCAACTCCATGAACAGGGAGAGGCGATAAGTCCCATCTTAAAAGATGCTTGATGTCTAGACGTGAATAGTCTGTCCACAGTCATTTTTCATTTTGTATTTCGGGACCATTTGACAGCGTACGAGTGAACCGGAGTGCAGTAACGGGCCCTAACCCCACCCCATTACCCTTGTGGTCAATAAATCATCGCGTTTTTCATTTTTTTTATGCGCGTTCGAGAACCTCCAAAGGGAATATTGAGGGTCTTTGTACAGTTTCAGTTTATTTTACCGACAAAAAAGAACAAAACAAAGCTAAAGCGAGTATACAGAAACACGCAGAAGCAATGTGGTGAGGAAGCCCAAAAAGAAACCATAAGGCTTAGGTCATCCCCTTTTCGTTCGTTTAGCGTCGAATAGTTTTCCTGGTTTTGGGCGGGTCGGTCGGTGGAGTGAAAAAAAAAAAATCACAAGAAATCTGAGAAAGGGAGGCCTGAAACACCAGCATCATTGCCGTGGAGACTGAAAACAACAAGACATGGTCACCAAATCGACACAAACTCAATATGGCGGAAAATTTGATGGTCAATTTCATAAAAAAAAGGCCCAAAAAGGGTAAAAAGCAAAGAGGATACACCACCGAACGTTGTATGCCTCGAAATGATGTTATAATGCTAATTTTTTAGATTAAAAGAATTAATCTAAGTCCAAAAAAAATAAACCTTGTCGTTTCTTTTTCTTGCTTTTTTAAAAAATGCCAAAAAACTGGGTTTTTTGGACGACACTAAACGAAGAAAAAATTAATATAGGTATTAAGCTCCCTTAAAGTATAAAAGTATAAGTTTACAAGGACAGGATCGAACGTATACTGAGTAACTAAATGATAAAAATTTGATCAAAATTAAATGAAAGGCTAAGAGCCTAAGCGCTTTCTGATAACGAAACGGTAAACAAGAAGTGCTGCCTCTCATTTAAAAGAGACGTGAAATACTGGGTGGACCACATCCTGAACTCCCGCGAAAACCGCAAGAGAGGAACGCTCAGGGCTAAGGAGACTAAACAGGGGCGTAGCTACTTGTACGCACGGTTTGCACGTGCGTACCCGAAAACGTTGAGGAAAAAAAAAAGAATGAAATAAACATAACTAAAAAAAATCGGTTTCCAGAGAAGCGACGACATTAATTGGAGAACCGAATCTTGGATGATTTATTTATATAGCAAGCTTGATGATGTAAAGCGTGAACGCGTTGTTTTCTCCACGACCTGTCTTCGGAGTAGACGAAGTAGGGCACAATTACGTCAATGTGTGGTGCTTTTGTCGGTCAAAAATAATGTGACAAAAAGGGGTAAAAAGAGTCATTTGTAAACTAAAGTCGGAGGTACTACAAGCTTGATTTTTAATAGCTGAATTAATGATAAACGGTTGACGTCAATGAACATAACAAGCCGACAGAATTAAAGAATTTTAGAGGTTGTGTCATTTCATAAACAGCAAAAATGCTTTTGCTTACAACCGTTAACCCCACCTTTAATAAAGGCACCTTAAAAAAATGTTGAGATTTGGGGTGGGGGGGGGGAAGATGTAGAAAAAGTTGGGCATACCTCCGGAAAAATCCTGACTACGCACCTGCTAAAGCCTGAAACTGGACAACAGGAGTCTTGACGAAACGTCCTCAGTTATCACCTGTCCGGGGTCGTACTTTCAAGGAAACGCTGATCAAGAATCACTCATGACGGAATGAAAACTCCTCGTAGCTTCCAGCGAAAAAAGGAGTGACAACAGTGGTAAGCGGTCGTTCTGTGAAATGTAACGCAATCTTTGCCGTTTACGATCTTTCGGCGCTTGGATTTGAAACGTTGTTGTTTGGTATGTTCTCCCGTGTGGATACTTGACATTTCCAATATATGGAAACACCATGCTAAGGTACGAACAACAGACATTCACAACATTGTTTTGTACGCTAAAATCTGATTTCATGGACGTAAAACGTTTTGAATTTTAAGACTTTTTAATATTAGTGCTTTGCCCTCCCTTTGACAACTTCACGTGACTGGTGCACTTGGCAGGAGTTGACAGCTTAAATCTGCCTTTCTTGATAGCAAACGGCATTAATTTATATCAGATCGCTGTATAAACACGTCTTGGTTTCTGAAAGCTGATAACATGAAACCACTATTGCTCAAACTGATTTCTTACTGTATTTTTCCAAGTTTTTAGCATCGGCCCGCCGCGTCTGGAAAGCTCAAATTTCAGAAAAGTACTACTTGTATTTTTTGGCCTCAAAAATTTTCTTTTAAGTTGCCCGTAGTTTTGAAAACAGATTTTGAAAGAAGAGATAACGCTCTTTAACGTGGTATAAGACTCGTTACTGAAATCGAGGTACCAGTCGACGATTTTGGGCTTTGAAATTTGCCATTTTTTCATTGAACGAAAACGTTCAAAATATTGAAAATAATGAAAAATCTCCAAAATATTACACTTTCGTTCAAACTGAGTAAATCACCACTTAGAATGTGTGCAATTAAGTACTCTTCTGAATAAGTTATTTGTTGTCCGCATACAATGGATTTGAATTTTAAAACGATTTTTTTGCGACACATGGTCTCGGGCCTGGAAAACCCGGTCCGAGAGCCGCGAAACCAATAACCCCCCCGTACATGGAAAATAATTATCGGATCGAAATAAAATAAAATTTATGTTAATACCTTACCTAGTGCTACTTTGTGAATTTTTTTGAGAATTTTCGATTTTTCACTTTTGTAGACCTCTGGTCGATATTTACTGACATCCGCTCTTAAAGGGTTAAAAGAGGTTTCACACATAAATCATGATCGTATCTTTTAATGTTAAAATGCACAATAAAAGCAATAAATATTATTATTATTATTATTATTATTATTTTTAAAGGTTTGACTGTGCATTTAGATAATTGTAGTTGTACATATTTTGTTTTGTTTAGATCATAATGATCAATTACACAGAACTGATGCTACTTAGCACTGATCAGTACATGCAAAGAGCTGCATGTAATATTTCATGTGCAAAGCATTGTGGAAAAAGTCACATACATGACGTATTCTCTCTTATCAGTTTCTTTTACTTTTTTTCAGGTTATTTGGTATCATCACTATTTCTGAGTGAGGATCATGAACTTATTGTGTTGCTGGTTAACACCCTTCAAAAGGTTTGTGTCATTTTAAATCTGACATGTTCAATGTTGTGTTTTGTGTCTGGGTTGAATACTTCAATCAGCCTGAAAAAAAAATTAAAAGCAAAAGGGTGCATGCTGGAAAAGACCTCAAAGAAGTGAACTTTGAGATAAACGTTGCCTTTCTTGTAATAACAGCACATGTACATGTACAATAGTTGGCGGACAAGTTTTTAGGGGAGCTCTTCTTCACTTTCACCTGAAAAGAGAAAAGTCTCTTTTTTTCTCACCTTCTCCCAAACTACTTCCTGCTCCCTCATACACATCCCAGGCTAGACCCTGTACATTTGAAACCAACATGGCTGCCCAGAGGGGTCAACACCTGATCTCGACATTCTTACCGAGAAATCTAGGGCAATGTGAACAGTCTACTTACAACTGTAGCGCCAGTTATTTCATTGTTTCTATTTCCATTATTCAGACTGAGAAAAGAGCATGATGGCGCTTTATCATAAATTCTCAGCACCAAAAGAAATGTTTTTTTTTTAACGAATAATCTACATGTAACTGGTTTAAAAGAAAGACACAAACAAACCAGGTTTTAACAGTTTGTCTAATAGGTTACCAAAAAAAGCTTTTGAAGGATAGCTTGAATTAATAATAATCTTCTAAAATTAATCTCTGCTTATTTTGCTAAGTATAAAAGGACAGAAACAGAAACCAAATATTTACTACGGCTTAGCCTGCTGCCCTGTGATAATTATTTATCATAGTAAAGCTAGTTAGTAATATTAATTTTCTGTTTTTTTACCAGGATCTTTGCAGTACTAATGTCTTAGAGGTTTGCTTTGCTCTGACTGTTGTTTGCAAGTTGATCAATAAGGAAATGATGCCTGCAATACTACCAAAAGTTTTAGAATTACTTCAGTCTAAAAGGTTGGTCAGACATAACTTCTTTTTACTAATATTTTGCTGCGTTCTGTCAATAACTGAATGAAAGAGTGAATGAAAATCAATCGACCAGTCCATCAATCAGTCAGTTGTTAAGCAAGCAATCATTAATTGATTATTAGTCCAATTAAAATAATCTTAAACATAATTAAAGTCGACTTGGCGTTGGTAAAATAGAAATAATGATGATACAGTGAGCTGTCATTATCATGTAGTCTGTGTAGCTGACAGGGTTATGATGACCTGTAGTATTTTCTTGGCAGTGGAGCTACTAGGGATTGTTGCTGCTCCACTGCCAAAAAAAACAGCACTTGCCCGCTAAATCCTGCTGGCTGCAAAGGCTAATTACACATGTATCATGTGATTGGTAAGCTCCCGCGAAAGATACGAAAATCAGCATGTCCTCAGCCATGAGCTCTTTAGGCGGGATTTAAATGACCTTGGAACCTCATTTTGAGCTTGTGCACTATCCAGTGAGATATGGCAGGGCGGTCATTAGACAGGTTAAGCTTCTCATATACAGCAAACGTCAGATTCAAGTTGAGATTTTCTCAAAATAGAAAATGAGCTGATAAAAACAGCTCAAAACAATTCTTGTTGACAAAATTGCGTGAAACTACTAATTTAAGTGTAGAATTAATGAACAGTAAACGACGAGTACATGTAATGGGGAAACTTGGTCACGTGGCACAATTGACGTAAACGTGATGCTTAACCTCTCTAATAAGAGGCGGGGGCCGGGGATTTTCCCCGGCAATTATGAACGTGGCCCCGCGGCTACTTTCTTCGAAAAACAGAAAAAAAAACAAAAAAAACAAAAGAAGTCCCTGTCTTTTTTATTTCCCGCCTACTTGTTGTATTTACCTGGCAACTTGAAATCTTTAAAGTGACACAGTTGTATTTAGAGACTCATGGAGTGCAAGAGCACATGCTAGGTTCATGCAGTCTGCTTCTCTAGGTACATATAGTAACTATGTGTATTCAAAGTGGACAGACCGCAAATTATAGTAGTTGCTAAAAAATATATATCTACGTGTCACAACTGTTCATGCGCATCTATGGCTGCCGGAACACATGTAGCTGGTGAAAATTTTGTGATGTTTAGATTAACGTTTTTCTTAAAATTAATTCATCTGTTTTTTTTTTTTATTATTCATTGCGGGCGACAAGAGGAGCCCGCAGTCCTAATCTCCAGGTTGTTATTACGCATGCGTCGCATGTATGTAGCCAGCGTTCGTTTGGACTTCCACTAAGAATGAATGGAATGCGAAGAACGCAATTTGATCACGCGCCTTTGGACATCCTATCACTCGTAATCTGATCACGCGTGTTGACTATCTGTCATGTGAAACTTACGCAAAGCGCAGCGATGGAAGCGTAAAAAAAGAAGCCTGATCGCAGGTTACCGATCGTTTTCGTCCGCACTCCGTAACCTTTGATTATTGCTAGTATGTATTATTAAATGACAACACAAATTTTAACTTATATCATTTTTACCTTCCTGTTTTGTTCAAGTACTTTTACGTATGGTATGTAGTTGTACATGGCGATACGTTTGTCAACATGGTGTGTTTTGTTCAAGTACTTTTACGTATGGTATGTAGTTGTACATGGCGATACGTTTGTCAACATGGTGTGTTTTGTTCAAGTACTTTTATGTACGGTATGTAGTTGTACATGGCGATACGTTTGTCAACATGGTGTGTTTTTCTCAGGGATATTGTGCGTAAGAAGGCAGTTATGGCACTACATAGTTTTTATATGAAGAATCCATCAGCTATTCCTGATGTGGTAAACCATGTAACAAAGGCAGCTCGCGATAAAGACCCTGGTGTAATGACAGCATCTCTGCACTTATTCTTTGAACTGATAAAGGTAAAAAGAACTCCTGGCAACATGGATTGCTCTAATTTTATTTAGCCCACTTCAAAACACAGATACAGCTGTACAGGCGAATGCTGCATCAAGAGAAAGGCTAATATTTTTTCCTCTCGCAAAATATTTTATGCCATTACAGACCTAGACAAAGTTGACCAATCGGATTACGGGAAAATAACAATACATTCCGAGAAAATTAGTTGTCAATCATAATTACGACAAAACGAAACCAACAACATGGATTGAAATCAGCCAATTACAACCTACAGACGCGATCTTTTGAACCCGCTAAAGAAAGTCTGTGTTTCCTGAGAGGTCTGTTAGAGTTAATGAAAGACTGAGGCGAAAGACGTAGACGTTCGTTATATTTTTGGCTTGAGGTAGCATGTTATTGCAAAGCGCGGCAATGTAGCAGAGAAACTGCTGTTAGATGAAAAAATACAAGCTTGTGTTGTATGTAATGTTTCGAATAGAAAAACATTGTCTGGTAAAACATTCTGCTTTCTTGAAAAACGTTTCCTATCGATATTTAAATTTTGTGCTTCGAGTAACTCATTGTTTTTTTACGAGCAGCTGATTGGCCCTCAACCAACTTCTCGGAATGTATTGTTACTTTTCTGTAATACGATTGGTCAACTTTGTCTGCGGCCCCGGTTACAGTAGTCGCACTGTGAAGGTTAAGAATAAATAATATAAGAAAGTTGCAAAATTTTAAAAACGTATTGTGGGGTCCAAATTTGAGCCCTCCCTTCAGTTCGTGACATTGTGAAGCTGTATCTTCGTTAGTTTTTAATATATCAATACCAAACTTTGCGATTTTCCCATTTTTATACGCACCTTTTAGCTGTGGTCACGGATTTTTTGTTAACCGATCCTTGTCAAAAGTTGAAAAATAACCGTGAAATGGTATTTCGGTATTGTCATATTAGCAATGATCATGTTTAAGAATCTCAGTGCTTTACAAGACGTTATATGGGGGATAGTTATTTCAAAATGTTGTGTTTTGTGAACTTAAAATACAGACAAATTTCAACTTTTCTTCAATGGGATCAATGAATCAGTCTCACTACAGGTATCATCCTGTTGGATTGGGTGGGATTTTATTGTCCGGGGCAAATTTTGCCACAGTTATTGCACAGTAAAATACACCCTATAATGCCCATAATGTCAGTTTGGAACTCATGGAATAAAGCAGTCATACTTTAGGAAATAATGTAAATTGGAGGTGGATATGTATATGTGTAGTGCTTGCCGGTGTTCGTGTTGTTTTGTATTGACAGGAAAATCCAACTAAATTCAAGTCCTTGGCCTCATCTTTTGTAAGTCTTCAAAAGATAATCTTAGAGGGCAAAGTGGCAACTGACTATGACTATCATGGAGTGGCAGCACCTTGGATACAGATTAAAATTTTAAAGATACTGGGATTGTTAGGGGCAGATAATGAAAAGTGAGTCAACAAGAAGTGGTCAGTGGTCTTTGTAGAACCACAGGCATCCCAAGCTCATGTTACGAGATAGAATGGAATTCGCTTTCTGTGTCACGAGCGAGTCGGTATCGCGCTACAGGCTATCTTTGAGACGTTCAAATGTATGAGAAATAAAATACTGAGATCTGCGAGCGCTTAATATCGATAAATTTAACATTTTTTAAAAATTGAACAAAGAAGACTTACCTGTGATGTTTTCTGGTGTGTTCTGTTGTTAATTTATTGATTTAATTGACTTTTTGGCTTTAATGTGTGACCCCTGTAACTCCACTTTTATTCGTCTTATGAATGGAGTGTATGTATTTTGTTTCTCATACAACATCTCAAACGATGGACTGTCACGCGATACCAACTAGTCCCAGAAAGTGAATTACATTCCACTATCGTAACGTGAGCTTGGGGCGCCTGTAGAACTTCTCCAGTGGTAACAACTGTGTCCCCCATGGACAATTGGCGAATAAAAACGCGCTATAATTGAGCAAGCGTGAGGCCAAGGAGGCTGGATATTGGCCGAAGGGCCTTTTTGCGTTTGTCTTCAAGGTTCATAAAAAACGCTTAAAACAGCAACAACAAAATCAAAGTAATAACAGCATCAGCAACAACAAACAAAACAAAAAAGAACAACAAGGTCAATATTCAACCGAACAAGATTCAGATTAAGATTCCAGATTGTATATATATATTTTTGCACTGTTACAAGATGTTCCACACATTACAGTATGTTACAAGAGCAGGAAGGAAAAGGGAATAAAAAAATTACATAAATCATGAAAGGTGAAATGTGCGCAGTGACCAAAGAAGCTTAGTGAAAAAGGATTTGTTCTATTTATTTTCTCGCTCGCTCGGGTTATCAATTAGAACAAAGGCTTCGCCTCATCTTGCCCGCTCGCGTAGCTAGCCATAGCAATAAAGTAGCCTGTTCCATTAGCGCGTTCGATAGTGGAGCGCGCGGATAAAATGTAAAGACTACCTGTTTGCAGCTCGAGAGTACAGAGTGATCATTATACAGCAAAGGATTCGAATCTTTCTCGTGACCTTAATTATAATATTTTGCAGAGCTAGCAAGCAAATGTATGCGATACTAGGAAAGACTTTGTCAAATCTAAACACCAGCTCTCCTATCAGTTATGGTAAGTTTTCCCCATCTCAAGTTTAACGACCTCTTTACTGTGATTGGAATGTCATCGGAGTTTACAACATTGTGGACAACTACTGACTCTCAACTAAAAATATAGCTTTGTCCTAAGTGCATAGATTGCATGCTATCTTTGAGTTGAAAAAACTTTAATCCTCTGTAGTTTAATTGTTAATTAGTTGCAACCCAATGTTTAAGGTCATTAATTAAAATTTTCAATGCTCCAAACTGTCCTCGTTAAACCTCGATGTCTTTGTCAACCTGGACGGGGTATAGTTTTCAGGGTCTTGTGCTTTAAACAGGGTATACATTTTCACTATGTAGCGTCTTGACCAGGGTATCTTTCTGGACCGAAGCCCTTTGAAGAGAATGTAAAGGTTGGGGGTGGCTGGTCTACATTTTGTGGTTCCAATTTTTTTTATTGTCCAAAAAATCTTGATGTTACATTAAAAAATTACTTTATCGAATCAACGAATGTAAAGGTTGGGCGTGGCTGGTCTACATTTTGTGGTTCCAATTTTTTTTTATTGTCCAAAAAATCTTGATGTTTCATTAAAAAATTACTTCATGGTCCTAAAGTAAGGTTTCTTCTGGGTTTGAAGGCCTCAGTGGTACACTTCTACCCAAAACTTCTCTTGAGTTGTTGCACGACTTGTACGGAAAGAAAAATCTAACGCACGTGAGTTGTAACTGCACATTTTAATTTTTTAAAAAATCGTGATTCTACTTTTTTGCTAAGACTTCCATGTTTCTTGGCGTTCTCTCTATTTGCTGTAGCTGTGGCTTATGAATGCTTGAGGACGATAACCAGTATATATCCTGACAAAGGTTTGATTGATAAAGCTGCAAAGTGTGTACGGGTATTCCTTGTGGCCAAAACTAATGACATCAGATACATGGGTAAGTCTAGATTGTTCCAGTCCTCTATTTTGTCGTAATATCGAAAGGATCGAGCGCTTACCGGTATGGGTAGTCATTTTGGTTTCATGGGTACCGAGGGACCGGGCTATACTTTGTAACCGGTCGTTCTGCCTAGAAGTCGATTCGCCTACACTGAGGTCGATTCGCCTACATGATTTAAGGTGTTTCTTATACACTAAAGTTTACACTCAGCCTAAACATAGTACTGTGAAGTGTGTGAAGTGAAGCTGACATTCTGAAATGTGTAGGCGAAGCAACTGAGATCACATTGCGTATCGACCTCAGTGTAGACAAATCGACTTGTAGACGAAACGACTTTTGGGCGAAACTTTAAATACAGCCGCCTTTCATGGCTACCGATTACAGGGGAGGTTTTGCGAGAGACAGAGGGTGCGATAAGAGGCGGCTGTATTTGCAGGCTGGCCATACTTCAGTTAGTATTGCCTTCAGTCTCGGAACCAACCACTCGTTTCGATCGATTTTGATAGTTGAATCAGTATACTGCTTTGATCTCTCGTTTCGGTGAATTAGGCTGTGGTCTTTGTAATTTTAAAACAATATGAGGTTGTTTAACCCTTTAAACCCTAGGATCAAAATTTGAATTCTCATTTGTTGCCCCTATCCATTTCCTAAAGAAGTAGTGGGGAGAAGTTGACAAAATATCAAGCCAATTCACCTGGTGTGATCATGCCCGTAATTCTCATTACCACTCTGTTTTACAAAGCAGTGATATTACAAAGAGAAATTTGATGCTGATCACTCACTCTTAGGGTTTAAAGGGTTAACTGAGTTCGCTTTACACAGGGATAAAGACACTGACATCTTTGCTACAAGTGGGCAGTGGATTTGTTTTGGAACCAGCGTATCAAAGAGTCATTATCGACTGTCTGAATGATCCTGACGAGACACTCAGGAAAAAGGTATGTAGGCTATTTATTTTGTGAATAAAGAGTTTAGTGTCTACAGAGACTGTGGTGAAGGTGAAAAATACAAAAAAATTAATTTCTCAACTGAGTTGTTTATGTATTTTGGTCACCTTGCGTTCAATTTTGTCACAGTGTTTCTATATTCTGTATTCTATGTTCCCGATGTTTATGGTTTACATTTGCAAAACCGAACTGCGACAGCGCCGTGAAATCCGGAAGAGTGTAGCCCCCCCCATCTGTTAAGGCGCAGCACTCATTCTTATTTTAAACAAATAGTAGCTTTCTTAAAATATTTATTATTATTATCCATTCAAAATATTTCTCCGTTTCTGATTGGCTAAAAGCACAGGCATAATTCACCATAACCAGCTACTGTTGACCAAATTTGGAAGAATTTTGCGATTAATTAACCGATGACGTCAAAAGTGTAGCATGGTTACGCGCGAGAAGGAGACACACGAGGGGAGAGGTACCCCTCGCGTGTCTCCCTCGCGTGCGCCCGTTCTCTCTTTCGCCCACTACTTCCAAGCGCCTGCTACGCAGCCCAAAAAAGAAGAAAAGAGAAGTGACAGGAAACCGCGGGTATCCGAGAGAGAAATGTCGAGTACATTTTTAATACTAAGATAATGATAACGATAACTTGCGAGCACTTAGTGTACTTGATACACCTTTTTTACCCTTTTTATAATCTCTTTGCAGACTTTGGACCTTCTTTGCCACATAACAAATGCCTCAAACGTGGAAACAGTTTGTGAGAAGTTGTTGGCATATCTGAAGTCAACTACGGATGCAGATGTACATTTTAAAACAGAGTTGGTTGACAGGATCACGGAACTTTCTGAGAGATATCTTTTAAAACATGAAGAAATATTGCAGTTTGTAAAAGATGGTAGTTGCACATAAACGTTCCCTGCCACCCGTGATTCCTTATTACATTTTCACTGTTCAAATACTAGTGAGCGTCGTACATGAAGAAATCGTGTAATTTTGACTCGAGTTTTATGCTTCGATCGGTTTCCTCAGTCACACAACCGATTTCTTTGCAGTTGGCCGGTCAGCTCAAGTTTACCCGCCTTACTATCAAAAAGTGTTTGATGGAAACGTTACTCTTGAGTCGAGATTGCGTAACAGACATAACGTCAGTTTCTGTACCCGAGAATGATTTTGAATCCGACTTGGTGAAACTGAATGCCAATGATTCTGCCTATTATTGTTCTATCAGTAATATCTTACGGTATAATTACCCTTAACTTACTGTCAAATATGCTCCTGATAATTCGTGGTACATTGTGACAATGAATGAGGTGTTTGAACTGGGTGGATCACTTGTACGAGATGCTGTGGCTCATAACATGATGCGACTTTTAGCTGAAGGTTAGTTGTGGTCACGACTTAAGTGATTTGCTTCACCTCCAAAATGAGCGCACCATTCAACTAATTTACATGAATAAAAACCTCGCTATCTATGCCATGTGTTGTGTTGCATTTGAAGTAGTGATCTGCCCGAATGCTGAGAAATAATTCTTTCTTGTGTCAAAGTGAATGTGCGACGTAGGGGAGTTTCACACGCTGGCCAAGTTTGTTTGAATCTGCGCGCGCGAAGCTAAGTCATTGTGGACAAAATTGGTGAAGTAAACTGTCACAATTGACCAATCGTAGTGTATATCAGGAGTTGGTACACCGGAATGAGGTATTAAAGACAATGCCTTCAGGCTCCACTTCCCGGTCTCTCCCCAGTCCCCACGCGGGTCTCGCTCACCTTTTCTCGATCCGCTTTCCCTACTATCTTGGAGCCTGGGACAGGCTACATTACATTGAATCATTCTTTCATCAACAGGAACTGAGGACGAAGATGCAGATAACGACCTACGTCGATTTGCTGTTAATTCATACATAGATCTACTTGAAAAACCTGTTTTGCCAGACATTCTAATTCGAGTAATTTGCTGGGTGAGTTTTCAGTGAACTACTTTATTGCTTTTTACAAAGTTCAACAGTAACCACTGACAGTAATCCCAAAGGCGAAATTTTACTTTGAATATTTTAAAAAGAAATCAAGGTTGTGCTCATGCAGTGCGTGGTGGCCCGTTGCGTGTACGTTCTGCTCCTGGGCGACTAGAGAATCTTGTTTTGTTGTTGCTGTTGTTGTCAAGTTGTTTTTTTTTTCATAGAAATTATATGCTGGGCACCCTGGATTTCACAAGTTCAGATCACTGCCCAGCTCCCTCCAATTTTTCTTAGAGCACAGCCTTGAAAATAATCAATCACTCGGATACATATCAAATAGACATCAAAAGGAGAGTGTTTTATTCGATATGTAGATACGTCGAAGTTGGTTATTTAAACGTATAGTTTGTACTTCGTTTTTGGTCTAGGGCGAAAAAAAAAACACACTTCTTCTCGTGTTTCCTTCATTAAAATAAACTGTTGCATATAGTATGATCAAATGAACGTAATTATGGTCACTTTAAGGCAAAAAATCGAAGATCCGACGGGTTGATGTGTTATTGGATGCCACCACTGCTGCCAGTATAGTAATAAATAACTTTTGGTTTCCAGAAGGAATACTTTGTAATGAAAAGACAAAGTAATGACAGTATTTCCTTCGCCGTTCAATTCAAAGACCGATTTATGCTTTCTTTTTTAAAGGTCCTAGGTGAATATTCATACACACTCTCGGAACTGGACCCTCAAGTCATTCTTCAAGAATTGTTTTCTTTAATGGAAAGGAAATTTGAAGGTAACATCAAAAAGGAACTTGCTTCAAATCAAATGAATCCTTGATATGACTCGCTAAAATTCAAGAAGTCGGGCGTCGGTTGTAGATCCATTCACACGGACTTACACCGTTTTCGTTTTCAGCATAGCCTACGTGCGTGCAGACGTCTCCTTTTTTTGTTACCCCTTGGGCAACAAAGGTATAGGAGATGTCTGCACGTGGCCTATTTTCGGCATTTATTTGTTGCATAAATAACAGAGAACATGGAGGCGGATAAGAGCGTTTGATCAGTAGAAGTAGCAGTCGAGACCGCATACTGAAGAAGCACAGTCGTATTCCAGTTTCGTCTCGCATTCCTAGTTTACCGAGACTCAACGCTACAAAACGTAGCTTATGCCCATCAGTGTAATAGAGAAACGTACATACGATGTGTATTAATAAGAACAGTCGTTCAGTTCTGTCACATACCTGGGCAAATTCTCCGTTACGTCCTCACTTCCGTTGCACGTGTATTGCATTGTTGTTGTTGTTTTTTTATCCTCTCTTGTCATTACCCCTCTCTTAAGATTGTAACCGTAAGGTGGCTTCAACTTACAGATCCCAGTACCAAGCCCTGGGTCGTGAGTGCTATTGGAAAAGTGACTTCTCAGATGGGGCAGCTCTTGGAGAGCACGAGAGATGTGTTAGAAAAACACGTGAGTGGCGTGGATGTTGAGCTCAGACAGGTAAGAAAGTGAACAATGGGCATATTTTATAATGTATTATGTTTGTTGTTAAACAGGAAAAGGGACCTTTAGATTCTAGGACCAAAAAGACCATGGGTACGAGATTTGGCTTAGAGTTTCTTTGCGTATTCTCAAATAATAGTCATTCCGGAAAGCTTCATTGTACTTCTTTTTCACAAAAAATGCTGTGTTTGGATGATAGGCAGCTGAAGCAAACTCAAGAGGAACGTCTCGTGGGACTGGATATCGACCCCTCCGTATCTTGGTCATCCCACATAGCTAATCTCAGGAAAAAAAAAAACTCTTAAAGCGCGTTGCTTTTCTGGGTCGCATTAAAAAATTCCTACAAGTTAAACAACGCATCATTTTATTTAATGCTAGTATTAAGCCTATTCTTGAGTACTGTGTTTCCGTTTGGGGAAGTTGTAATGTAGGATTGTTGGATGAGATTTCTAAAGTTCAAAAAAGATGTGCGCGTATTATACTGGATGCTCCGTTTCAGGCTATAATCCTGCCGCTATTTCTGGAACTTAGGTGGCTACCCATGCATTAATCAAATCTTCATTGAAAGAAGACTACTTCTGCTCAAAAAAATCTTGGATGGATGTGCACCGGATTACCTCTCTGAGAAACTGTTATCTTTGAAATACCACAAGTCTCATGATACAAGGTCTCTTATCACCTCCCTATTCCACGTACCAATAGCATGAAGCGATTGTTCCTTTGCAATGCAGTTAAACTGTGGAAACTGTGGAATAATGTCTTTTCTTACGGTGTTCCCTTTCTTTAACGATCTGCAGCGTTGTTCAGAAATCCAGGAACTCTCTCAGAACACGTTCCTTTGGCAAAGTGTTCTTCCTATAGATGGCTGTTGTGAAGATCTGGAGGTTAGTTCAGTCAAATGATTGAAAGATAGGCTCATTTTGCCCGCTCGGGTAGCCACCAATCAAAATACAGGATTTGCTTCATCTTGCATGCCTGCGGATGCAGCCATAGAGTAAAGATATGTACTATTGCACCGCTGAGATGGGTGGGCGTGTTTTCAAGCAGTTTCAGTACGGAGTGGAAATCAGGGGATTGCTGATTGGTATGAAGAACGGAGTTTTTGGTACATAATCAGACTGGGATATTGTAGGTACTTTTAGTGCCTAGACTAAAATAGGGTCGCAAAATTACAGCTGAACATTGCAGGAAGATGATGTTGGTAACTGTTTCCGCTGAAACAATAAAAGTGGCCCTGATGGAGAGTGTGTTGGAGGTTCAACTATTTTGAGGTGGGGTAGGGTGTGAGTCGAGTTGATAAGTCTAGTGTTCTAACATAACCTGTTTGCTGTGCGTGAATCATGTTTTCCTTCAAGGTGGACGAATCTTTGTCTTTTCTGGATGGCTTAGTAGCAGAGGCGCTGTCAAATGGAAGTTCCCCTTATAAACCAATGAGTGAGCGAAGCATTGAAAACAAGACCAAAGGTGAGTACGTATTATTTGGTATGTAATATTGGAATTAATAAATCTTTTCCGCTTGCATTATAGTTGAGGGGAAAAAGAAATTAGTATGTGTAATCAAATGGTGACGAGTGAAATTATTCCCTAATTTCACGAGTATACGATTTGATTACCTATTAATATCATGGGTGACGAATTACGTTAGCAATCTTGGATTTTTGACATGTTTATCCTGGATCGTATCGATCGAGAACTCCACTCTCACAAATGTTTAGACCTTAAATTTGGCTTATAAAGTTCAGAATTTTTCAGACTTTTTCGGCAAAATACCTGTTAGAATCCTTCTTGATGTTCTCTTGTGTGTTCAGGTTTTCTAAAGCGTCTTTTTGTGCCATGACATCTTCATTCATGGCATTTTAAAACTTCGTCGCCATCTTGACGCTGAGACGTACGAAAGGTTGCCATGGCAATTGTGAAACTACAAATTAACGCTGAAATTTCGCGCCAAAATTAGGGAGTAATTCGTCACCTATGATATTATCTTTATTATTGTTATTATCGTTATAACCTTCGATCCATTGAAGGTGGTGTCTTTTTTTTGCCTCAATTTCGGTTGGTTCAGTGACTGATTCAGCATTTTACTTCTTGTGATACACGTAATCGTTTTCTTCTTTGTAGAAGTTCCCGATTCCCATCCAGCTCTGAATTTTGGACCATACGAAAATCCTTTGAAAAAAACCAGTAAGCCTTCTCCACAACCAGAAATGAAGCCTGAAGTGGAAAAGAAAAGTAGCAGATCTGTCGATAATACCAGTGATAGCGAACCCACAGTCAGCAAGAAAAACAAGAAAAACAAGAAAAAAACCATTGATGAACCTGCGTCTAGTAAAAGACTGTTTTCAGGTCAGGCCGTGTGGGGACCTAGCGGATATGCAAAATATCAAGTACGGTCTGAGTCGGTGGATTCTAACAGTAAATCGGATTCGTCGTCACGAAGCACTGAATCTGATAATGTAGTGGTGAAAACAAGTGCCAAGGTAAGGAACGATCAAAACTAAATTACTTTACATATAGCAATCATTTTGGCATTTATAGTGGAGAAGATTGTGATGTTGTAAATCCCTCGCTACTCGTCAAGGCTTCTGGGGGGGTTTGGGCTAATAATTTGGAAAATTGCTTAGCAGCAAATGCAGAGAGCTAGATGGCTATAAACCGGGCTACTTTCATTGAATTTTCAGCTCATCGATTTAGATCACGTGACAGTCCTCAACGAGTCTATCGTTTTCTTATTTATACATATTTATGCTCGTTCTTACCCTTGATTTCAAAGGGTCAAATCTCCTGAGAAGGTCTAAAGCGACCAATAAGCCCAATGAGGTTAAAGAAAAAATAACCTAGCAACCAACCACGAGTTATTTTCCCCCATTAATCATGTTGTTTTGGCGTTTGTTTTTTGTACTAGGCTAGTACTAGTTCTGCTATGTCGCTGGAAGACGAGGTTCACACACAGCAACTGGCCGCTCAGCTTTTCAGCGGTGTTGCAGAAAAACCACGTTCATCTGCAGGCAGGGGTCAGTTGGCAACAAGGAAAGGGTTGAGACATTCAAGAAAAACAAACATTGGTGTTCCTGATCCTGGATCACCAGTTGTAGATAATGAACTACATTCATCGCAACGTCCTGCGTTCAGGAGAGAAACAGAAAACACGAATGTGGAGCTTTTGTATGACTTTGACAGCGTTAAAGTTAACGACAGCGTAGAAGCAACAGAACGTTCTAAAACTTACACCATTCAATCATCTATAGACGTGGCGCCACCGCATGACAATCATTCCTTTGATATTCCAGAACCAGCCTTCCAAACCGATGATCATTTGTTCGGGATCACTGGTAACGATCCTGGCGTGACTGTTCCTACAAGTGACGAGGATAGTAGCAAATGTTTACCCTTAAGTCACAATGATTCTCACATGTTATTACGTACAAGTCACGCTGATACTGGTCATGCGACTACTGAACAGGTAAGACTTGTTAGCTTCGCGCAGATTTAAATATTTTTGCTTGGAAAACTTGTGATCCATTTTTCTTTCTTTTTACATCATAGTAATGCAAATCTTTGTCACTTTAAATAGCTTTAAATATTTTCTCTTTGTATATTTTTTACACCCAACGTTTCTGTGAATTCAGAGCCTATTCGCCCCATGTAAGGAATTTGGGAAACTTTTGCTTGTGGAATCAGGAATCCTGGGCTTTGTTATCCGTAATTCAGCTCAAAGAATCCAGATTCCTGCTGACAATTAGAATCCGGAATCCAAGTTCTATTGACAGCGCAAACGGAATCCAGTGGCTAGAATTCGAAATCAACAACGTGAAATTCAGAATCCAAGACTGTCTTGGATTGCCTTCCTTGGGAAAATCTGCTGTCAGTCTGCTGCAACTTTCCTACCCATTCCCTTAAATGATTTGATCTAGTAGACGCTCCATTGCTTGGCCAGACGCCGGCGTCGAAATTCCCCGTATGGCGCACGGTATATGTGACCAAGGCTTATTTAAAGTACCGTCGGGTCGCACGGTAGATATTCTTGATGCGTCATAACTTTTAAAGCTCTGAACCCTTGTCCAGTGGGCAAAGGTCCAGGCAAATCATTAATTTACTTAATCATTAAGCAAAGCAAGCACGCAAATGGCGCAGCGTAACAAAATGCCAAAATTGCTTGTTGAAAGGACAGGCTTGAGTCCTTTATTTTTCGAGCCCTGCATGTCGTCATTTGTATACTAGATTACTCTTGTATCGATTTACTTGGTATTTTTACTGAACACATGGTGTACTCCCATAATTATTTACAGAAAACGCATTTGCTTGACGAGGAGAATACAGATCAGCTTCCATGTCTAGAGCTTAAAGGCATCCCGTCGATCTCATTACCGGAAGACTTGGTCCATTTTCCGCACTCTTCTGAAGCCGTTGAACTCTCTTGTGACAATAACTTACGAGTTACTCTTAGGAAAGTCTGGAAACCAAATGAACTTGTGCTCGTTGTTTTCCTAACCAATCAAAATCAAGCGAATGCCCCAATCCATGACGTCACCATCGTGTTTGAGCCACCCTCCAATCTGATTAGCTCGTTTGATTCTTTGCCAAGTAACAAGCTTCAGGATGAAAAAATTGGCCCTCTTGAGTGGGTAAGAACGTAACTTTAGCCCATGATTACCTTTTTGTGTTATGAGCGTTGAAAATTTATATTTGACAGTGTTATATATCATCTTTATTGTCACAAGATCTAGATTATTGGTGAAATTAATACTCTCAAAAAGTATCTTATTTTACTTAATTTTTTTCTCCTTTAGTCAGTAATAAATCCCACCACTGTATTGGACCTAACTTGTTCACAGTCTTATTACAGTGAAGGGCATTCACGACGCAAGGAAACAAGGCCTTGCTGTCAGGCCTTTCAAGGTCTTTCACACATTCTTCCGAAATTCTTATGGTCCAATGAGTTTGTGTATATGAAACCCTTAAAAGGCTGGAGAATGATTCATCGATGAGTGCAGCGCATCCATAGATTTGGTGGCCTGTTCGAGCACCGCACACTCACTCACTGCGTGTCATATTTTCCTACTGCTAGGTGAGTCATCAAGTTGTTTCAAGGTACAAGTCTCCGGCGCTTCATATGAACTTCGGTGGCAAGATTTCATATAGAGACCCCAACAGGACGTTAAAGCATCTATACTTTAACCACACTTTGAGCGTCAGCGACATTCTCCGGCCACTTGTGATCACTACGGAGGAGTTTGCCCAGAAATGGACTAACGCTTCGTTTGAAAAGAAGCAAAAGGTGTCGAGCTCATTAAAGAACTGCCAAGATCTCTCTGAGAAAGCTGAACACACCTTGAAACTTCACTTGGTGGAAATAATAGGTAAAAAATAAAATAGCCGGAAAACAGCCTTCATAGGCCCGCTGGGCGTGTATCAAAATTCCCAAGAATTACTTGGCCTGGAAATCTGTTTCTGGTACATTGTTTGCAAATAATATATTGATAAAACTACCAGTCAGCAAGACAAAATGGGCTGGTCTGTTGCTTAGGGCCCTCGCTTTTATTCTTTAGATTTTGTTTTGAATATTTGATATCGGGGCCGAAAGGTTCTCGGGACTTTCGGGAAACGGGCCCCAGGGGAGTGTAATATAGTGAAAAGGGGAGGAACCAGCAAAACAGGTGTTATTTAGCCCAGCGCAAAGAAGAAGCATTCGGGAGAGAAGAACGTGGAATTCAAGACAAGCCGGGTAACAAAAAAAAATTATATTGAACTCTCGTCTTAGCTTCTTTATCGCGAGATAAAAGATGCACTCGTTGGTGAACAATCCCTTGCGGTCCGTTCTTAATTGCGCCCTAAATTTCTCATGCGCCTTCTACCCAGGCTGCTCTCGTATAGCGCTTCACGTGCGTCTCCCGCCATCAAGCGCCTGCTATGAAAAGTACTTTTCTCCCATCAGTAAGTCGCAATTTGAGCCCTGGCTTACTCGTTGCCCTGACCCATGTGGCAGGCGTTCGGAAGGGAAGGGGAATTTGGCCGCAAGTCCGCGCGCCCAAATAGAGAGCCTGCCCGTTGATGACTCCACGTTCGCCATATTCGTGTCACAAAACAATGAAACTGCGATCATGTTGGTGTTGTGGAATTGAAGCTTATGAAAAAACATTTTTTTGTGCCAATAGATTTGCATAGCTGCTCCCCACTTCAGTGAAAACGCTTTATTGGTGACTCAGAAAGATCTCAGAACATTTATAAGTTATTGGACGTATTATAGAAATGTCATACAATTTTTAAATGCAATGTTAAGTGACTTCTTTTTTAGCTTCTACTGCTGCCATGTCTGCGATGTAAAAATACAGGCTTTTTTAACCGCCACACTATTTCTATGTTAGGGTCTTGGTCCATGAAACTCGGTGTTTATAACGAATATTCTTTTTATATTTTCAGGCAAGAAGGTTATTCTCTCCGGTACAGTGATGCAGTCTGGGATATGTCTCTTACATGCGAGCTTTGATGGTGACGAGTTAGAACTGTCAATCAAATCGAATAATAGACTTCTAAATGATGCGGTACTGAAACATTGTGGGGCTGTCTTTAGATGACGTCTGCGTACCCTCTTCTTCACACCAGCGAGTGACACAGAAAGCGCAAAACAACCTGCAAATAGAATAGTTATCGTGAGGACACAGTTCAGTGGTTTTTAACTAACGCTACCTCAAAAGCGCAAATAAAATGTTCGAGAAACAGTGCAGAACTGAATTAATATATGTGAAAGATAATTATAGTTTGAAATGAATATTAAACAAGGCTACAACTGTGCAAATTGTTTTTGTTTATTTATCTCGGTTTGACAATTTTCATCAATGACCCTTCAAGTCGCACTTCCTTTTTTTATAAGTCAGAGTTGGGTGGGTAAAAATAAAATGTTTTTCCTTACAAAAGAGACCATAGCAAAAATATCAGTCTTCCAAGCTTTAATCTAGTATTAATTTATTTATATCAATAAATAATTAAAAAATAAATAAGTAAATAAGAAAACAGTAGATAAATCTTTCCATCTTCGACTTTTCACATTCTTTTCTTCAATTGATGTGAAACAGCTTTAGCCCGTATTTCGGGGAGGCCTAACCTCTCATAAGCTCCCACAGTTTCTGTTAGGTCTCCTCGCCACTTCTTTTTTTTTTCTTTTCCTGTATTTTTTGTAATTATTGTGTGGCAAATAAAAATAAAGTAAATAAATGAATAAAGTAATAATATTGATTCGTGAAAAATGGAGTAGGCTTGATTCCGCCGCGCTCACCTTGGTCCGGTCTTGCTCCTCCCCTAAAATTAACACACGGCTGGACACGTGAGTATCCGAATTTATTTTATGCTTCCAGATGCAAACCATCGCCAAATATGTGCATGGATCAATGCTAAGTAAACGTTGTGTTATTTTACCTACGGTAAATTGACGTCCCTTTGCCTCAGAAATATTATTTTGAGCTATTTTAAAGGAGTTTGAAATCTATTAAGAGGAACAGTAAACGGCGAACTCCTTCAAAATCGCCCAAAATACCAATTCTACGGGAAAAGGACGACAATTTACCGAGGATAAGGTAACACAACGTTTAGTTAGCTTTGATGCCTACACATATTTAGTGATATACCGTTACACATGGAGCAGACGGCAAATACAGTACATTTACCATAAAATTACATCGGTTACACGTACAGATTGTGTGGGCGCCCTGTGGAAACGCCCAGGTTGTTTTGAACAAAGCTGCGTAAATCGTCCTGTCTTGCGTTTCCTACTCGGTCCCACCTGTTGTGTGTTATAATTATGTGTGAGAATATTCAGTATGAATAATTTAAAGAGCTATACAAAGTCCAAGGCTATAATAGACCGACACACACAGAGCGGGCGGCAGCCTATGGCGTAAGATCGGGGACAAAATCGATATTCAGATTTCGTGGCCTTGAAAACACTTCTTCGCTTCGAAAATTGTTCTTCGAGTAATTGTCTGTTGTCTTCGTGGCGTCGGTTCCATGTCTTCGAGTCGTCGCATCCATCGTTTCATCGTACTGTTTTTTTCGGGGCACCGCCTGGCTTTAACTTCGTGGCGTTACCCCGTTACCCTGTTGCCTTGTTACACTGTTACCCAGTTACCCTGTTACCTTGTTACCCTGTTACCTTGTTACCCTGTTACCCTGTTACCTCGTTACCCTGTTACCTTGTTACCGTGATACCTTGTTACCTTGTTACCCTGTTACCGTGTTACCGTGTTACCCTGTTGCATTGTTACCTTGTTACCCTGTTACCCTGTTACCCTGATACCCTTTTACTCTGTTACCCTGTTAACTTATTATTACCTTGTTACCCTCTTACCCTTTTACTCGGTTACCATGTTACCCTGTTACCTTGTTACCCTGTTACCCTGTTACCTTGTTACCTTGTTATCTTGTTACCTTGATACCCTGTTACCTTGTTACCCTGTTACCCTGTTGCCTCGATACCTTGTTACCCTGTTACCGCGTTACCTTGTTACCCTTTTACCTTGTTACCCTGTTACCGTGTTATCCTGTTACCTTGTTACCCTCCTACCGTGTTACCTTGTTACCCTGTTACCTTGTTGCCCTGTTAACCTGTTACCTTATTGCCATGATACCCTGTTACCTTTTTACCCTGTTACCTTGTTACCCTGTTACCCTGTTACCTTGTTACCCTGTTACCGTGTTACCCTCTTACCTTGTTACCTTGTTAACCTGTTACCTTGTTGCCCTGTTACCGTGTTACCCTGTTACCTTCTTACCCTGAGGGTAATAGGGTAACCTGGTAACAGGGTAACAAGGTAACAAGGTAACATGGTAACTGGGTAACAAGGTAACAGGGTAACAGGGTAACAGGGTAACAGGGTAACAGGGTAACAATGTAACAGGGTAAGAAGGTAACAGAGTAACAAGGTAACAGGGTAACAAGGTAACAGCGTAACAGGGTAACAAAGTAACAGAGTAAAAAGGTAACAGGGTAACAAGGTAACAGAGTGGCAAGGTAACAGGGTAACAGGGTAACAAGGTAGCAGAGTAACGGGGTAACAGTGTAACAAGGTAACAGGGTAATAGTGTAGTAGGGTAACAGGGTAACAAGGTAACAGAGTAATAGGGTAACAGGGTAACAAGTTAACAGGGTCACAAGTTAACAGGGTAACAGGGTAACAAGGGAACAGGGTAAACAGGGTAACAAGGTAAAAAGGTTACAGAGTAACAATGTAACATAGTAACAAGGTACCAAGCAAAAAACGGACGGTATAACGTATGCGAGTAAAGTTGGTACAATCATGTCCCCTTATATTAAGTACCTGCCCAAGTATGTAGCCCAGTCGACGAAAGGAAGACCTGATTACACGAAGACATAAAAATGACGCAACGACGACATAAGCCCATAGCGACGCCACGAAGAAAAGCCAGCGGTGCCCCGAAAAAAACAGTACGGTGAAACCAGGGATGCGACGACTGGAAGACATGGAATCGACGCCACGAAGACAACAGACAATGACTCGTTGAACCAATTTCGAAGCGAAGAAGTGTTTCCAAGGCCACGAAATCTGAGTATCGATTTTGTCCCAGATCTGACGCCATAGGCCGAGCTGTGGTGTCAACTATTTCCTCGCGAAGAGAGTTTATATTCTCGTCGCGCGTGCAGCGTGTGAACGGCGTGTGGTGTTAGCCAGCTGGAAATTCGGAAGCAACCGGTCAGCCCGGCTCATTCTGGTACGTTTGCAAAACAACAACCCGGCACGTGCATCACGCTTTTTTGTGATTTGCCGCCTTTGCACGAGTACGTCATGAAACTTGATTTCCTTTTTCTTTAGTTATCTACAGTCCTTTAGAATTAATTTCCTGAAAACTTCGCCGTTATTTGAAAAAATAATAAGAATAAGAGTGATGAAGTTGTCCATACATCCTCACATATAATTTTTAATACTGGAAACAGGAACAGGAACACCCTGAGAAAAAGCTGGAAAAATGGCCCACCACGAGTTGGTGCAACACGATGCCCAAATACTTTGGCAAACTTTTGAGCTTAATTTAATACTTTACTAGGAACCTTTTAGTCGGAGAAAATGTTTCTTATTGTACTTTTTCTGTCCACTTTATTGCCACGTCATGACCCCGGTATACAAATTGATAACATTTAACAGTGTCCTTTTTCCCTCGCTAATTAGGTGAACAAAATTGCTATCTGAGTCTTTTACACGAGGGTACATTTCCACTCAAACGCAATTTGCTTCTGGGAAACTGCCCACCTACCCCTCTCTTAAGCTAACATTAACACTTCCTTCTCACTTAGGGCAAAATGTTGTCTTGGGGGAGGGGTAGGAGGGCGTTTTCCGAAAAACCTAAATTGATCCCGTAATTTTACCTTAAAAGCCGAGATGCTTATAGTTGTGGACGAAACCGGATTTGCACGGGTCTTTTTTTAAAACTGGGGACTATGATTTAGTAAAAATGATTGATAAAAATCAGCGACTAAGAACATCCGTAAGAATATTAGTGTGTGACATGCGACAGTCTGAGTCAGGGAGAATTTAACTCTTTCAAAGAAGTCAGAAAGAGGGAACATATTCACAGAAGTTAGACATGTTCTATTGGCAGAATATTGTTTCAACAAATTGAACGACAAGCAGATCTATTATAGAGGGTTTTCCTATACGATCCATTTATTCTGCACTTTGCGTTCACGATAAATTCGTGTAATAAATGGGTGGAGAGGATGGCTAGGAGTTTGGGTATTTACTTCTTGTACCGGACACAGATGACGTAAAACAAAAGCACAAAACCCATGAAACAATACCAAGCAGATTTTTCCCTGAACAGAAAACAAAGAAGTCTTTTGGTTTACGTCATCTGTGTCCAGTACACGAAGTTTTGACCGGAGTTTGGAAGCTCTTATCTGGACAAATTGTCAATTCATTTGGTCATGGAAGGTGTACATTTGACTGTCAGTCTGGGAATGTTAAAAACTATGCCATGTCTCAACAAGCTCATGCATGTTGAGAATTGAGAGAGTGATCACCTTCAACATGACTTGTATGTGGGCATTTCATACGAATTTACTCTTGCATGGGTATTTGTTTCTCATGCATGTACACAAATAACTCTGATGAACACTTGCATGAGTGATTTGGTACCAGTTTATAGTGATTCAGTAGTAATGAAGGCCCTCATTTTCAATGTAATCATAAGTCATGATCACTTTCATAATTCTCATGAAATGCATCCTTAATGACATTGATAAACGTTATTTCTATTTCCGTGATTATGTTTGCACCTTACTCATTTACAAATAATACGGATGTCAAGTAAGATTACGTACTAAAACAAGTGCCAACACTCATTGCTGTAGTTCACCTAACAATAAAGATTTTTGCCCCCAATTACCAGCTTTACCTGTTGTTTTCACTGCAGCGTTATCCCCTAACATTTCATCCACTCTTTACAAATAATTAGAATAACGCTTGTTATTAGAGATGGCATGGGCTAGCTTCAAGGGTGATTTTACTTGAACCGTGAAACAGTTACTAACAAATAGTGCTAAACAGCAAGAGATAAACAAAAGAACACGATAAAATTAGTGCATAATAATAGTGCATAGTATTCTATAGCTACTACCTATTTCACGGGTCAATTGAACTGCCTATTAACCTGCATTTATTCACTTTCACACCCATTTCCTTTTGACTATGATTACACATGTAGGAGGGTCAAATGGGGTGAACACGAGACCTTCGCAACATTAGCTACCCTTTCTTAACAACAGCAACGCCATTTATATCCCAGAAGATCCTTTCTAAAGCCAGATCACTGGGTTCAAATGTACTCCGACTAAAAGG